TGGAGTCCTTCGGATTTCACTCGCTCACGCTTCTAATGCCGATACTCGCGACTCGACTGTGCGGTTAATCAACGCGATGCCGACGCGATGCTGATTGAGTATCTCGAAGACCGACGAGATATATTTCTTTCAATTATACGAGACGGAAGTGACGAGCGCGACGCGCACGGCTGCTGCTGATGGAAAGAGGTCGAGTATGCGAGGTGCGCGAGTATTAATACGAAAGGCAAAAAGTGTCGTCGTTCGCGAGCCGATCAACACAAATCGGCGCGATATAAACATTGCGGGCCTCGACGGCGGTTGAAGCAAGAGAGAATTGCCCTTGGGCGTCTCTTCTTTTCTCGAAGGTTCCGGAACGACGAGGGGAATGCGAGGAGGCTTTTCAACTGTATGCGACATTGATTTACTATTTATTGATTGATTACTGAAAATAAAGAAAATTACTCTGTCGAAGCATCGGACATTTGTTAGCTTTATGTTAATTAAAGAGAAATGTGTACGATTAGAAAATGTATTAGCAACTAATTGTACAGAGTGTCAAGGTTGTTGTGGCGTCGTTTTCGGAGAATAATTAAAGGTCATGGTAGCGTTAAAGAGAGGAATTTCACCCATGCGAATTTTGTCTCGTTCTTATTAAATGTTAGTCCTGTATAAAATCTCGTATTTAAAAGTATTGTTTCGCATTCACGAGATTTTGTCGTGAATTCTACTTTGCGGGAATCTCAGATTGGATCGCGGGCCAATACTTTTCAATACGACGGGGAATAGAACGTGAAAATCTTGTATGCCTCTGAATCTGAAAACAATTAGGAGAAGAAGTGAATACTTTTCAATACGAAAGTTCGCATTTGAAAATTAACGATTGCGATTGAATACAAGGCATATGTGAAATAAATTGAATCCTTTTTAATGCGGAGCATTCACCATTGCCATCTCGCATTTAACGCGGTGAAATTTAATGAGAACTAATACTTTTTAGCCCCTTTCTTTGCATCAGATGGCAGAATTCAGACGTATTCAAAATGTCGATACTTTTTAATATGTTTCAGTTCGACATTTTATACAGGAAGATTATCCGCTGCGGACAATAACTCTTCTACTTTTCATCTAATATTCAATGACAATAAGTAACATTTAATTACATTCGTTTGGCTTTTTTGAAAATAAAAAAAAAATATATATATACCAAGGTGAGATTTCACCCATGACAACATTAACGTGATTTTCTTTGATGCTTTTTTTAAAAGTTCAAGTATTTCGTCGACTCGCGGGATATTTATAATCGGAGTCTCGTCGCGTTAATTAACACGTATTCCTCCGAGCGGATCGAATGCTCATCGACGGCCACTGTCAGTGCCACGAGCGAATGTCCGGAGCGGACGGGATGCTGAATTGAGAAACAGGACGAAGGGAACGGAACGCGGGCAACGATACATCATGCGTCTTCAGACATGTCAAATCGTTTATTATAGAGAAGATTTTGATATAGCAACATGTATTCGAAAATTTAACATTTAATACTTTTATTTTTTCTGCTCCTCCCCCGGCCCCTATACTCTTTTTAGACTACCGGACATAGTCTGGTATAGAGATGGCAACTGTAGTTGCAGCACGGACATAAACCGCTTGAAAATGGATGTAGCACGGACTTCCTTCACATGCAGATTTTACCAACGAGACCTGAAAGTGGATGTACCATCGTAGTTCCCCTCTTAGGATGGATGCAGATGGCGTCCTTTCCCAGTGTGGAAAGTCGGTGTCGCAGAAAATGCCGTGTAGGCCGCTTTCAGGCTTCTCTCTGTTTCTAGCAGAAGTGACGTCAGATGTTAAGGCCATCACACACAAATGAACTCAGGCTGGCTCCCCATGCGACGTAAAAAGCGTATACGTAAACCGCTTCAGCCAATCAATTGTCTCAGCTGTTATACGCGAATCATAGCTGAGATGAATGACTGGTTGTCGCAAGTTAAGGCCAGAGCACAGACTTCTGCATAATGCATAATACACAACGCATAAGAGAATCAACCAATCAGAGTTCTTCATTTCTGTCCTGAGGTGGGAAATGAAGAAAACGCATAATTGGTTTAAGCCAGCGGCACACGGTGCTTGTTTTCGTGCTGGATTGCTTGCTAAATAAAAATACTGCGTTCTGATTGGTACATTTCCGAAGATGGATGGAAATGCACCAATTAGAACGCAGTATTTCCATCCAGCAAGCAATCCAGCACGAAAACAAGCACCGTGTGCCGCTGGCTTTATTCTCTTATGTGTTATGTATTATGTGTTATGCAGAAGTCTGTGTTCTGGCCCTTAAGCCCGTATCAGACTACGGATTGGGATTGAGTATTGGATTGAAATTTAACCAATCAGGAGTAAGTTTACTATACTTGAGATTATTTTCTCTTTTTCAATTGGTCAAATTTCAATCTAATCTCAATCCCAATCCAATCTCAATCCAATCTCAATCCTCAATCCATAGTCTGATACGGGCTTTACGCGTACGCATTTTACGCATAGACATAGGAATATAGCGCCAGAGCATAGAGTTGCAGGGAGATAACCATTGCGAGACGGTGCGACGAGGTAAACTGTGCCTAAATCTAATCGGTGGTTGTGCCGTGTGTAAGTATTTGATACATACATAGATGTGTATGAAGTTGTGTGTGAGTGTGAAATTATGAAAAAAAAAATGACACATGCATAACCTCTGCAAAATAATATAAATAATAATACAAATGGATTATTAACGCGATTAAGGCTAAATGCTTTGCCATTGAATGAATGTGAAAAGCATAGAAAGTTCAGCTGGAGAGAACAAACCTTTAGGTCCAGTTGCACAAACATTATTTTGATTTTAAGTGAGACTTAAACATGTCTATCTTTATCTTTCTTACTAAATAAATAAAGACAGAGATATATTTAAGTCTCGCTAAAAACCAAAATAATGTTGGTGCAACTGGGCCTTGAGTCACATGGTCTGTTCTTTGTAGCTGCACTGTTGAACTGGTGCAATAAGTTAAAGTGAGACAAATATAGGTTTTCTCACTCTAGTTTATTGCACCAGTTCAGCAGTGCAGCTACAAAGAACAGACCAACAGATTTATGATGTATAGATATAGAAAAATAGAAAAAAATTCTTTCTAGGAATTTGTGAGACTGGAAAGTTAAGCGAAACAAAAAGAACTCATTGACGCTGCAGTTGCACCATCTAGCATCACGCGAATGAAGTTCTACGAGACCTCTCGGGGCTCGTCACTGTGGCTGAATTACGTCGATTATTAGCGCTTTGCGCATAGCACCGTGAGAGTGCGTAGTGTTCAGTGGAAAAAAAATGGTGGTTATTTGGGTGTAGTCGGGGCGAATTTTCTGCAACATAAATGTGAGTACCGGCTGGTTAAGGAATTTACGAGTGCTGTTTGTCGATGCACCGCGAGGCTAGTATGACCAGATCTGTGTCGGAGGTAATGAGAATACAAGAGAGCGGACGGACACTCGTTCTCTCCCGCATGAAAACCCGAGACCGAAGTAGGTACTGTTCGTGCATCTTTCCGCATGACATGTACATCGCGCGGATCTTCGCACAATACTTTATCAGTCAAAAATAACGGCGCGCCGTGTGACGTCTCGTGGACGTCGCGGGATCGGCGTTTCCTCACCTTCCTAGCAAACCGTCTCGCTCACGAAATGTACAAAACGTGTCTCTACGCGATATTTTTGGGATAGATGTCACAGTATCTCGTCGCGGTATCTCACGCTACGGTGTGTGCGTGTTTCGCTAACGTGTGTGCATTTATTTGATTTGATGCGAACGTCTCTGTGTACGATCTCCCTTGGCGCCGTATTATACGCGCTTCTTTCGCGTAACAGCGGTGCATGCTACCGAGCTGGTTGGTGAGATGCATACGTATGCGACGCGTCGCGGATATACACACACTTGCACTACACGACCCACACACCCACATACACACACATACGCACACACATACACGCGCGCGCGCGCGCGCGAGCAAGCACACGTCGCGTTGCTCGGACCCTACTCGCCGTTATATACTGTCATTTTTCAAGCGACGTATCCCACGATGCTTGATAACATCCTGCGGCTTTAACGGCATAAATTTCTTCGTATCTGTTTCGATATGCGTTTACATGTATAATCTTAATCAAACGTCAAAAATGTTTGCATTATTTAAACTATTTTTTTTATTAATGTGTTGATAGTTTGGAAATAGATTGATTTATAGGTAATATTCCTATTTGTTACATCAATTGCTCTCAAATCAGCTCTCTCACTCTTGCTTTTATTACTAAGTGGATAACTTTTATAGCTCACAACTAATACTTGTATGTTTCAATGAGACAGGAAGTAGTTAAAAATATTTCTACATAAATCGCAATATTTATATGCAACTTGTTGGATTTATAACGCAAATATGATATATTTTGTAAGTAAAAAATGTAGATAAATCTCTGCAATTGAGGCACAAGTTAACATATAAGATGTATCGATATATTGTATTAATTTTTTATGGTGCATATTATTTTTATTAGAAAATGACGAATATATCCTAAAAATATTCATCTCTGTAAAGATATTAATACCTTCATTAAACTAAGAGTTACATGTAATTAAAATATTTAGTTCTACTGTTTTTAATTTATAATCATTTTTTTTTATTTTGAGTTGTTTATTGATAAATTAACTGTAATAAAAATCTGGTTCTCTTTTTTTTCCTTTCTGTTTTTTCTTTTTTCCTTTCTTCGAGTTAAAGGAAATTGTTATTGGACTAAAGAGTATACAGGTAGAAATATTAATGTTATACTTTTAATTATCATATTCTATAATTAGATTAAATTATTTTCTGATTTCAGATTCTTTCAGCTCCTTGGATACTAGAAACTTGTTAACTGATTCAGGAGTTAGTATGATGGGATATATAGCCTAATCCCAAAATGTTACATATATAGATACAGATATTTTAAATTTTATAACAAAGACTGCTTCATTAAAAAATAATCTTAATCAGAAAAGTTTTAATTTGATTACCTTGAGAAAAGGTGATAATAGTACGATTCTTATTAACTTTATATTGGAGTAAAGCTGAGAAAGCAAAAGAATGCAGAATAGTTGAAATAATTTTGTGAAGTAGAGTCTTAAATAAAGTTGGTTATGTGCAATGCCGAGATGCTATAATGATAGCAAGACAGTGAGTTCAGTGAATAGCAGTCATAAGCACAGTGACGATATTGTATTAACACAAACACGTGCTTTCTCGATTGGAAGTCAATTGGAGGTAGATGAAGACCCACCACTAGTTGAAAAATCACACAGACGGCTTCGGTGTGACCTAAGTCCTGTTCCGACAAACACGAATTCTAATTTAAACATAAAGCTTCTCAATTTAAAGGTGGGATTCTAAGATATATGTATATATACATATGTGTATGTGTTCTTAATCATATATCTTTATATTATGTTATTGTGACTTCATATTCTAATAGTTGTTTTGAATATTATGCTGCTGTGAACTCTACTGTATTTAAAATAGATTATGTATCATCCAAAATTAAATTTTAGAAACTGTTACCTATCATTCATAATGATCTCTTTGTTTATTTACTTTTACTTATGTGATATACTATGGTACGATTAATATTTCTTTTCAATTCTTCCGTTCTAGAGTGATAAAGGTAATCGTCAGGACCATCAGGTGAGCACTGGATCTGGGGGGTACAGAGAAAGGGAGACCAAAAAGAAAGCAGCTATAGGCAATACAGTGCGTGGAATTCTCTCATCTGGCCACAGCAGGCAGGACAGGTATAATGATGTCTGTATCAAAAATCATGCTTTTTACATTGTCATTTGTTACATCTTATTAATTTATAAAACGTTTTACTGTTTATAAATTTTTTTCTGATTACGATAAATGTTGAATCTTTTAGAATGTTTTATTTCACAAAATTCTATTATTAATTATGCATCTGTGTGATCTTGTTGGTATAGTAGATTCTCGATGATCTTAAAAAAGGGAAAAGGAAAAATAATTCTTTGTTTTTCTCTCTCTCTCTCTCTCTCTCTCTCTCTCTCTTTTCTGTTTTTTTTTTCCTTTTCATAGATATATTATCTTAATATTACCGATAAAATTCAAGTTAGTTTACTGAGAAAATAACAAATTCAAAATCTCAATTAGCAATTAATATTAATACATTATAAGAGTTTTTCATTTACTTTTATATTTATTTTTCTAAAGTCAAGAAGCAATAATATTGATATCAAGTAATATTGAGCAACATTGATATCAATTATCAACAATATCATATTATTTGTATTGAATGTTCAGTTATATAGAAATATAGTTATAAGCTGTGTTCTGATATTCACTGCCAATACCGAAAATATATAGTTTGTGTTGCATGTACTATAGATTTTTAGTATTGGCAGCGAATATCAGAATGCAGCCCTGATCTATAATTAAATTAATTTCATCTTATTCAAATAATCGAGAATGTACTGTATTAAATTATTAATTGTAGTTGTCTATAGTAAGCTTATTGCGCACCAATGCCACGAATAATGCAGATTATTATTAATAATTATGTTTTCTTACGAATAACATTAACTACACAATATAAAAGTATCTCTACATATCTACATATATGTACTTATGCAAACATCATGCTTTTCATTGTTATAAAAATGTTAAAATTCACGGAAAAATCTCATTTATTTTAATATATGCTACTGATCTTTAACGTAATGTTTTAAACTCTGAAGTAAATTTTATATTTTGTTCTTCTAAGATCTAACTAGTACAACAAATCGAGAGAGATCAATATTTGATTTATATATATTTATTTGAATTAAGTAAAATCTATGTATATTTGACGTAATTTCAATATGTAATGCATTATTTGAATCAAATTTCAGGTATGAGACAAACAGGCAACGCTCTTCAGGTGGATCTGGTGGTGGTTTGTCTAGTTTATGTCCTAAGCTGGTGGCCAGTGGCAGCAGTACCCAAAGTGGCATTAGTTTGGCAGTGGGCCACTTAGCCTCTCAGGAAAGTGGAGGACCTTGCACAGTTGTCACAACTCAAAGGATCCACGGCCACGCACATAATCATAAACGCCAAAGAAAGTTATCTATTGTCGCGCAAGCAGGTCCTAGTGCCAACACTACGGGTGATAGAAAGGTTAATTAAATTTTGTCCGTTTGTTTTGAATTGTATTCACTGCCAGCTAATGCTTGATCAAAAGCATTGATACATCATATGTAACTTAACATTTTACATACCTTAAGTTGTTATATAACTGTATATAATATTACATACAATATTGTAATATAAGTGTCTAATATCTTTGTAATAGGTATTATCCAACATAAGTCGCTCCGCTAGCATCTCCAAAAAACAAATTCGAACACAGAGACATGATCAGAGTACTGATTCTTTGTCTGTAACTAGCAACGGTCTTACGACTAGCTCGCCATCTTCCAGAAAGAAAGTACTATCTACTCTGCGCATCTCAGAAAAGTCATCTACGCAAAGTGTGAATTCACCGTCATTAGATCATGAAAATGATCGTAGTTTTAGCGATGCCGAAGAAGCAATCACAGCAACGGAGAATGTATTTGCAATACCAGGTAAGATGTTTATACAATATTAGAGATGAAAAATTAATGTTTACATGGGAAATATATTAATGTTTTATTACGGAATATATAGGATCTAGTTCTACACCTTCTACACCAATTAGTAAAGTAAAACAAACAAAATTCGGCAAGAATGAAGCAAATGTGGAACATAATAGTCTTGCAGAGTGTACCGATTTATCGGAGAACGCTGCCGATGTACAACACGTGATTTTAGCTGAATTTGATAAAAAAACTGCGTCGATAAAACAAGTTGCTACACATAAATCAATTAATCAGGAAGTTATAGCAAATCACAAACAAAAATCATTGTCAGGTTCTATAGTGAATGCAAAATCTATTAATAGTAACGAGCAAAAAATTCCAAAATATAAGAATCCAAATTCTGTGGAGAAAATGATCGAACATCATAGTAACAAAAATATTGAGACAGTTAATTTAGAAAAAAATTTAGACACTACGTCAATAGACATGAATATCACAAGCAGCAACAATAAAGATAAAGAAACAAAAGACAGAAAATCCATGGAATGTGCGGATGGCGGTGATATTGTGGGTAAAGACACCGACACCATAGATGCTACGAAGACTATAAGCAGCGACAAGATAGACGTGGAGAGTAATGCAGAAGTAAGTGAAGAAGTAATTAAAAGTTCAAGATTTGTGACATCAAAGGTGTTAGAAGAGGTAACGGAAACGGAAACCAAGACAGCAGATGTAGAGAAGGTAGAAGAGGAGGAGAGAGTAACGATATACGAAGATGACGATGGTACTAGTATTAGCGATATAGTGGCTGCACAAGCACTTCACGAATCATTAAGTAAATTAGGTAAAGTACCGCCATTAGATACGGAGATGGAAGAAATGCAAAATAAGAATATACGTGACGAAGCGAAGATAGGAGAACATCCTGAAAAGGATATAGTGGCTCAAGAAGAAACGGTAGAAGGCTTTATCGGTCCATTACTCGACGAAAATTTTAAAGTGGATGAAAAATTGTCACAAAAAACTATGGCAATGGAAGAAGTTCAAAATTTATTGATGAAAGTTAAAGTGCAAACTGTCGAAGACGACGACGACGAAGAAAAAGCTATAGGTATTTCACCGGATGGAAGATTCTTAAAATTTGAAGAGGAAATTGGTCGTGGTAGTTTTAAGACCGTTTATCGCGGATTGGATACCCAGACAGGTGTAGCTGTAGCTTGGTGCGAATTGCAGGTAAGTAAGATTTCTGCGTGAAATGCGATACAAAAAATATTTTTCTCTTTAACTGATAAAGATTTAACTTCTTCAACTTGAATAAATTTTCTAAAATTTAACTTTCTTAAGGATTTTCTATTAAAGATAATTTTACTATTAAATCTTTTAATATATATTTTTTTATTTCTCATTTCTTCTCTTAGGAGAAAAAGTTAAATAAGACAGAAAGATTGAGATTTAGAGAGGAAGCAGAAATGTTAAAAGGGTTACAACATCCAAATATTGTAAGGTTTTACGACTATTGGGAGGTTACACTTACGCGTAGAAAATATATTGTACTAGTCACTGAGCTTATGACATCAGGAACATTGAAAACGTGAGTCTCTGTTAATTATAGATATTCATTATCATTGCGACATAATGTATTAATTAGTTGCATTGTAACAGGTATTTGAGAAGATTTAAGAAGATCAATCCCAAAGTGGTAAAATCTTGGTGTCGGCAAATTCTAAAAGGCCTGAGTTTCCTTCACTCTAGATCACCGCCTATTATCCATCGCGATTTAAAGTGTGATAATATTTTTATCACGGGTACGACGGGAAGTGTAAAAATAGGTGATTTAGGTTTGGCGACATTGAAAAATCGCAGTTTTGCAAAGAGTGTTATCGGGACTCCAGAATTTATGGCGCCTGAGATGTACGAAGAACATTATGACGAATCAGTGGATGTTTATGCTTTTGGAATGTGTATGCTCGAAATGGCTACTAGCGAATATCCATATTCCGAATGTACAGGACCAGCACAAATATACAAACGCGTGGTATCGGTAAGTGTTTATATATATATATATATATATATATATTTACTTCAAATTCTTACATTCGTTCTAACTATTTGTAGTAATAATATCTTGAATAATGAATTACATTATTGTATAGGGTGTAAAGCCGCAAAGTTACGACAAGGTTGAAAATCCGGAAGTACGCGATATTATAGAAATGTGCATACGTCTAAAGAAGGAGGAACGGCCACTTGTTAAAGACTTACTCAATCATGAATTTTTCGCAGACGACGTTGGACTAAAACTGGAGATGGTATCGCGAGATTCGGCAGTCGCGGATATCGAACTGTCGCGCGTGGAATTCAGGCTGCGCGTGCTAGATCCTAAAAAACGTAGCAACAAACACAAAGAAAATGAAGCGATACAGTTCGACTTCGATATACAGGCTGATAACGCGGAGGAAGTGGCGTTAGAAATGGCAAAATCCAGCCTTATATTAGAGGAGGACGCTAAAGCAGTGGCTAAAATGTTAAAATCGCAAATTACTACTTTGTTGAGAGAAAGAGAAGAACGTAAAGCTAAAGAGGAAAAAGAACGCTTGGACAGAGAAACCGATGCTACAACTAATACAGCCGAAAACATGCTTCAACAGCAATTGCTACTTCAGCAAATGCAGCTGCAGCAACAGCAGCAGCAGCAGCAACAAATCCAATCTAATATCGGTATACAGATACAAAATCAAGTTCCAATACAATTGCAGCAGACTCAAATACCTCTTCAACAACAGCAACTACAATCAGCTGCTCAGCAAGCTCAACAACACAACTTACAACCGCAACAGGTGCAATTAGTCCAACAACAACCAATAATCCAACAACAAACATCGGTTGTACAACCTCAACAAGCACAGCAGATACAATATCAACAACAAATACAACAACAATATCAGCAGCAACAACAATATCCTCAACACATGTCGCAGAATCTGAGTACAAATTCTCCGCAATGTTCAACACCGCAGAACGTGCAAGCTCAGCCTCAATTTCCTCAAGTGCCGCAACAGCAGATGTCGCAGCAACCAATGCCCCAACAACAAATATCACAGCAATCAATACCTCAACAACAAATACCGCAGCAACCAATGCCGCAACAGCAAATGCCGCAGCAACAAATGCAGCAGCAGCAGCAGCAGCAGCAGCAGCAGCAGCATGTTCATCAACAACCACAGCAGTATATACAATTGAATCAGATGAGCGTTCCGCAGCCTATTCCTCATCAAGTACAGCAACAAATGCAACCTCAAATGCAGATGTTGTCACAACAACAGCATATGCATCAACAGCTTCAACATGCGCAACAGCAGCAATACGCGCAACCTCAAATTCAGCACGTGCAACAAATACATCAGCATTCGATCGGTTCACCACCTGTTCAAAATCAACAATATTATCAGCAAAATCCTACTGGTTCTTCAGGATATGTATCTGCCAATTCTCTATATCAGCAGACCATGCCGCAACAGATCTTTCACACGTATACTACGTCCACAAATCCTTCCGGCCACGTGGAAATCTTATCATCCACACAAACCGCGACGCAGATTTACTCTCACACAAATCTATCTGCAGCTGCAGTCCCCGCGTCATCGCAGTCGTATATTCAGCCGACAGCGCAGGTTCAAGCGTCGATACCATCAGCTATAAATGTCAATAACTCGTCAGCGGTAACTCAAGTGATGCAGAATGTACCGACCTCGACGATTCCTAATATGCAGAGTGCATCTACTTTACTTAGCAATGCCGGACATCAGCCTCAATCTCAGCAAAATATTCTCATGCAAATGCAATATTCGCAAAGTGCAAGTGTCATGCCCAATTCGATCTCGGTGACACCCGTCGCGAACGTTTCGGCACAATCGTCTACCAACCTACAGCAACAACATTTCCTTCCGAGTACGGAACAGTGCCCCACGACTGACAGGTCTTCCTTGATTAAACAAGACACCATGGATTCGATACAATCTCTGCCGCCAGATGCACCAATCACTCTGCAGCAAGATCAAATTATCGCTCCAACTGCTGCAACGAGTGTCACGCAACAGCAGCAACAGCAGCCAGTAGTATCGAACGACGGGTATGATAAAATGGAGGAGAAAGGAAAAACTCAATGTAAAGATTGAAGAATATATATCATATAGTAATTCGATACTTTATTTTCAGAATCACGCCCGAAAATTCCGAAAGTGTCACCACCTCTGAAAGAAGCAGAGTAAAGCGTTCCGGAACAAAGCGTAAGAAGCCAGGTATCAAATTAACAGTCTTGTCTGTCAGTAGTGGCGAAGGGCAATCAATGACCGTCGAGTGTCAGTTAGATACGAGTAAACAAAAGACTGTTACTTTTAAATTTGATCGAGATGATATGGTACCTACGGACATTGCCAATAATTTGGTAAGAATATATTTCGGCACATCGTTTTATCGTTTTCATTTTATTTTATTTTTATTTTATCTATTTTATTTTATATCTATTCGATATTTCCTCTAGGTTGCGGAAAACCTATTACCACAATCTCAGTGTGAGACGTTTGTAGAATTAATCGAAGACATCGTCAAGCAATTACGCTTAGATCCTACACGTACCCTACCTCTAGTAGCGCATGGTCCGCCCGATCAATCCGCCGGTGGAAGTCCAGTTACGAGTCGACGTCCTAGGGATCGTGACCACAGTCTCGATACAGCTAAGGTAAAATTTGTTTAACAATTAATTCGTAAGCAGAGTCTCTCAGTATCAGTTGTCGAAGATGTGGTATACAACATGTATGGTATTTACATCGTATTTCGCAGATTCTGCATATGATGTATATAAATATAGTGACCTGTATGAGTAGTGCCATCATTTTCTCTTCGGGTAGATCCCAATTTGCATTCTCTTCTAAAGACAAACCATGATTCAGGACGGAGTAACTATTAGAGTAGCACTTAGGGACAATTTTCATATCATTTTGTGTGGAATATATATTTTAAACATAGAATCACAAGAACATGCATATAATTGGTGTGTATGGTTTTGGACGCAGCAGGTGAGACATGGCTCGCTAACACGTCAAAGCAGCCACCGATCGTCGTACAAAGTCCACCGTAGGCACCGCTCGGTGAGTTCATCGATCCCACCGTCCTTTCTCCTGTTTCTCCTATACTTCAGAATCATATCAATCGTGGACGTTTCCGCATCTCATCTTGTTGGGCAATGACCTATGCTCAGTTTTGTGGACATTAGGCCATTTATATAATTTTGTCTTGTTATAGGGCTATTATGATATTTGTGCGAGCATACATGCGTACGCGCACGCACACGCACGTACACACAATATCTATACACGATACGTAAGATATTATGACACATTATATATATATATATATATATATATATATAAATGTCATAATATATTTTTCTACACGCTTTCTTTTACAGATCATCTTACACCACTGTATAATGTATACCACAACATGATATACATGTATATACTCGAAAAAACCATTTGTGTGCTATATTTGTTGAATGTATTGATTTAGATGCCGAATTTCTATTCATTTTCGTTATTTTATGGAATTATATTATTTCATGTGAAATTTTTTATTTTTTATTCTTGTAGTAAAGTATTTGTTTTTTACGTTATCATATTTTATTATATAAAAACATATTTTGCATCAGAAATTTTACAATATTACTCAACATTAAAATTTTAGCAGGATTTCCATGCGTATATAAATATAAAAAATACTGGTATTGAAACATTCTTTTTTGTATAAAATTGCTTCTTGATAGAAAAGACTACCGAATGATCTTTTATAAGACCAATGTGTATTAAATGTTTGCGAAACTCCTTATGAATGCAGAATTTCGAAAATTGTGATGCAGAATTGTTAACACTTTCATTATAGACTACTGTTTTTATATCTTTCACCAATCACTACTAAAAAGATAAAATAACAAATATATTATCTATTTCAGAGAGACGAAACTTCAAATACTTCTACCCCGACGAAATTGTTGCCGATCGACCAAATTATTTCTCATATCGCTAGTACTAGTTTGGAGAAGCAACAAGTCGCACAAACAACCGATAGTCAAGCAGGCGCCGAGAATACATCAGCAGAAGCTTCCAGGAGATCATCTACATCTACACAAAATACCGATACTTTAACCCCTACGAATATACCAAGTGATCCAACGGACAATCAAGAAAGCGTCGTTTCCGCAACGTCCGCAGAAACAATAATGGAAACTCACCATAATATTCAAGACGACGCAAATAACTCAACTTTAAAGTCTTATCAAATGTCCACTGCACATGTTCAAACTCAAATACAGAATACGACAATGAATGCAAGTCACACAAATGAAACATCGAAAGAATCTCAAGAACTAGACGTAGTGGACATAAAGGAATACGAGACGGCGGTGAAGGAAACGAGTACGTCCGACGTAACTGTAGAAATATCTAGCTTGACAGTACCGACACCGGTGCGCAAAGTTTCTCGCTTTTTAGTCAGTCCTGTGGCTGAACAGAAGAATATCACGACGGAGGAGGAATCTTTCACCACCAATGAAAACACAGACCGTGCGAACATTACGACGTCGCAATTGATGCCTCAATCAGTTGGAAGCGTCGCAAGCGCAGAACCCGTACTAAAAAGTGAAGATCATGTAGAAGTGAGTGTTATAGAGGCTCAAGCTATAGCATTACAAGAAAAAGCATTACAAGAAAAAAGTAACAACGTCGAGACAGCACAAGGAGTTCAAGGAATTCAGTTCAACACCGTGGAACAGACAGACAGTAGTCAACAAGTATTGCAGAAAGGACAGCAATCGATTGGACTGCAAAATATCATTCAAGTGCAGACTTTACAACAAGTAACCGGGCATATACAACAAACTACGACTATCGGACAGTCAAAGCAACACACTATAATCGTCCAAGGATCTACGATCACCTCGCAACAAACGTCCCAGCAGATGCCTCAAACTAGCGTACAGAACTTTGTACCAGTAAACACGCAAAAGGAACTGCAATCTCAATCGCTTCACACCACGAGCGGAATAGTTCAACAGGCGCAGTATCAAAACCAGACGATAGTGCAACCTGGCTTGGTTATACAACAGCAACAACAGCAGCAGATCCCCATTCAGCAGAATGTGATGCAACCTCATATACAAACAGAACACCAGCATCAGAGCCAACAGATGCAAACTCAACGTCCACCGACAGTGCAACAATTTGTACCGCAACAAGTACAACCGCAAGCACAACAATATGTAATGCTATCGGGACCTATGCAACCGATACAACCGGCGAATCTAGACGACCGAAGTCGTAGGTTACCAAGTCTGTCTACCAACGTGTCGATAGATTCTCAAATTTCGGAAGTGTCTGGTATATCCGAAGAGAAAAGGCAAACCTTGATTGCTACCAATACACCAATAGCGCATACACAACACGTACAACAGGTAATCTCACAAGATATGCCGAGTACAATGCCGTTGGCCCAGGGTACTGTGGAAACTGCTCAACAGCTACAGACTGTACTGACTCATTCAAATGTGCAGCACGTTCCCGGGACTCTAGTGCTACCTGTGTCTCAAGTATCTCTTCCTGTACATCCAGTCGTTGCTGCAGACGTCTCCACACCGAAGATCATAACAAAGACGAAGGAAGTATCTTCGACACTTCCGGATCTCGCGCAAAATTTAGCGAACATACTGTCGAATCCGAAATCAAAATCTGCTACGCCTCATCCGCTAACCAGCCACGAGCAACCAACCGTAGTGTCTAACGTCACCGCTCCTACGCTAGTTGAACACAAACCTGTACAATCCGAACAATATTTTCAACCTATACAACCGGAAGCGAACCAGTTACAGGTCCAACCGTCCATTCATAATTATCAAGGACAAGTCATGCAACAAATATATCAGGGACAACAGAATTTTCAGCAAGCCTTTCAAGGCCAACAGTTGCTTCACCAAGGCCAAACACAACCAATACCGCAATCAGTTCCGTTAACGATTTCTCAACAGATCGATGCGCAATCGCAGATGGTGCAGTCTCTTCAAAGTGTATCGAGTCAAATGTCGGCTCAAGGAAAGTGGATCGTTTCGTCTAATCAAACTCCTTTGCAGCAACCGATGCGGCATGTGCAACCAAGTCAGTTGCAATCGCTGCAGAATCAACCGCAGTTGCAACAAATTCCAGTACAACCGCAAACTATACAAGAGCAGCAACATAGCGAATCATCGATCGTATCAGATCAGTCACACTTACATTTGAAGCTTCCGGAACAACATTCGATGAAACCTTTAGAAGCTGAGACTTCAGAATCTTTGAATTCAAATTGGTAAAGAAAAAAAAACGTACTTAATGACGTATCAAAAATCACAAAATTTGCATTAAGTTCCAATTCGTTTCAGCATACGCCGTACTAGCTCCGACTGCCAATTGCTTATGTCCGAAAATGAAAATTCTAGTCACGACGTAACCCCTGAGCATACTTTCGTTGAATCAATCGATTCTGCAGTGCTTGTACAGCAACAATTGCCTCAACAACAATTGCAACAGCAACAACATCGTAAACTCAGTCAACAGAATTCGCTGGACAAAGTGTCGGATATAAGCAGTATCAGTAGCATTGGGAGTGGTACGGGACCTCAAACTATAGCTGACTTGCATCAGAAACTTGTACAATTGACTAGTCAACCATCAGAGTCACTGAATGTTGGTACACCTCCTATAAGCTATCCCGCCACACCACATAATCACCAAATAGTAGGAGGATACGATGCATATATGCATTCTTTACAACAGAAACTGGGTAATATTGGTATGCCAGTTTCGTGCACGAATGCTACTGTAAGTACACAGTGTTTCTTGCAATTATTTAAAAAAACATTTTATATTCATTTAAAAAACATACCATTCGTAATAAATAATATACGTTTATCTGAACATACCAATTGTTTCCAGTGCCCGTTATCTCCTCAAACAACGATACATTCCTCTACTGTCCTCACCGACACGCAAGTTGATGCGACTGTCGAAGGCTCTGTTGTAACTCAGGAGAATTCTAGCACACTCACGCTTTCTCAAAATGTTTGTTTTTTTTGTTTCTTTCTTACTTCTTTTTTTTTCCAAGAAATATTCTACGCACGATCGTTGATTCTCGCTATATCACGAGTATTTACATGAAACCCGTTTTCAGAATACGGAATATCCCCTCGACAGTCCAACACCGGGAGTTCCAGCAGGACCTGAAAATATGAGTCCCAGCAAAGAGAATGTAAAAATACGAACTCAAAGACCGGGATCCCGTTTGCAGGAATTGGAGCAAGAGTTAGCCAAGATTCATCATAGAGGATCGATTTTTACGACGATCCCCACGCAGCCATTAACACCGCCTATAACTGTGATCAATTCCGTACATATGCAACAGCCTGTACAAACTTTATTAACGACTGCTCCACCAATATCAACAGTACCTATAGCTACTGTTACTCCTAGCATCGTAACACCGCGATCCGATACTAACACGCCAGTTCAACCGGAACTCCAAGACAACACTAATGAGGTAATATTTTGACATTATTTTATAACATATGTTTTATTTTATTTTATTAATACATTGATTAGAAATCTTATGTTTGGTAAATCGGGCCTTAAGATAATGCTGAAGTGAATAATGAATTCGATAACGTAGAGGCGATCAAAATGTCGTGTCAGATAAGTGTTGACACAATTATGTCATGGTTTTTTCGTATTTCTCGTACATATAGATTTCATGCAAATCTGTACTACTTTGTTTCATTATATTTAGCAGAAAATATAATCACATACATATATAGAAATCTTTCTCTTAACTTTTTGTATATTTTTAAATTTCTCAGTCTGATCGTAAAAATACAACAATGTTCTTTGAAATTTTCTTATGTAAAGTAAACACACTTTCTGTGTGTACAAAAACTGCAAAACTTTCAGGATTTCTTTTCTGATTTTTAATATCAGGCAAATATTTACGCTAAACGATAGTTTAAGATATCAATCCCGAATTTTTTTCATTTTCGTTACATATTGAGCAACACTCTAATCCATGTTAATTTATATGTTAATGCTAATGTTAATTTGTACTTTCACTACATAAAACCTTTTATAATATTTGGTCTGTTTTTTATCGCTGTGCTCTTTGCATTATATTCTAGTTGTACTAGTTTTTTTTTTTTTTTTTTTTTTTTTTTTCCTTTTCTATCAAGTCTCGATTATATATTCTTTTTAAGTTCCGAAAACGTACATTAATATAGCGATAAGGTATAGATCTTATGTACAATCAATATGATGTAAACTTGATAAGAAGAAGACAATAATTTGCCGATAAAATTTTTAAATATGGCATCCTTTTGAAATCAGACTACGGAGTATTTCGTCTTTTTAGACTACGGAGTATTTCATAGTCATGTTCTAACAAATCAATAGATTTGAAAAGGTATCGTTTACTATGTTGTTAAAACTATAATTTTACAATTTATAACGAAAGAATCGTAAAACATTTAGTGATTTGTTGAAAAAAATATACTCACCGCAAAAAATATACCGCAAAAAAAAACAGGCTACTAAATTTTAGCACAGTTTTTTAACATCTTTCAATAACGATAATTCAGACAAACATCATCATATTGAGATGAAATAAAACTCAAATTAAAGCTTGGACATTTGCTGTCAACAATTAAAAACCTAAAAGTGAATTATAATAAATATTTTACAAAATGGCGGATGTTAAAAATAGACTTTGATTAATAGGAAAAAAATTTATTTTTTAACTGTTGCACTGCTCAGGGGAATCGGTTCTCTGGTACAAAAATGTATGAGGTTTAAAGCTCATTTATTTCCTAACTAATCCATATTTTAATCATTTTTCTACGACCTTTTTTCATAAAGTTATGCCGTTTTGAAGAAAATGTTATGAGTCCGGATATGAATCCTATCGAGCATTTATGGGCAGCATGCTGAAACGAAGAGTAAGAAAATATAATACTCAAACGTTATCAGCACTTTGTAACGCATTGTAAGAAGAATGGAATAATATAAAACAAGAAGAAATTAAAAATTTGATTTACAGTATGCCCCAACGAATAGAAGAATTAGTTTTTGAACTTCCGCGGCCATTGATATATATAATCAGGATGTGTTTCTTCCGGATGGATACCGCGTCGTAATTCAGCTTTGTGTCGACGTTTCGCAAACATTGCGGCTTACCTCATCAGGGCTAGGAGCTCCGATCATCGGATGTTTGCGGAACGTCGACACAAAGCTGAATTACGACGTGGTATTCATCCGGAAGAAACATACCCCGAACAGAAGAATTGTTAAATACGAGAGGAAGCAATACGCACTATTAAACTTAAACACATACGCACGCACGTACGTACACACAGGATCAGATTCCTGCCATGTCCATTGTTGATCTTGGGTAACATTAAGAGCAGGACACACACATACATATGTATACGCACGCATTCACACGAGATTTAAATCCGATCATCTACCACCACGTGGAACATCTTGATCGAGTTACACGTTAATTTCCTTTTTGAAACAGTTTTCCACGATAATTTTTATTCTGAACCGCAGAGTTTACAAGAAAGGGTTGTCCATTTTTGTTTTTAATGGCATAACTTTATTAAAAAAATTCGTAGAAAATTGATTAAAATATGGATTTATTAGGAAATAAATGAGTAACAGTTTAAAGGCACATTTTTTCCCCATTAATCGAAGTTTATCTTCAACATCCGCCATTTTGTAAAGCATTTATTATAATTCACTTTTAGGTTTTTGGTTGGTAACAAGAAATGTCTAAGCTTTAATTTGAACTTTGTTTCATCTCAATACGATAATTTTTGGCTGAATTATCGCTATTGAAAGATGTTACAAAACTGTGCTAAAATTTAGTGGCCCGTTTCTTTTGCAAGTGAATATATATAATCTCTGAGGGTAAGTTGAGTAAAGAGAGTTAAGTGTTACACGCAATGTTAAAATTAATTAATATTAAAATATCGGTTTTATGTTGGTAGAAGGCAAATCCTACACAACCTACTAGAAAAATATCCAGATTTGTGGTTTCCAAAGTTGCCGGCCCGCCTGCTCATAACAATGCTACTGTCAATCAACAGCAACCTACTGATATTGCGAGAAGTCTTCCGCAACAGGCAGAAGAATTAAAAATCTCAGAACGGCAAAATATTCCTTCTCATACAGATGATCTGCATGGTAAGAGATTTATCATAATTTAGTTGAGCGAAAATTAGTCGGAAACCCATTAAATTAATAAATGTAAAAATATATTTATATACAGGGTGTCTCATTTTAAATGCCGCGGGCAAATATCTCGAAAAATCTAAAAGATATGGAAAAATGTTTCAGACAAAAGTTGTTCAAATTGGTAGAAAAAAATGATATAATAAAAAATTGGGGTATCTATTTAAGAAAATGATCAGTGAATATATCATAGTGGCACCATCTATAAACAAAATAATATCGCTATCTTGTATGTCCCTCCTCAAACCAATTTTTTCTGAAACGTTTCTCCGTATCTTTTATATTTTTCGAAATATTGGCCTACAGCATTTAAAATGAAACATCCTATATATGATAATATGTATGCATTGTTATATCAATTGTAGGTGTACCTGTACAAGTACTTCATAGCCGAGAGAATTCTGTTCCACCAATTGTACAGACAACTCATAGTACTAATATTCTAAATATTGAAGTAAGTTTCGTAACTTTATAATTATTGTAATAAATTCTGATAGACTAACGTATGTATACGTTATGTCACAAAAGATTATAACCAATGTGATTGTAGTAATTTAATAATTATTATTTTGAGCTTAATCAACTATTACGATTTTAATCGCAATAATTATATTATAATTATAGTAATTAGATACAATTTTAATTTTAGTGTTATAATTTAATAAAAGATTATATATAACTTCAATAATTACCTGTATAATTTTATTTTATTGCAGCCTGAAAAAGAAGAAAGATTCGTAGCTCTTACACCAAGTGAAGAATACCAGTTGCTTATAAAAAGGTGAAGATAAATACAATATAACGTAAAGAATTATATTATCGAATATTTTGCTTTTAATAACATAAAGTAATACATTTCTATTGTATTTTGTCACTTATAGGCAAACTTTGGAGTTAGAGACACTGCAGAGAAGGCACAGAGAAGAATTGGAACGTTTTCAACAGCATCAGCTGCAATTGCTTATTCAGCAGCAGCAGCAAGCAAGCGCGCTTCATCAACATCAGCATCATCCATTGCTTTATCATACTGTTGCGACAAACATTTCTGGTTAGTAATATAAATTAACCGTCCTATTTACATACGTATATTAATAACGTTGAATTATTTATATTTGAACATATTTCTGTTAACTTTACAGGATCCAGAATTCCAGGTGCGGAGGACTATTTAATGATCAGCACAGCACCGCAGACTCCATTGCAAAAAGGACCAAACAACAACTATCCGGACACGGACGAAACCCTACGGTTGGCTATGCAGAAGTTGAAGCAAACGCCGCTGCAGCTCCAGCCGCAGCAGGCATCAGCTGGAATACCACATGCTTACGTTATTCCGATTCCAGTAGTACCTTCTGAAAATATGCAAAGTATAGTTTCCCAGCAGAGTAATAACTGCTCGAATGATATAACCGAGGGCATTGACACGACACACAGCCCAGCAGTTAATAATTCGACGACGCAGTACCAATTTGCCCCTATATTGTCTGAGGGAACAAATGTATCGTCAGCGATAGGAGCATTACCTGCGCCGTTACCAATCGCCAACTCGACGAACGCCTACATCCAGTATCATGAGGGTCAGCAGTTGTCGAATTTTCAGACTTTTAGCTGCACCCCCCACGGCGGCTTCTTTTTGCCAGCTGGATATCGGTTGATATATGCACCGTCCACTGGGACGACTCAATCTCAGCCGGCGACGCCCGCCGCTACATCTCATGTAACAAATTCACGCGACGACACGCCTCCGACGGAGCCGACGCCGCCGGTGTCGCATCACTCCGCTCCAGCCGAGAGCTTAACAGCATCTTCACATACGGATCAATAACGCAGCATTCGACTCGCACGGTTTTATATTTTCCATTCAATCTGTGCTCATTCTTAGTTTAACGATTTGGTATCGCGTCTGTCGGGGTGGAGCTGTGCATTACGAATGTAAGCCGATATAATTTACTATAAAATGCACATTCCTCGTTACCCCACGCCCATCGTTAAACATTCTCGTGGAGATGCGCGAATTGAAAAAGAAAAGAAAAGCATGAGTAGAAGAAGTATATGTTTTTCAATGTACGACATACTTGCATATATAAACGAAATATCAAGATATTCTCGCTATTCTGGGCGTGTGCATGATATTACTCGGATATGTGCCTCGCAGCGGAAATTATGGCGAAATTAATCGGGGAATATATTGCAAAAAGAGAGCAAAGGGAAATATATATAAAGTTTTCCGAATATAACGCAGGAACTTGAGATAGAGGCCTTTACATGTACTGTGCTTCGATGCGTTAAAGACAAAAAAAGAAAAAAAGTTAAAAAAGAAAAATTTCCTTCGCTAAGACCTTTAGAGGATTCTATTATTGTCCGATTCTTTGGTAGCACAGCTCACATTAGTACAGGCCTCCGCTAGTCTTACGATCGAAATGGCACGGCCATTCTGCTCGATATATATGTATAACTGTTACTGTATATGCTGGATGCGCGTCAGAAATAAGTGGATAGAGACTCAAGTGAGAAAGACTATGATAGGAATGGGATAAAAAAGTTGGAAAAGGAAAAAACAAGAGAGTGTGTGCATGTATGTGTGTACGTACGTGCGCGATCACGCGCATTTGTATGTGTGCTTATGATTGTATGGATGTATGCGTGTATCTCGGAGGCAAGTAGGCAGAAAGAAATATAATTAATATAGTCACTGTTATGCTTTAATGTATTTCTAGCAATTTTGCCTATTTCAATTAAAAAAAAAGAAGTCATGTGTTACTAGTTAGCGAACCCATATATCTCGTTTAATATTGCTGATTATTATCTTTTTTTTAAGATCGGTAGTAGCTGTTTTAGCTACCATTGTTTATATATATATATATATATGTGTGTGTATATATATATATAAACATACACACACACACACACACACACACACACACATATACACACACGCACACACACAATATAACCAGAAAAAAAATTGTTCGATGCCATCTATAAACCATCGATGAATGTTGGCAGTTCAACTACTAACTTTTTAATCGATCTGAATAATATATCATAGTCAACGTTTACGAGAGCTTGTTTTTAATTGTTAATGATCTGTGACACATAATTTTAGACCATTGAAACAAAATTTGAATTGTGGCGAATCTGAAACATACACCTTAACAATAAACACAATTATTCGGTACTGCAAATCGTTCGCGGGATTTATCGTTTATATGATGATATCAAAAAAGTTATCTCAATTATAGATGTTATTACAACTGATAAACGAAACATATGTGTAATGTGTTATGTTTCTCCACTATGCTACAAATAACTATAACGATCGATATTTCTTGATAATGCTACATTATTATTAATGTTCTAAACGTTATTTTACGGTTGTCAGTATTATTGCTGCAAGTATCATTAAGAGTGTAACTATCAGAACTCTAAATCTAATTGATGATTTGCACACACAATCTTCTTGTGATTGTTTGAAATTAGATGATCTTGCACGGAGATTAAACGTGTTTCTTTTAAGCGTAAGGCTTGTCTCTTGGTGCTTTTATGTCACAATATTATGTTGAAGTTTGTTAAAACGTTCTCGTATGAGAACCGCAGTAGTTTATTATATCGATTCGAACACATAAATTATTCCCTTGGTAATTTTAGAAGGGATGACAAGTGTAAACATGTATTCATTTAATTGTCATCATTACTATGTGCGCGTTTAATATTTCAGTTCAATAGATAATGATTTTAAATTGTCTCTAATTACATACATATATATATATATATGTATGTATGTGTATATACATTGTGTGTGTGTGTGTGTGTGTGTGTGTGTGTGTGTGTGTGTGTGTGTGTGTGTGTGTGTGCGCGCGCTTGTGTGTGTGTGTGTGTGTGTGCGTGTGTGTGTGTACACACATATATATATATATATATATATATATATAACATTTTCTTTGGTAAGCTACATAAACGGGCTCTCCTTCCCCCTCTTTCCTTCTACCCGTTCTCCCCCCTCTCTCTCTCTCTCTCTCTCTCTCTATATATATATCAAAGTTGCATTACGTCAAAACTAAGAAATTTCAGTCATATAATTCAACGCGAAAAATAATTATTTATCACATTAAGTCCCGTTTGTAATAACATCTAAGGACCGAAAAATAAATATCTGTGTTAAAAAAAGTTTTATTTGAGAAATGATACTTCTCAACATTTTCGAAGAATAATATGTAATTCCAGTCATCTCAATTCACAAAAAAGGATTATCAATGAGAATATGCTTACAATATTGTTGCATTCGTAAAGCATCTTTCATTGTTTTGCCAAAGAGTGTTAAGTAATGCAACAAAAAAATTCCTGAAATTTCAACTAACTAAACTCATTTGTTATCGCGGTGACATTTGTTTTGAGGGAATTGAGCCTGATAAAAGTTTAATTAAATTGTTGTGGTGTATTTATTTAGATACCGCCTGTAAAAAAGCAAATAACGAACAATTTTTACATTCTATAATTCGTATATACTGTCGACATATTCAACACGATTCATTTGATGGTAAATATAAATATAAATAATTGTTAGCAACATTTATAAATCGTATATGAGTAACAAATCGGAAATAAAATTATCTTCACTTATTTGTAGATATTGCAAATGTAGAAATAAGGAAAGTGAGATACACTCTGACTATGCAATCAAATGAGATTACACTATTAATTTCATTAGTAAAAGAATATAATATTTGGCATATAAGCATAAAAAATTTCTTGTAATAACCTCTGGAAAAAAATCTTTATTTCGCTGTGAATTACAGAACTTTAAATCAAATGTATAAAATGATCGAATATCTCCAAATGTTTATAATTATATAACTAAATAATTATTTCGTGCATGAATATTCCTAAAAAATAATTTCACATCAATAGACTTTGTTTTGAAGTTTTGATTAGAAATAAATAAACTAACAATTGGTTTGTTTCACGTGCTAAATAATGCATAAAATAATTTGGTACTTGCGGAGTCTTGGAAAGCACGTCAAACAGAGGGTTCTTGTGAGAGGGCTTAAAGACTGATTAGGTAAAACGAGAAATAACAATCGATAACTTCAAGACAAATGTGAAATCTCACTGAATATACATTTAAGTTTATATGAGAGAAAGTAAGAATTCTCTTTATTATACAATTGTATATCGAATCATTAGCTGCATATTTATTCAACAATGAAATCGAAAATATCTTTGTCCAAAAAGGTTGAGTATTTGAACAAATATATTTATCAATGACAATTTTATTGTAATATTTCATTCACATAATATCAAAACATATTAATATCTAATTATGCACATAATATCTGAATAATGTGTGCTGTGCTATACTATATATAAAATTAAAGTTTAGTTCTCTAAACCTATGTTGCAATAAAAAAGAAAATACAAGATTCCAACCAGATGATATCATGTATATATAATAATTTTACAAAGTGACAAATTATAAAATAATAAATAATATTAAATAATCATTATTTACATAGCAAAGTTACATATGCATTACAAAATCTTAGATGAAAATTTACATCATTGAACATTCATAAATTTTCTTCCGAGCACACACATTGTATTCATATCTAGGTTCTGCTTCTACTGTCGAAATACTGTAACAGATATATTTCAGTAATTAAAATATCTTATGATTTTATTATGTCCAACTCCAATATACAAGAAGCTTTAATATATATTTTTATTGATGCAATAAAAACTTGCAGGAATTTTACTCATAGGTTTTATCAAAAAATATATTACTTATATTCGTAGGAAGGAGATAAAGACAGTAAATGTTAAAGTCACCAGCAACAGTTGTAAACCTAATAAAGGAAAATAAATAAATTGACATATAAGAGAGATTAATGACCATTTCCTTATAATATACAATGTCATTGAAATAATAATGCTGTTTGTCATTTTATATATTCTTTATTGCGATAAATCTTATATATAAATCAAATAATATATAATTATGATACAAATATCTAAAAAAACATATACAAACAGTCTTTTTTTATACATAAAAAATTGTACTTTTTATTAATTGCCACTTTTTATTGATTGTTTGTTCTGTTCTATAATTATAGTAGATAAAATTTGTAAAACTGCAACAAATTAAAACAGGCACATTTGCGAATATTACATCCTGCAAATATATTTTATATAGATAAGAATAAATAGAAGACCATATATATATATTTATATAAATTGAGTAATTTATATATATAAGTTGAATAAAAATTAATAATATACATAAATTGAATATTACTAAATATAATAGAATTTTTTTGCGATATAATATAAATAACACGAAATAATAAATAAAAACATCCATTTTCATATAGCTAAAAATTTACTAAAAATCTTGAGGTGCTCAGGCTGTTCTAAGATATTTTCCACACATTAGATGTGTTTAGAATGATTTCTGAAATATCTAATGCTATTTTGGTTACCCAATATAGAAAAAAGTTATATTTGTATATATTAAATGATACTTACGATGTCTGATACATTTGGAACAATTACAACTCGTCACAAAATTTCAATGATTTCGTCTCCTAGAGTAAGCGCCCATACAAGCGAAAAATCCGACAATTCCAATAATTAGGCCCAAAATTAACGCCAGTGTATCGCCAAAATCAAAATTATTATAAGCCATTGTAGTAGGGAATATTCCAAGAAGAGTAAGTATTAAATAAAACCACATCCTTTCTGTGTAAATTGATAATGGAATGCGAAAATAAATAAGATTGCTATAATATTACTGCTATAATATTATAACTATGGAATTGCTATCATTTGCAGTGTCTTTTTATTGTGCGTTGTATTCTAATCCAATGTAACTTGAGACACATTTATCTCTATATATCAAATTAATAAATATTTAAAATACCTACACATCAATTCAGATTTTGAGAATATTTACTGAATCTTACACAACGTAATACATATCACATACACGCAATCATATATTATATGGTCCGCCAGAGAGAAGAAGGAGAAGTGTCATGGGTCATGGGCCGCTTTTAACCGAGCCCAGTGTGAGGCGCCCTCTGTACAACCGTGCGCATGAACTACGATGCCAATGTCCACGACTCTTTACTGATTTCCCCCACCACGCACGCACCCATAGCCGGCTCAGTCTGTCCGTGTCGACCACGCGGCGTGACGTCTACATGGATAGACTGAGCCGGCTATGGGTGCGTGCGTGGTGGGGGAAATCGGTAAAGAGTCGTGGACATTGGCATCGTAGTTCATGTGCACGGTTGTACAGAGGGCGCACATGGGCCTCACACTGAGCTCGGCTAAAAGCGGCCCGTGACATCTCTCCTCCTTCTCTCTGTATAAACCTATTTATTGTTGGACAAATTTACACAGGACGTCAAGATGAGAATCTAGTGGATTGGCTGGATGAGGATCTGATGGCAAACATGTCCAACAATCTTTTTCGTTAGGACATCTAGGAAGAAGAAGAAGTGTCAATAGAACATTATTTAATGGTTGTCATTCTGCACCGTGAAACTGTTGACGAACGTAAAGTAAAGTGTGTTACATGGCGATAAGTTTAAAGGTGCATTGCAATTTGCAATAAATGGCTAACTCATTAGGCGCAATCGACTGGGAAGGTATGTGTATTCTATAATTGTTTAAGAAAGCTTCAAAGTTCTCAAACAGAGAACTGTGCCTTAGGCAAATTAGATAAAAGTTTGGTTTGTGTTTACCACTTAATTGTCAAACATCATGTAAAACTATAAAGATTTCGAGAGATATCTAAAGTGTCTCCAAATATTTAGAGCATACCTTTTTTCACACATTTCAAGTATCTGTGTTATCTGTGCCATTATTTGTGCCATTTTCACAGGGTCTGTTTTTTATAGCTGCACTGCTGAACTGGTGCGATAAGTTAAAATAAGACAACTATATTTTTTCTCATCTAACTTATTGCACTAATTCAGCAGTGCAGCTATAAAGAACAGACCCACAATTTGTTTGTGATATATGAGCAATACCATGCATCTATTTTAATATCTCAAACTGTTGCAGCTATATTCATGGTCTGTCATTTATAAAAAAAAATTGTGTTTATTACATCCTCCCTGTGTTTAATTTGGTTTCATAAGAGTTTGTTTCTTTTGTATGCCTTATCATTATAACTAGAGTTGCACAATTTTCAACTTTACATGCAATATATATAAAATTGTATACACTGAGCATAAATTCAATAAGCATACAAAATTAATTGTATATAAATTGACATAATAGTCTTATCCTTCTAAAATATACGAGATATATTTCTTATAAAAAATTTTTAAATATAACTTTATGTATTGAAGTTATTATGGCAGTCTATGTATTTACACTGTTTTAAGTTTGAAAAATCTAGTTTAGATTTATGAACACTAAACTTTTAATAATAATAATAGATAAATCTTAAGATATATATATATATATATATATAGTAAGTTTAAACAAATGTGACTAAAATCTAAAAATTTTATACATAGATGTTTCTCGTATATATAATGTTATAGACTTAAGAAAGCAGGCACGACATTTGGAAAATGAAATCGATGCAAAATTAGTGGCATTTAGTAAACTAGGTATAAATGCTAGTGCTAGACACGTCAATACAGATGAAGTACCACTATTGGATGAGGAACATGTGTTTGAAAACATGGCCTCTGAAATAGAAACATTACTCTCCAAAGTAAGTTCATTCTATCTTTATTTACGTACTTTTTTAAATAAAAAGAATGATTAATATTTAATATATATTATTTAGTTATTTTCTATAAATGAGAGAATGAGTGAGTTACAACCAAACGGAGCAGCTATGTTACATACAATGCAACGTCACAAAGAAATATTAAAAGATTATAAGTTAGAATTCAACAAAATTAGGAATAATTTTGCAGCTAGGAAAGATCGTGAGGATCTCCTAGGCAGTGTTCGCAAAGAAATAGAGTAGGTATAATTGTATGTCATTGTTTTTATGTGAACATTATACTATATAATGATCAAGCAATTTTGCACCAATAAAAAGCATGCCTGTTTTATATTTATTTTATACAGCAATTACAAAAGCGCTAGCGGACTAAATAGACGAGAGATGTACCTTAAAGAAAATCAACATATTCACAAGTGAGTTTCTATATTATGATATTTCTGATATTATGATATTTACTGTTACAATATTATCTTAATTATTATCGTTTATTTTTGACAAATAATCAGTCAATACATTCATGTTTCATCATATATTTTATCGTCATATTATGTACTTTGTATAAAAATTTTTTAGTATCTCCATTTTATAATTAACATGCTTTTAGCTCTGACCGCTTGATCAGTGATCAAATAAGCATAGCTATGGAGACACGAGATCATCTAATAACTCAAAGGCAGGCGTTTAAACGTATACGAACCAGATTCAATGACATCTCGAATCGATTTCCGGCAGTGAATAGTCTATTACAAAGGATAAATCTACGTAAAAGAAGAGATTCCGTTATACTTGGCCTCGTCATCGGAGTTTGCACATTTCTGATGCTTCTGTATGCCTTTCACTAGATACATTTTTAGTGCATAGACAGAAAAACAATAACTATACTTCCACCCTTCTCAGATAACGATTACTCACGGAAATGTACGTACATTTTAAGAAATATCTTGAGATGCAATAAACACATAGAGGGTTTAGTTATTTAGAATGTGCGAGATTGTATATGTGCATATACCGCGTGAATGCTCGAGTAATGGTATCCTTTTCTTTTTCTCCTCCAACCTTTTTAACTTGTAATCGAAGCGAAGAAAGTTTATCTGTACAGTTTTTTTATACCGAGATATAAGATGTGGACACATGATGTAAGCAGTCAGTCCACGCTTGACATGTTAACTTAATAAATGTTAAAATATATATGTAATCTTATCTTTGTTAGTAATGAACCGATTCTCCGACATTTAGAATATAAAATGGACGAAGAATTAAAGAATAAACAATTTATCTACATTTCATTTATGATAATTATATAATAATTACAAGTGTCGGTTTTGGTGGACGCATAATTGCCGATAAAACAGTCTATATACTTTATGATAAAATCATTGTATTTTCTATCTGCATAAATCAATCTTTTTTTTCTTTTATAGTTTGTATCACGTAAAATACTTTAATAATAAGAAAAAGGAAGCGAATAGCGGTTGAATTGATTTCAGCGATTTTCACGCAAGAATAGAATATTAGATGTCTCTTTTCCTCTCCTCTCTCTCTCTCTCTCTCTCGGACGATCGATTCTGAGAGAACGCAGAAGAAAATTGGAACTTCAGAAAAGTTTTTGGACCGTGAAAGGGATATGGGAATATCGTCGTCGTTTTGGATAAGAATTATTAGTTTTACATACATAGAGACATTTATACATGTATATATACACGCACACTCGTTCACGAACACGTTTGTGAGTCCATGAAAACAGTACATTACGAAAAAAAAAAATCGTCTCACTAAAAAAGCATGACGCCTGTTTCCACGCGCAACTAGATACCGCATTTATGCCGCACCAACAAATAGGAACTCAAGTAAGAATAATTGTAAAAATATTCAATGCAACACGCATCTTTGTCGTCGACGCATGCCTTATTAGACGCGCTTTCATTTTACAGCCTCTAATATGTATATTTACACTTCGCTCGATTTCGTCCATGCACATGATTACATAATTATTTTCAAGTGCTGGATTTTTTCGCGACGGAATTTCAATTACGATTTTATGTAATTGACATCACTGACCGCTCACTGCGAACCGCAACGTCGAATTATAAAATATTCATTCCGTAGAAGTAACGTAGTAATAATACTATTACTACAATTACTATCACACATTGAATAAAAACGACAATAGAGGGGCAATCATGAATCTTTACCTTTAGTGCGAACTTGTGAAAAGTAAATATTTTCAGAGATTTTCAAATCAAGAAATCAGCACTTTTCACGAGTTGAAAGGAAAGGAAAAAAAATTTATATTCAACTCCTGGGTAAAGGAATTAAATCTATGAAATTTCACGCGGATGTTAAACATAGCAAACATCTCTCTTTTCTATTTTTTTTTGTCTACATCAATGTCGTGAAACGGAGTTCGGTAGACGTTCTTCTTTGCGTTTATACATCGTGTATTATTTTACAATTAGATGTTGCTTTCTATCTCCTTTCAGTCTCTTCTATAGATGCGATATGCAGTTGTTATCCGCGGAAGTTCCCGTCGCGTGTTAACGTGTTGCGACAGCGATTCTTCGCTCGATGTGGATAATCGTGAAAACAGGTGGATGACGATGAATCTCTTTCTTTCGTCATATATAGACACGTCACGCGTACCTAAGTATTATTATTAGATCACTAAATGAAGACTCTAATCACGGATTGAAATTCTATAATCGACTGACTCTCTACACTCTTTGAAGTTTTATTCATTATAGAAGACAGCGAGGCCCATAATCCATTCATTCCTACGAAACTCATCGGCATTCGTTCACTCGTGGATTCTCTCACACGCACACGCTTACAAACAAACGTATAGTAGACATCTATCCAATATCCAGGCCGCACTGGTTACTAGTGTGTATGCATCTGAATATAAATATAATGGTTGTATGTATTCTAATCTCGATCTAATTCTTTTTTCTTTCTTTTTTTATTTTAAAGCTAACTATAAGTTATAGGTTCGCGGTCGTCGAGAGACGAGGCGTAGCGTCATGTATCATGAAAGTGTGCGAATTTTGAAAAATATCTCGCTGAAGCTGCGTTATTTATCATTGAAGTATACGGCATAACCACGCGAGAAAGCAAAATTTGGATTCAGTGAAAGTGGAACCTTGGTGATTTTGTGTTAAATCATGTAAAATTTTACATATTTTGGCTTATAACATTTTGGTAAAATAAAAAATTTATATATGTATTATAAATATTATCCTTCTTCTTTTTGGATGTGAATTAATCAACAATAAATTAATAATGAAAAACTTAAGATGTAATCGGGATTACGAGTTGTCATGGTATACTAATTGCAAACAAAAAATTGAATTTGTCATCATATTGCCCTTTAATCGATTTTTATTTTGTCGAGACAATAAAAAAAAAAAAGAGGGAAAGAAAAAAATGAAGATATAACTTAATGCTTGTACGTTAAGTCACTTAATCGTGTCTTCAAAGTTCGAAAAAGTGCGCAACGTATGTTATCTCGTCTCCCCACATCTAAGTAATATTAATAGTAGTTTCGCAGCGGTAGCACACTAGTACTAATATAGTATATTAGCAGTAATTTATAGTAGCAATGGTAGCTATAGTAATGGTAGCAGTAGCATATATGTGTATGCGAATGTGTGTATGATCATCTCTTCAACTGCTCTTTTCAACAATAAGTATAACGATTGAACGAAATATGAAACTACGGCCGCATATACATCTTTATTTCCTTCCATGGAAATTCGATTGTGCTAATTGTAGTTATTCTTATATTGATCAACGCTTATCACGTTTGATCTAGTTCGACTGATGCTTATTTTGATCAGCATCAATTGATGCTTGTCAGAATGACGCTGCTTAAAAATTTGTTCTATCACGTTAACTGAAATGAAACGAACGCGTCTTTTAAATACTGGCAATCGAAGTGCTCAAAATTGTTAATTATATTTCTCGCTTTCTATATGTACTCGCGTCCTCCATCATTCTTATAAATCCGTTTCATGTTTACCATGAAGACGCGTGCACCTCTATTTCTTTTTATTTTTTCAGGATTCTCTCATAAGTATATTATGAAAAAATCTTAAGAGGTACAGCAGCATATATATTTGCTATACGTATCACACGCTATGTTCGCTAAAATCTCAGATGAAAATATGATAATCAACGGCGACGATGTAAAAAATAAACTTCCTTTTCTAATTATATTCGGCATAGCGATGAGAGCGTGTGTATGTGTGTGTGTGTGTGTGTGTGTGTGTGTGTGTGTGTAAGTATGCATGTATGTATGTATATGTATATATATGTATAAACGAGCGCGCGCGCGCTCACACACACCACACACACACACGTGCGCGCGCGCACGCACGCACGATATAAGGAGCTTTAGCTAATTAAAAATCTACATTGTATTGGCGGCGGGGTGAGTACTACAATATCCGCAAACGACAGACGATCGCGCAGATACGTGAGATAGATTTAAGTTGTAAATTGTTGCTTCAATTCTTCAGCTCGTTCATCGATCAGAAACGTTCGTCGCATCTTGTCGGAAATCAGGCGGCAGCGACGTATGTCGATGACTAGTAGATTCAGTTCGGAATCTACTTGACACATCCATGATTTCAGGCAATTAACACAGCACGTGCGCGAATGCAATGTACTCCTCCTCTTCTCGAGTCTGGGAAGGACGATTTCCTTCCAGTCGCGGTGGATTATGTCATGCCGATAACCTTGCTTGGTCCTATTCATGCCTATGAAGATGCAATGTAATTTGCATTACTTGCAATTGAATATACAATAGAATACCCTCGTACCCGTGGATTTAGTTTTTACGCGGTTTCAGTTTACACACACACATACACACACGTACGTACGTGTGTGTAATTCATATATATATAAAATTTTATTTATTTAATACTTGGTAATGTCTTATTACATGTAATTTATCAGTTAAACGTTATTTATTTATAAATATGTGTGCAAACGAAAAATGATTAATAATAATATACGAGTTTGCTATTATTTGCGCTTACGAACATTCACGATAAACTTAGAAATATATCCGTGGATACGGGAGACCTTATTATATTGATATTTTACATACTCATGAACAAAATGTTTATACTATAGGATGTCCCTTAATAAGTTTTACAAAGCTCATGAAGATATAGACCGGATTAAGATATAAAAGTCCCGTACCATTTTGCGATATTCACAATAGTTATCGAGTTATTAATGACCACACTGTAACCCGAGAGGCTGCAACGTTTCTCCAATTATCCATCTCAGCGCTCGCTCGTCAGCTTTCTATAATTAATAACTCAATAATTATTGCGAATATCGCAAAACGGCATAGGACTTTTATGTTTGCCTACCCCGCTCTATGTCTCCATGAGCTCTGTGAAAACTGTTCTGGGATACTCTGTATAATCCCTTTAAATAATCATATTAGTAGAATTCTTGACACGATCTTTTAGACATGGTAGCGCGCACGTTACCTTCGATACGACTGGACATTCAAAATGTCAGTTCCTCCGTTTTTTCTGAGTCAGAGGAAAGCGCTTGGTGCAACACTTCCATGCAAGTCTTCGGAATAAGCGTCCCAACAATCTTTAACCCTTCATCTATCGAAAATAACGAAATTATTTTTAAATTTCACAAAAATGTTGATATCGATTGAATAATATAAAAACTTACCTGTTCGCAGTCGTACAACTTGCATCTTAGAATTATGTCCAGATCGTGAAGCGAGTATGTTTTCCACGCGACTCCAAACGCTCAGAACAGAACCAGCTAATACATTATAGGAACGTCTTCTCAACCCCACCTCACAATCCATACCAAGATTGGTATTTTTACAATTGCCACTCCAGTAGGCATGCGAGCATGTGTTAACGGAAGCCTCATATTGCTGCGTCCAATGTGGCTCTGCCTCATCCGCACTCACCTTCTTATACTTTTTCTCTAATTCTCCTAGAGTCTCCTGTCGTAGCTGCAGCCCTGTATTGGGCCTGGTGTGACCCGACATAATTAGGTTTCAAAAATCAAAAATTAAAATGCAAGGTTTATAATATGGTTAGTAATACAAACTATGTAGCAATTTATATCTGGCTTAGTAACACCATGGTCTACATTTACATAGATAGCATAAAACTGGACAGTACAGTATATTACATGAACAGTAAAAAGAACAGTAAAAAATAATTTCTGATATATAAAGCTGGCGTTACAAAATGATATAAACAATTATATTATAACAATCTTAAGTAACCTATAGAAGCTAATTTTATGCAATAACCTATTTATGTTTAACCTAACCTAACCTACAAACGTAATCATTATCACAAGTTAAAGAATCGCCATCATAAACTATGCCAAAGATATCGAATACATCATACCTATATACCATGTAAAGCTGATCCTTCTTGCTTTCAGTTTTCTTCTTACCGCCATCCACAATGACCGTGAGAATAGCAGTCTGTTTTCCATTGCGGATCTGATGGCTCAAATAGAATCCCTCCTTAGACCCTGTTAGTTCTGAGAATTTATCTATAGCTTCAGACCAACTCATACCACGCTCAACATGTACCACGTGCAACTCTGTCGGTGCCTTGCCAGTTGCATGTTTCCGCAGAAATCGATATAACCGTACTCTTCGTACGTTTTCACCCGACGTACCGAGATCAAGAATACCCATGTCAAAACGACCAGTTTTTTTCGCTTGCGTGATAATGGCATTGAGCGTGTCAGTGAAATATTTGAAGAGACGATTTTGCAAATCGACCGGCATGCCAAGGATTCGATTTAGAAACTTGGACATGTTGTTATAGTCCTTATCGAGCGTGAGTACACCAGGTGTATTCTCACTATTGCAAATTAAACCGACGCCCACTAGTGCGTCCGCGACATCCTTGAAGAACTCGCCGTGATAATCTTGGGGCGGTGGTACCAACGGCGCATCGAACCTGAAATTGAAATATCAGATCGAGTGAGATGTCTAGCTTTTTATTAGCATATTTTATACTTCTTTTTATATTTCTTTATAAATATGTTTATTATTTCCCCCCCTCTCTTTCTCCCAACGTTCATCGCTACTTACCCCATTATAGCTTTCATTGTTGCTTCCAATGCCGCACGACCGTACTTGTTGTCAATATTGAATTGCGAAAAATCTCGGGTTTCCGTCGCACGACGATCACCGTGCGTCAGAGCCCCCAGGCTCTCTAAGCGTTTAGCGACAATGGATGCAAATCGCCTCTCTCCGGCCAAATCTGATATAAGAAATATGTATTCTGGTGCGTTAACTTGATTCGACCGATGTGTTCGCCCGAATTGCTGTATCGCTCTATCCGCGCTCCAAGGCAACTCGAGCGTGATATGCACACGTCGCATTTGATTTCTTGCTCGTCTGTCGCTTTGTAACGATATACCGCTGCTGGCTGCTTCAGAGATGATCGCTACGGTTTTTAATCCGTCCATAAATCTAATAAGAAAAATAGTTGATTAAGAATGTCAACATTCAATAGATATGGTTGCACACATATTCGAATCTAGCTATATTAAAAATAAAAAATCTTACGTCCTTACGTGTCGAGTCGACATCGACATTACATTTCATTTTAGTTATTTACATTTTATTTTATACTATAAATCAACTTTTTGTTCATTAACCATATGCTCAATATAAATATATTATTGTAAATATGTTTTTACTATGTTATTGTTGTATTAATATGCATTAATATTATTGTCGCATTAGTTAACCGTCTGTGTCCCACGCAGCGCGACCGTGCTGTTCCATGTCGAGAAGACCCAATATATTTGCTGTACATGAAGTTAGCCCCACCTTTTTTGAAAATTATATTTTTGAAAGTTGTTCCAGGTTGTTCTAACTTTGTACCACAGCGGTTCCCAAAGCGGTATTATTTTATTCCAAACAGTTCTCAAATAAAACGAGAAAAACTTTTTTATCTGGCCCCCCTCTTTTTCAAAAATCGAACATTTCTTTATCGTTACAGATTGTTCTAGTTATTCCAAACATTGTTCCAAAAGAATAATTCCGTAAGTCGAATCATAAGCCCAGCAAATTAAAAAAATGTTCGAGATATAAATACTCCCCGATCAAGAGTAAACTCAGAACAAAAAGCTGTCGATTGGAACACGAAAGGAAAGCTATGTTTTTATTCTTGACGATGCCGTTAAAAAATCGATTTTTTTTAATTTTGTGAGAACCGTAGATGATACAAGATTTATACTACAGAACTATGTTATTTAAGCCTAGGACAACTCAGAACAAAAAGCTATCGATTGGAACATGAAAGGAAAGGTATGTTTACTCTTGATCGGGGAGTATTTATGTCGAACATCTTTTTATGGGCTTATGGTTCGACTTACGGAATTGTTCTTCTAGAACCAATGTTTGAAACAATTAGAACAATCTGTAACGATAAAGAAATGCTCGATTTTTGAAAAAGGGGGCTCAGCTAAAAAAAACAGTTTTTCTCGTTTTATTTGAGAACTGTTTGGAATAAAATAATATCGCTTTGGAACAATGTGGCACGAATGTGGTTAAAACAACCTAGAACAACTTTCAAAAAAGTTGGGGCTAACTTCATGTACACATATATTTGACCGCTGTGGACAACTGACAGTGTACTGAGATTCCGCTGAAGTCAGCGTGCTCAACTTTATTGATATATGTCAGTCGCATTGTTACTTTTTTCATGTAAACCATATGAATAATACATTTTGTTTCTAGTTCTCATTTTTCCAATCATTTTTATTGAACAGAAACTAAAAATATTTATATTTAACTAATAGCAACAGCACAACATAGAAACAAAGCATAAAACAGCACAATAAAAAAAAAAAAAAAAGAAGCACGGTCGCGCTGCTTGGCGTTTTTCGATATAAAAAAGACGAGTGCTATCGCGCCGCTTGGTTCATTTCGACATGAATTAAAATAAGCGCTATCGCCGCTTGGCTCTTTTCGACAAAATTTTTCTAGTGAGCCTTGGGGCTCGAGCGGTTAAATATCGAAATATTAAAAGAAATGCAAACTACTTGATACTGTCGCAAAGTAAATAAATCATAACAGGTTGGTTAAGAAAAAAAGTCGGAAACAATTCGAAATGCAAAAGATTAAAATCATCTTAGACTAGATTAAATTTATATAACGTAATTAATATCATGTAGATACCTTTGCTTTTCTGTCAAGTTGAGGGTTTCTAAAGGAACATCCACTTCTGACCTAGATTCGTATTGTATTGCACCGTCTTCCGTCTGTACGACGCGACCTTTTCTGCCAGTCATTTCCGCGACATTTTCTGGGCCGCCAAGCTCATCTATTAACTGATCTAGTGTATTTGGAGGCAATCGGTCGCCAAGAGACTCTATTTTGGCCAAAAGTTCTTCTTTCATGCTACAAGCTCTTTCAATAGCATCCCTAGGAGGTGCATGATGTATACTTCGCATATTGCCCATATGACCGCCGGCTGTATCGCCATTACGTTTATTTCTATTAGTAGAGGACTTATGTACCAACATTGACTGAATCTTTTCTTGCGTACTCAAACGTTTCTTCGCGGGTTTCTTTTGTTTCTTGCTACCTTTCTTCTTTCGCCTGTCCCAGGGATCTAAAAGCAAACAAAAAAAATAAAAAATATAAAAATAAAAAAACCACTTTCAATGTTCCTTCAACTTTTTGTCAGTTGCAATTATAGACATAATGTATCTAGATTGTGCGTTCTCTTAAATTTTATGTAGAATGTAGGTAGACCTCACGTGGGAAAAGATGCCACTTTGCTTTATATTTGTGCGTTCTTTCTCGTACGAAAGAAAGAACGCATAAACACAGAGTGAGTTTTATCCCTATTTTTCGAACATGCAGTTTAGATATACTATGTCTATGGTTGCAATTAGAGCTTCCAATCCCGGATACAATTTAGGATCCCGGGATTTCGGGATTTCTTGGGGTTCCATCCCGGAATCCCGGGACTAGTCCCGAGATTATATATATGTAAAGAAAGAAACAAGGAATATTTACAAATAAGTGAATTATTTTATTTATAGAACGTTCATAGACTTTTGTGAACATTATGACAAAAAATAAAATTTCAGTAGAAATGAAAGCAACTTATATTATAATGATTGCACAAAAACCGTTACAATGAAAAATTGAAGTTTTTGTAATAAAAATAAAAATAATGATTTCTTCTTTTTCACATTTGAAAAAGCGACTTTAAACATAATAAAACATAAATTTTGTTAAAAAATATCTGATCGAAAATCCCGGATTCGAGTCTGTGTTGCGCCAGTTTATCCGCGAAATTTAAAATAGAAAACTCCCTTAATATTTAAAAAAAATAAAAATAAATACATGGAATTAAATTTAAAATATAAATACACACTTCTCTAGCAAATGCTCTAAAACATCAGTAATAAGTAATAATTATTAAAGTAAAATTTTTGTAAAACTAAATCTAAATTTAGAAACTAAATTTAAAATCTAAATCTAAAAACTAAATTTTGTAAAACTAAAATTTTTTGTAAAATTTTTGTAAATATTATATAGACACTAAGTATTAAATTTTGAAATCCCGAAATCCCGGGATTTGTGATGTTGAATCCCGAGTATTTTCGGGACCAAAAATTTGGCCGGAATCCCGGGATCCTGGGATTGGGAACCCTAGTTGCAATGTATATATTGGTGTTGCGATCGATAGAAAGTTAAATTGATAAATAAACATGGGAATAATTGGTAAATAGATCAATAATGAAAATTTACGAAATTTACGAAAACTTAGAACTTACCAACGTCAGAATCACTGTCACTGAAGAAAGGATTGAAGTCTGAGCTGATATTGCTTTCTTCGTCTGTATGATGATCGTCTTCACTTTCGCTGCCGCTCAGTTTGAACTCGGAGCCGGAACTGTGAGCGCCGTTCCTCTCCTCGTCCGTTATTTCTTCTTCTGACGACCAAGCGCGCACCTTTTTCGATGCACGTTGTGCTGCTTGACGTACGGGTTTCCTCTTACTGCCCCCCGCTGAACCACTCGCACCGTCGATATCATCGTCTTCTAATTTGAACTTTGGTGGCTCCAGACCAAGAAGGCGTTGAATGCGATTGCGGTCAGGCGCAGGAAAGTGTTTTTCTACTAATGTTTGAAGGACGCCCCTAGAATGTGAAAGTGTCGTTTGCAGTAGTACACGATATATGTGATACTTTTGTCACATTTGAAGAATGCTACTGACTTTGCGGTAGAAACAAAATCGGTCAGTTCACCGTCGTCGCGCTCTAACTGCTCCAATGTGCGCGCTTCGCCTGTAGACTGCAAACCAATGACTACGCATTTACCGCATTTCACAGCTTCACGAGCCACCAAGACCGCGTGTTTCACTTTCGCAGCAATACACAGGTACTTGAAGAACCGCTGATGTGCCGACCAAAACTGACCCCACATTGTTTTCTTCATACGATTCTCCGCGTCTATTAACTCCGCCGCTTCCTGGAACCTTTGCATCGCCTCTACCCACTAGAAATCAAACTCAATTGCGTGAAATGCACAAAAGGTATTTTCACGAACGATTTATGTATAGAAGCTCGTTTTCTATCTCACAATAACTTACCAGTCGCACCGAATGATCGTAAATCTTAGTGAAGTCCTTAGAAAGGGGTACTTCCTCGATCTTGAAAGCCACACCATGAAAACTTAATTGTCGAGCGATGTACATGCCGCGAAGCTTCATGTCCATCGCCACGATCTCCATTGCACCGACACCGCGTTTCTCCACGGCAGTGATAAAGTCAGTGAACTCAGGGAAAGGAGTGCCTTCACCCCACATACCCAGTCGCACCATATATGCCATGTTGCGAGGCTCAGAAGCGCCAGTAGCACTAGCGTAAATGACCCTAGATTTCGGGAGTTTGTTCTGCAACTCCAAAACTGTCAAACCTGCGAAAATTTTATACCGTAGATATAAAGCCATTCGTATATATTTCATATTTAAAATGGCTTTGCGCGCAATTCCGCTCTACCTGTTTTTGTCGGCTTTGAACTGCCAGTAGGACATAGATTTTTCGCCCGATGGCACTCGTCAAAAACTATCAAACCGTCGAAATCTTCACCGCACCACTGCAACAACTGCTTCAGCCTGCTCTTGTATTTCCCGCCACTTTGCGAAGATTCACCAATCAAGGCAGAATAAGTGCTGAAGATTACACCTTTCTTCACATTGCCATTTGTAGCCGACGAGATCTTGGCGTATTTGAATTTATTCAAGGCATGTACCTGCAAATTGATTTAGTCGTTGGCTTTTGTTGTTCCAGAGTTATCCGCAATTTAAAAAATCGTATAATTGACGTTTCAGTAAGCGACTGAAGATACAATTTTTACATTATTATTACGAACACACTAACAATATCAGCGTATATTTAACGCAAAGCATAAGTCACGTACCTCAATTTTGGATGCACCTATGTCTTTTAAATCGCGCTCCGCATCATACTTGAGATCGTTCGAGACAGACACCCAAATGGCGCGTTTGCGACTTTTCAGGTAATTCTCGAAAATTATTCCCGCTATAGTTCTACCCTTGCCGACACCCGCGCCGTCGCCGATTAGAAATCCAGCGCGTGTACCATCGGGTAGCAGATGTTCATGTTGTTGGGACGCGTATGTAATGGATTCAAGTTGGAGCGCAGAGAGTGCACCAGAACGAATTGTCTCCTCTGGTATGGAAAGCTTATACCAAACGTCCGTCGGCTCCACACTCGATAAAGATGCTGTTTCGACAACTGGATCTGGATGCTTTCGTCCAAGCTTAACTGTAAATAATCTCAAATATTACAAGCGAATGTGTATAAATTGAAAATTAAAATGAACATTAATCATACGTTTTGTCGGCATATAATCAGCGTAAGTCTCCGCAACACCCATGTCTTCATCGTCCACTTCCTCCTCCTCTGGTATAGCTGGCCGCATCAGTTCAGTTGGATCACCTGAGTTCATCCACATTTGCGACACAGCTTTACCTGTGACAAAATTGAAGGCAACATAAATTCGCCTGTAGTAGGCACTATAGCGAGTACGACATCCAAAATTGAGATGTTAGGTGATTGTAAATACCTGACAGTCCAGACCAATTGGGGGCAATTCCACTTTGATTGAGAAACTGGACAAAGGGATTAACTCCCATGTTCATTCCAGGCATACCCATAAAACTGCCCATTAAGGCGTTCATGTCCATACCTAAGGAATAATTAATAAATATATCAATAATCAACAAAACTACACCATTACGAATATTACAGTATCAAAGCTTTTGGAATGTAGAGAAATATTTGATTTGATTTTCAGTTTATGTTACATTGCGTTGCATCTATATTGCATTATGTTATGTTGGATTTGTTTTCAATGCTTCATAAACATTCCAGTTTCCTTTTTTTGGGAGAAGTTTCTGAGTATTTCTCTCCTTGGAGAGTGAACTGGAATGTTCACAATATATTGGAAACAAATCCACCATGAAATAAACTCAGAAATCAAATAAAATATCACTATAATATCCAAGTATTATTTCCTTTGCATACAATGATTTTATCATATGGAATGATTTTCACACAAGTTTAAATCTGTCGTATACAAATAATTAGGAATAAATGTATCATTAATAATAATATATAAATAGTCAGGAATAAATATAGCATTAGTAGTTTTATGTAATAAAAACTTGTCATGATGTATGTGCACAGATAATATTTATACATACGTTCTCATACAAGCACTATATAAAAAACAAATTAGAGAAAAAAAATCTCAATTTTTATACAAAATTCAGAATACTGTAAAAATAGACTTACTTGGTTGAAGAAAAGCAGCAGGATTAAAACTTGAGAGAGCTAGTCCAGGTGGAAAGCCATAGCCGCTAGCTAACTGACTTAACTGATTTAGTTGACTTGCACCAACATAACCTGGTGGGACACCTTGTGATCCTCCTACACGTACCATTTCGTATCCTAACCCTGTAGGTTTTGTTACTAATCCTCCAGGAATTTTATTACCAAACTTTTGATTCAATACTGGAAATAAATTGCAAACAATAAATTTTTAAATATATTTTAAAACTAACTTTAAATATATGAATTAATTTTAAATATATAATATATAAAAATTAATTCTGAATATATAATATATACTTAAGTACGATAATTTAAATAATATACTTAATATATTTTTAAATATATTTCTATATATATATATATATATATATGTGTGTGTGTCTAAAAAGATAGAAAAAGATTTACATGACCTTATGTTTATGAAATTAATTCAATTATATCTGTTAATTTACCATTTAACGCCCCTTGTGTTTTTTCCAAAGGACTTGCGGACAAGTCTGGCTTTTCATCTTTAATATTTGCAATCCCTGCAGCAGTTGCAAGATCTTTACCTCCACCTAGGAAAAATTGTTACCAGAATTAGATTTTTTAACTCAAACAAAAAATATATCTTAATAAATGGCATACAAAGTTGCATCATCTTGTACAAAGTAACAATTTCCAGAATATTGCAAGAGTAAGATATATATGTATACATATACGTATCATTTATAAAGTATAATATAATTTACCAGGTACTTCAATTTTATCAGGATCTTCTTCATCGTCAAAGTCACTCTCACTTGTATTATCACTTACACCATCATCATACTTTTTTGTTGCCTATAAGAAAACAGAATAGATTTTGTGATAAATGTGAAATTTTTTAATTAGGACAACATATAATTTAGTCCTAAACAGTAGATATAATTACAGTATTAAACTGCTATGTAATTTAAATGAAAAACAAATCCAGATTGAGAAATATATATGGAAATCATTAATTGGTTAATAAAAATTTACCAGCATCGTTTAAGAGTGGTAATATCCTGCTACAAATATGCTGTTACGCAAACATAACATAATAAAAGCAAAGTAACAGAGAATACTCGTATCTATTCAGATGAATGAGGGAACATCCGCGATATCGATATCGCGATGTAAGAGATCGCGGAAAGCGTGACAGGAGGCGCGCGTCGTCGTTCTCGTAGAAGCGAAGAGTGCGCGTCACGACGAGTCTTAGGTTAGTTGTTTCTTTGTGCGGACAAGACAAATGAACATAAGATACGCGCCTCCGATAGGAAGCGTGTGCTCTGGACTTTTGCGAGACGCATTTCAGCATCTCTTTCTTCTGTTTCCTCTCACTCTTTCTCTATGAATAGAGAACGAAAACCCACCATGACAAACGAAGAGTCGTAAATCCCGTCACGACGTGCGACAGTGGCGTCGATGACGATGACGATGGTCACCGGTGTTAGAACGACGTTTCAACGAAGAAAACACGTTTAACGGCGTATCGCCAATAATAGTGTACGCTACGAATCCGGAGAGAAACGTGAGTCTTTTCCTCTCTCTCTCTATCGCATATAGAGCACTGTTTTTTTTCGGCCCGGTTTAACGAGATGAGAGAACGTGTCACGTTAAGCACGCATCGTCGGACGTGCGTGTGCAATTCTGCGATGTCACGCGAGCTACGAGATCAACGCGTTATACGTTAGCGTCGACCGCCCAGACCGGTCCATTTCACGCGGTCGTCAGATAATCTGCGAGATGCACCTCTAGAGCGCGTTCGCTCGGCCGCACAGCTGCCACCATATTGATATCCCCCGCCGCCGTTGGCCCGACCCGCCGGGCATAGCGACAAAACACAGGCGCCCACTTAAGTAACGCGCTGCCGCCGCACGAGGGCGCTAACGGACGCGCACCGTTGCCGGATCCACAGCGGCAGTGACCTAAGGGCAGGTACGCAGGACACGCGGGTCCGAAAAATTCACATGGTCTTGCATTTTCACGATTAGCGGTCGCGTGCGAATAAAGGATCGGTCGAGCGCGCGCTCAAAACGCGCGCGGAGACAATCACGATTCTACGCACTGCGGAACGCCATCGTATTACGAAAAGCCGGTCACCATGATGATGATATTTTCTCTTCGTTTTACAGTATCGTGGCAATAGCACATGCATGACTTTTTAAACATGTGTGCTTATATTCGCGCTCCAATAAGTCACGATGAATTCAAGGTCAGGAGCGATTCAAATAGGCATTCGCGATCGCGATAAGTCAATAACTAAGCAAATATTATGAATTTATGAGATCAATTTTCGCCGCTGTCAGAGCGACAATCGTGTAATTTTTCTTTAGTTCGAGTTTACGTACAGTTTTTCATTTTTATGTTACGCTCGTAAGAAAAAATTACATCATTGTTACTCATAAAAGAATTGTTTTTCGAAATATATATTTTACATACAAGTACATTGTATCTCGATCATCGATTACTCTCATAATTCATTGCTATTTGTTCAAAGAAATGCAAAATTTATGATATCCTTCAGCACCTTCGTAGCAAACAAGGCGCCTTATCGTCACTTGATAAAACTTTGATAAAAACGACGCACGCGAATAATCAAGAACCTTCTAAACAATGTCTTCTTCTTTTCCCAAGTAGATTGTTTATTCAAACACGTGTACTTACCATCACGACGTGACTGTAGCAGCAAAGACGACACACTGACGAAGCTATGTATTTCACACACGCAAGTTCCTATGGGAAACGACGACACGTACGTTTGGCAACGTCGTCGCCGCGTGCGGCGCTGATCGTTAGTTGATTTAAAGTATTCGCGCTAAAAAGAAAAGAACTCTCACCGAGATAATTTTAACGCGCACACGTTGATTGACACGCTCAATCACGAATTCTGAATTCACGTGCAAAATGCGACGTTTCTGCACTGCACTGATGATCGAAGCAATACGTACGAAGCTTGTTTCCCATGACACGATTGCCGATAAATTCGTCTAAAAAATACGTCGCCGCTCGAAGCGATCGATTCGAGCTGTACGTTGTCGGCAGCGCCACACGACATGATGGTCGCACATACGAACTAATTGTCGCCGAACAATAAAGGCCGGTTCAGAATAGGTTGCAAACACCTAGTTGCAAGTTGCGAAGGATGGTAACTACTAGTTACAAAGTACTATTTCCAGTTGTAAAGCCAGCGGCACACGGTGCTTGTTTTCGTGCTGGATTGCTTGCTGAAAATACTGCGTTCTGATTGGTACATTTCCATCCATCTTCGGAAATGTACCAATCACAACGCAATATTTTCATCCAGCAAGCAATCCAGCACGAAAATAAGCACCGTATGCCGCTGGCTTAAGAGATAGTTGCGGTTGCTAAAAGAGAGTTGCCCAACTTTTAATTTCTTGGTGACGGTAACCGGCAATCGCAACAACTCAGCCAATCAAATATCGAATTTAGGAAGAGCGCGAAAAATAAAACACGATCATCAGTGCATTTTTTAATAATTTTGTAAATATTTTGTTCGTTATTTATAAAAAATGGATATAAAAGAACAATACGAACTGGATGTGCTTGAAGCGATTGGAGAAGAGTGGGACGAATCCGAGATATGATCATTAATAGCATATATCAAGATAAATCAATTTCTAATCAATAAAATTTTAGAAAGAGAGAGAAAAAAATTATGCTTGGAAAATGATTGCAATGTTATTTAATAAAACAGATATTTCTTTTTTATGTACCATCTTTGTGTAAAATTTGATGGTAGTTTTTATTCATAACTTCAATACAGCCTCTAAGCTATCAGACAAATTTATTATCTTTCTTGTTAACGTTATTATTTCATTAAAGTGACTTTTATTAAACTTCTATGGTAACGCGACAATTTCCCGAAAAATGGCGGAGACAAGATTGGTATCAACGAAAATCTCTAGACGACATAGTTTTAATTCTTAGGTTAGTAATACTGTTTAAGTGGTAAGCTGTTAGTTTGCGCAAACTTTTTGACAGATGTGCACACGTGTGTCACAAATATCCCAGACAGCATACGGATATCCACTGGACGTCCGTTATATGTCCATTTTTTTTACAAAAGATGTCCATAGGACGTACGTTTGTCACAACTTCGGACATAGGGCGTCCGATGGACGTACATCGGACGTCCTACAGGTCCGATGTCCAATAAGGACATCCTTGTTACGTCCAATTTATGTCCACGGACGTAAATCGGACGTGAAACGTACATCTAGTGGATGTCCGGTGCTGTCTAGGTACAGCTTCATGAAACCTGTGATCTGTTCTTTTTAACTGCACTACTGAACTGGTGCAATAAGTTAAAGTGAGAAAAAATATAGTTGTCTTATTCTAACTTATTGCACTAGTTCCGCAGTGCAGCTAAAAAGAACAGACTACTGGTCAATCGATTATAGCGGATGTCTACTGTAATCAACTGGACAAAATGATAATGGATGCTTGCGATTAAGCAGCCGAGATTGATCAATAGAGACAGGCCAATCCTCTTACAAAATAACATTCGATCACATGTCGCACAAACAACGCTGCTCAAACTATAGGAGCTGGATTTGGAAATTCTGTGTCATTCACCGTATTTATCAAATCTTGCACCAACTGACTACAACTTCCAGGCGCTAGACTATACTTTTTGCACAGAAAAATATTCAATTCTCAACAACCTGTGGCAAACGCCTTTCGCAATTTCATCGTCACTCGCTCTTCAGGCTTTTTCGCTGCTGCTATAAATAAGTTACCGTTAAGATGGCAAAATTATGTCAGTAGTTTGGGCCCATACTTTGATTAATTGTACTATTTCCAGTTTGAGATATAATAAACCAAACTTTTTTTATTCGAAATCATTTCATACTTAATGACCTAATAATGTCTTTTCATCGAATTATTTCTAACTGAGAAAAGTTATATATCGTTGATCAGATCATGAAGAAGATCTACAGTGCACACACATCCACATACATAACACTATCTTCTATATAGATAAACACATTTGAAGATAAACATATTTGAAAATATTCGTTTTTTCGTTTGTTTATACAATTATTAATGATCGTCTGCACTAAGATGCCTATTATTCAGTTATTAGTAAGACTAGGATATAATCTAATAATAAAAAGAAATAAATAAAAGGTAAATCTTTATGTACATTTCACTTTTTCTTATGTTGGCAGATCACGATACAACTCGCAAAGAAATGAATGAAATAAAACTATTTAATAAATAAATTTAATTTAATATTACTCTCAGAGTTTTGTATATCGAAATAATTTCTAACGAGACAAATTCCACAAGCAAGATGACGAACAAAAGAATTCATTCAAGACCTCGACCTTTCAACAGAATGTGTGACACAATAGCGTCGGCTTATCGTTATCGATGATATGTTTTATGCAGGGCTTATAATATTTATGTAACTCATGATCTTGCATCTTTAACCTATTTTGCATTTTACATTTGCAACACGTATAAATACTCAGTTCTCAAGTAAATAGAATTCTATACTGTACTTGTATTTCAGTCCAACAACAGGAGAATAATCTTAGCAAAATGAAAGCTGTCGTGTTCTGCGCCTGTATCTTGGTACTTTATGTAAGTATTATTTACTCGTCCGTATTTATAATAAATTGTACATATCATATATTATATAAAATGAAACTACACATATATGTCAGACTTTTAGCTCAGTTGAAGCTATACAGAACAAGTTGAAACATATGCTTTCTGAGGAAGACAACGATCGTCCTATCGATATCTGCCTGACTCAATTTAACATGACAATACGTAAGCTACAATTACATCGCTTCTATAATTTCCCGCACTTCTTATCACTCTGGAGTTTTTAAACCAATTTTGAAATTGTTTAATTGTAGAATGAAATCTGATAGCTTCTTCTTAAGAAGATAACAACTATTCAATAATAACAATTATTTCCAAAATCAATAATACGAGTACTTTCGTATTTATTGTAAATTAAGCTATAACATAACATGTTCTCTGGCTATGTTACAATTTTTCAGTTGACCTATACACAGAGCCTGAAATAATGAATGAAGAATACACTAAGCCCGAAAACGAAGAGAAGAATAGAAAAAATGGTTGCCTCTTGGAATGTTTGTTAAAAAAACAGGGTTTTGTAAGCTTTTATACAGGGTGTCTTAAAAATACCGGAACTCTCGGATAACTTTGCAGGATAAAGTTTTCATCAAAAACTTTAAATACAGAAGTTGTAGAAAATCGAGTAACAGACTTGACGGTGACCTTGAATTTGACCTTGGCCATGACCTTCAATGTCATTTGGAGGTCAACTTGCGTTTTTAAATGGGAACCCTTATTTTTTATTATACTGTTTTTTTTCTACCAATTAATTTAAACAACTTTTGTCTAAAACATATTTTATTTGCCTAATATTTTTTGAGATATTTGAGGAAAAATTGATAACTTTTTCGATATTCAACTTACGATATCTCGCTAACTATTTGTCGGAAGAAAAAGTAGTACCAGACTCTCCTGCTTTATTTGGCCTCAAGAATATATTGTTACAATACCCTGACTTTTGTTAACTTACTGACTTTTAGAAATTTCAAAATCATCAAATTAACAAAAATCGGGACACTATTGTAACAATATATTCTTAAAACTAAATAAAGCAAGAAAGTCTAGTACCACTTTTTCTTCCGACAACTAGTTAACGAGATATTGTAAGTTAAATAAGAAAAAGTTATCAAGTTATATCAAGTTATTACAATAGCTAAAAAAAATATTAGGCAAATAAAAAAATGTTTTAGACAAAAGTTGTTCAAATTAATTAGTAAAAAAAAAACAGTGTAATAAGAAATAAGGGTTCCCATTTAAAAAACGCAAGTTGACTTCCAAATAACCTTGAAGGTCATGGTCAAGGTCAAGGTCAAATTCAAGGTCACCATCAAGTCCGTTGCTCGATTTTCTATAACTGATGTATTTAAAGTTTTTCATTTAACATTTTTCAGAAAAGTTGATCCTGCAAAGTTATCCGGTATTTTTAAGACACCCTGTATACAGACTGTAATTTTATATGTGAAGAATACAAGTTCAGAATTCTGTTAAGAATTCAGGTAAGTCAATATTTTACTATTCCTTTCGATTTGTTTTCTCGATTGCGTCAGATGGAAGGATCAGACATCAACGAGACTAAAATTCATACACAAATGAATACAAAATTTGCTAATGATCCGATGCTAGGCAAAATGCACACGACTGTACATAAATGCGTGAAAGAAATAAAAAGTGAGTAAAAAAGATATTTCTATTAAAAATATAGAAATATATATATATATATAGAGAGAGAGAGAGAGAGAGAGAGAGAGAGAGAGAGAGAGAGAGAGAGAGAGAGAAGCCTATATTTCTTAATACATCTCTAATTATATTTGTTCATTTTATTTTTTTAGAGAACAATATTACACAAGAATGTGAAAAAGGTTTTTATTTACTTACTTGTATGATGAAAGGGATGTATAAAGCAAAGAAGCATGATGAACATGAATCTGAACATGAACATACAACTTAGTTACATACAACTGAGATATATATATATATATTGTATGTATGTGGGTGTATATATAATATATATCTATACAATCAACAATGTAAATCAATTATCCAATAAAAGTTGAATACAAAACATATTTTAAATAAAAACGGTGTATCCTCTTATATAAATCTCTTAAACACTAGTAAATAACAGATATGGAAATGCAAATTTTTGAAAGGGAACAAGTAATTTAAATAAAAAATAAAGCATTAAATAATTATAATTATGTTCGATTGTATTTAATTTTTCACATTATCTACAATTAATAGTCCAGTATTACCTCCCGAAGGAAATCTTTTTGATATTAGTTGAAAAATAATCAAAGCGTTAAATGTTAAATCGTTAAGCATTTTATTTTCATATATGTGTATCTTATTTTCCTTAAATAAAACAAATTTTCCATAGCTCCAATTTATAATGTCGAGGAAAGAATCAAACATCAAACATCGATTAATGATGTGGAAGCTAAATTGTCGATTGATCAAAAAAAGAAAATATTTCAAAATTCTTTTTTTATGTCGATTAATTGACAAACATATTTCCCATTTCTGTAGTATCGGTAATGTCAGAGTTCCTCAATTATTTGAGGATCTTTCGTCGGTAATGAAACGAAATTGCCTTTAACAAACCGACAAAGAGAGTACAGCTACCTATACCAACGATCGTGCATCTTTGTTACCTTCTGTCTTTGAGTCTCGTTTTCGTGAAAGACGCGGAATGCCGCCACTGTAGCTAATCTTCCCTAGCAACCCATTCTTCCGTCCGTCCGTTCATATGTCCGTCCTGTATCTGCATGTGTCGTCGAACTAGCTTGGACTCGTGCGTGCTGTGGCTGCGTGAAATGTGTATGTGTTTATTTTAAACACGTCGGAATTTCTATCGTCGGATAGTGCAACAGCATGAAAATGGCGATGTGAAAAAAAATGGCAGGACGCAGGTCGACGCTGACGAACGCAGACTCGCTGCCGGGCACAGGCATTGGTACGGGCGGCGGTGGAAGCGGCGGCGGTGGTGGCGGAGGCAGTGGCAGTAGCGGGGGCGGCGGCGGCGGCGGTGGCGGCAGCGGCTGTGGCGGTGGCGGCGGTGGCGGTGGCAGCGGCAGCAACAGCAACAGCAACAGCGGCGGCGGCGGCGGCGGCGGTGGCGGTGGTGGTAGTGGTAGTGGTGGCGGTGGCGGTGGCGGTGGTGATCCGCTTCGTGAACTCTTTGAAGCCTGCAAGACCGGTGATCTAACCAAGGTAAAGGCACTGGTCACTCCGAAGACAGTAAACGCCCGCGACACCGCAGGCCGCAAGTCTACTCCTCTGCACTTCGCAGCTGGTAAGTTCAATTCGAGAGCTTCTCTTAGCTCGTCTCCTGGCTCTTGAACTCCTACGCTCCTATGCTATGTGTTGTTGTTCACAACGCGATATTTCGTGCTTGAGCTGATTATTTCCGGCTCGCTCTCATGCTATATTAGAGCTTTCGTGACATCTGTAGCTGCAAATTAAATTGAAATAAATGAGCAAATGTTTTCTTTGCAGCTGATTGCTGATACAAACTTATCATGCCATTTGTACCAGTTCGTCAGCTGATTCAGTCACTAATAACGACACTCTCATTAATGTGCAGTGATTATTATTGAAAAAAGTTTAGCAAAGTCTCTATAATATTTAGATACTTGTCCAATAAAAAAACAATTAAAGACAGTGAAATTGTACTGTACATAATCAGTTCTGGATATCTTTATCTTTTAGAATTTAATATTGTGCTGTTTATACATTATTTGAAAGTTTATTATTTAAGTATATGTATTCTTTCTTGTTAAGAGCTTCTAATTCAACTAATTCGATAAACACGACTTCCACTCCATGTTATATCCCTTATTAATAAAGTAACAATTTTGTACTTTTGTAGAGAGCTATAGTGTATATATGTACTTGTATGTACTTATAGCATGTGATGTTAAGTTGTCATAAAATCAGCAGCAAATGTCAAGTATATTGAAATTGATAAACTGTTTCTCTGTGCATAATTATGAAAGAAAGAGGCATCAATAAGAAAATGTTTATTTTATAGGATATGGTAGAAAGGAGGTTGTAGAATTTCTTTTATCCGCTGGTGCATCAATTCAAGCACGTGACGACGGTGGTCTACATCCACTGCATAATGCATGTTCCTTTGGGCATTCTGATGTTGTGAGATTACTCTTGGAAGCAGGAGCAAGCCCAAATACGAGGGATAATTGGAATTATACACCTCTGCATGAGGCAGCTATCAAGGTGCTTATTTAGCCATAAAACACATGCATTTATCTATGTAATTCCACTACTGATATTATTTTCCAAGATGGTTAGAGATGGAAATGGTATCTAATTTTTGCATTTTCATTATACTTGACAGGGTAAAATAGACGTATGTATTGCTCTGCTACAGCATGGAGCAGATGTAAACATTAGGAATACAGAAGGAAAAACAGCGTTAGAACTGGCTGATCCCGCCACTAAGCCAGTTCTAACAGGAGAGTATAGGAAAGACGAGCTTTTAGAAGCTGCTCGATCCGGAAATGAAGAACGACTGTTGCAACTATTGAATCCGCTAAATGTCAATTGTCACGCTAGTGATGGCAGAAGATCTACGCCTTTGCATCTAGCAGCTGGATATAACAGATCCAGAGTTGTACAGATCCTTCTTCAAAACGGCGCGGACGTACACGCAAAAGATAAAGGGTTCGCACATACGAAAGTTTTCCAATCAGATTTAATCAGATTGATAATCAGATCTCGAGCAAGAATGAAATAGTACGCATCTTGAAAACTTTACCCAAGTTTCCTTCGTCATATTCGTTATTCTCTGTATGCATGCATAATAGAGATGAAGTCTGCAATAAAGCACAAATTTTTTGTTTGCTCTCGCCATCTCGAGATCCGATTTAAATTCCAATGTTTGTTGCATTCTAAAGACTTATTCAACTCTTGCAGAGGTCTCGTACCCCTTCACAATGCCTGCTCGTATGGTCATTTCGAAGTGACTGAAGCGCTCTTAAAACACGGTGCCGCCGTCAATGCCAGCGATCTTTGGACGTTTACTCCATTGCATGAAGCTGCGAGTAAATCTAGAGCAGAGGTCTGTTCTTTGCTATTAAGTGAGGGTGCTGATCCGATGCAATTAAACTGCCATAGTAAAAGCGCCATCGACGTTGCACCAACGCTCGAATTACAAGAAAGACTAGCCTGTGAGTTTTACCTAAAGTCAACCTGTACATACACGCACTGGGCTTCCGTTTTTTTTTTTTTTTTTTTTTTTATTTTATTCGACTCGTGCCACAAAACATTCAACTCATATTATTGTCTTACGCATGCATACAAATTACAGACGAATATAAAGGCCACTGCCTATTGGACGCCTGCAGACAGGCAGATCTTACAAAGTTAAAAAAATATCTGTCTCAAGAAGTCGTTAACTTCAAACATCCTTACACCGGAGACACACCGTTGCATTGCGCAGTGGCGTCACCTTATCCGAAAAGGAAGCAAGTTATCGAGGCTTTGATTAGAAAGAATGCTGCCATGAACGAGAAAAATAAGGACTTCCTTACGCCGCTTCACGTAGCGACTGATCATTCGCATTACGATGCGATGGACATATTACTGCGACATAATGCAAAAGTCAACGCGTTAGATGGTTTAGGCCAAACTGCATTGCACAGGTATCTTTGTTCTAGAAAATCACTCTTTTCGCTCTCGTTTACGTTGCTAAGGAATTGAGTGATTCAATTTGGATACTTTTGGCGCATAAATTGTCAATTAATTGCGTGCTTGCTAGGTGCGTTAGAGAGGATAACGTGCAGGCCTGCAGAATACTCCTGTTGTACAATGTCGATCCTTCGATAGTGTCACTTCAAGGGTACACCGCGGCTCAGATCGCCGCTGAAAACGTATTGAAGATATTGCAAGGTAAATTATATGATTTTTATATGATTTAATATTACTCAATGTTTATTTGGAAAGAGTTTATTTATTTTTCAAGTTAAAACAATAGACATCGGGCTAATAAGAGCCAAAACACAGATAAACGCGTAAATAATATTAACATATAGAAATACACAATTTTTGAACCTTTCGGTCCTAACTTGGGACCATCTTCAGCAACTATAGTTACTCTCTTTTAAAATCTTTTAAAAGAGAGTAATTTTTATCTTCGGATTTTGTTTAGATCCGCCGAACGGTACTGACGACGTAGAGGCGCAATTGTTAGAGGCGAGTAAATCGGGTGATCTCGCCGCAGTAGAAAGAATCTTGCAAGCCAATCCACATGCCGTGAATTGCCGCGATTTGGATGGAAGGCATTCAACACCGCTACACTTTGCAGCGGGTTTTAACAGAGTGCCGGTTGTGGAGTATCTATTAGCACATGGCGCAGATGTACATGCCAAAGATAAAGGGTGATTGACGATATATATATATATATATATATATATACACATGTATTACCTTTCCACGGTATTATATATATTGTACTATATTAGTATTGTTCAACCATATTATATTGCTTTACATACTTTTATCTTCCTAAGAATCTATGATAATTTATGAAACCAATAAGCAAAGAGAAATTGCACTTCCTTCTTTACATATAAAACTTTTTTACTTTACATATAAAATATAAGTTGTAATTATTTCATTACAAGATTTATTCAGATTTGCCACAATGGATGGGGATGTACATATTGTAATTTAATATTCATCTTTTTTGTTAATTGTTTGGCTTTCTCTTGATATACATATTGTTATAACATTGTAAATTATATTCGTTTCAACAAAACAGTGGGTTGGTTCCTCTTCACAATGCTTGCTCTTATGGACATTATGAAGTTACGGAGTTATTGGTGAAGCATGGCGCATCAGTGAACGTTGCCGATTTATGGAAATTCACACCGCTTCACGAGGCCGCCGCAAAGGGAAAGTACGAAATAGTTCGGTTGCTCTTGAGACACGGAGCAGATGCCACGAAGAAGAATCGAGATGGCGCAACGCCGTTGGATTTAGTAAGAGATGGTGACCAAGACGTAGCGGATCTGCTGCGCGGAAATAGCGCCCTTCTCGATGCAGCAAAGAAAGGAAATTTAGCTAGAGTCCAGAGATTAGTTACACAGGATAACATTAATTGCCGCGATGCGCAAGGGCGCAATAGTACTCCGTTACATTTAGCTGGTAATTATTTCTCTCTTTCTGCCCCTCTCTCTCTCTCTCTCTCTCTCTCTCCCTCCCTCCCTCCCTCCCTCCCTCCCTCCCTCCCTTCCCCTCCTTCTCTCCTTATCCCTCACCCCTCACTCTTTCTCTTTTTTCTTCCCTTTCTCTTCCTCTCTCTCTATCTTTTTCTCTCTATAGATAAGTGCATACTGGTAATTTTTTTTTTTTTTCAGTGTATATGTTGATTATATATATTTAAATACTTTCATCACGTCCTCTTATGTTTCTTTTTTAGCAGGTTATTATACAATTGTATTACTTTGATAATGCCAAGTTCTAAGCATTTATCGGTCAACATGTAGAGAGAGATTTTGTTGTCATGTCATGAATATTTTGCACTTGTATAACGTATATATTATGCTTTTTTTAAGCGGGATACAATAACCTGGAAGTAGCTGAATTCTTACTCGAACGCGGAGCGGACGTAAACGCACAAGATAAAGGCGGTCTTATCCCTCTGCATAACGCATCAAGTTACGGTCATCTGGACATTGCAGCCTTGCTCATTAAATACAACACTGTAGTGAATGCGACTGATAAATGGGGATTTACACCGCTTCATGAAGCCGCGCAGAAAGGTCGAACGCAACTGTGTGCTCTTCTGCTCGCCCATGGCGCCGATCCTTTTCTGAAAAATCAGGAAGGGCAAAGTCCGGTGGACCTAGCTAGTGCGGACGATGTAAGGTGTTTACTGCAAGATGCTATGGCTTCTCAACAAGTCGTCCCATCGGTACCATCTGGTAACATGGTCAGCAGTACCGGCGGCAGTTCTGTCACTAGTAGACCACCTAGTATCGTATCCGGTAAGAATTTGTGACTTGAACTTTTTAAACTTTTAAAAACGTTTAACTTTGTGTGTGTGTGTGTGTGTGTGTGTGTGTGTGTGTGTGTGTGTGGCAGATGAAAATTTAAAACATAAAATAAATAAAAAAATTAAATTTTATTGTACAGTTTATTGTACAATCCATCTGTGTGAAATATCATAGATAACGTGTGATGATGATGTAGGTTAGTAGCATAATATAATGTACTCACATACTATCATGTATACATAATTTTATAGAATTATCGCACATCATTTGATTTATATCATTATGATTATGTGTAGTTCCAGTCACACCACCACCGCCTCTCACTCAAGAAACAGTCATCATGCCATCCGGCGCAGCTATGATCTTGTGTGTACCATTGGCACGTCCGACGTCGTGTCTAAGTCCAATGCCACCGAGTGAATCATGTTCCGAAAAAGAATCCAAAGAACTGTGTAAGGAACACAACGGTTCCATCACCACTGTCGCCGGTTTTTTGCAAAGTCTCGGTCTGGAACACTTGCTCGAATTGTTCGAACGCGAGCAAATCACGTTGGATATATTGGCAGAAATGGGTCACGAAGATTTGAAACAAGTCGGAGTGTCGGCTTATGGTTACAGACATAAGCTGATCAAAGGCATGGACAAGCTGTTAAACACGGCGGCGGGCTCTCTTTGGCAACCTTCTATAAATCCAGGCACACTGCTGGTGGATTTATTAGCTGAAGATAAAGAGTTTTTGGCCGTTGAAGAGGAGATGCAAAGTACTATCAGGCAACACAGAGACAACGGTCATTCTGGCGGTATCTTTTCACGATACAATATAGTCAGAGTACGTGATTTAGATAGAAGATTATAATTGAATGTTGTTTTCATAATTTTTCTTCTATCCTTTTTTTTTTCCTTCCTTCCTTCCTTCCTTCCTTCCTTCCTTTCTTCCTTTTTTCTTTTCTCTCGCTAAGTTGTTATGACTGAATGTTCTAATTGTCTTTTATATTCACAAGTTGCCTCATTATAACAAAATTTTTTTAAATATCAATTTTTTTCGCAGATACAGAAAGTTCAGAACCGCAAATTATGGGAGCGTTACGCTCACAGAAGGCAAGAAGTGGCCGAAGAAGTCGGTGCTGCCGCCCCGGCTTCTCCCAGTACAGGGCTTAGAAATGCTCCTAGCTCGGCAGTACCGCAAGCGAACGAGAGAATGCTGTTCCATGGTAGTCCATTCATCAATGCTATTGTGCAGAAGGGTTTCGACGAACGACACGCATATATCGGTGGAATGTTCGGCGCTGGTATATATTTCGCGGAACACAGTAGCAAAAGCAATCAATATGTCTATGGTATATGCGGTGGCACTGGATGTCCCGCACACAAAGATAGAAGCTGTTACATTTGTCATAGGTTTGTAAAAGAGCATTCGTCGTCAATGAAGTGTTAAAAATGTTTAGTATGCGCGAGAGCCGCTTTTATTGGGTATTGTTCGGAAAGTAATTTCGGTGAATTTTGCATGAAAATGAAAGACGATATTTTTAATAGAAAGAAAAATTTTATTCTATTAAGTATTGACCATTTTGCCCCATCTTTAAAGTAATAATATGATTCCACGCTCGTAGAATTTCTAGTCCTTATTGGCAAAAAACTGAATTAATTGGTTTTTGACACCTTCATTTGAATCGAAATTTTTATCATCCAAAGGATTTTGCAGTGACCACAAGTGAAACAAGTGATGGTACCAGATCAGGTGAATATGGTGATTGTGGTAGTAAATTCCATCCAAGAGCGCTAACAGCTTCTGGCGAGTTATTAACTTGTATTATAAGATTTGGCGTTGTCACGATGAAACATACCTTTTCTGTTCGTCAATTCTGGTCTCTTCTGCTTGATAGAATCATTCGATTTGTCCAATTCATGACAATACACATTCGAATCAATCGTTTGGTTGTTTAGTAGCAGCTCGAAAAAAAAAACATTCCTCTCCAATCCATCCATCAAACAAAGAGCCATCACCTTCTTTTGATGGATATCAGCTTTCGATGTGCTTTGACCTGGTTCATTACGTCTGCTGCTCCATGATCTTTTGCGTTTAATATTGTTGTATACAATCCATTTTTTATCTCCAGTTATGAGACTCTTCAGAAATGGATTATTTTCCTTACGTTTACCTTACGTTTCAACAGTAAATCGCAGATGGTAATGCGACGAATCAAATCTCTTTCTTTGAGAACGTGTGGAACCCAAATATCGAGCTTTGAAACGAAACAAAATTGTGACAAATGCTCATGCACGATCGAATTCGATAAATTCAATCTCTTAGCAATTTCTCGTGTTGTCAAATGACGATTTGTGTCCACTAATGCCTTTATTTGGTCTTCATCAGCTTCAACTGGTCTTTCAGAACGCGGTGCATCTTTAAAGTCGAAATTCCCAGAACGAAATTTCGCAAACCAATTTTCTAACACTGACGTTCAGTCAACACATCCTCTCCACACGCGGCACACAATTTTTTTTCTTGCTTGCGCTGCATTACTGCCTTTACGGTAATAAAAAAAAAAAATGTGACAAAAAGCTCACGTTGGTTTTCCATTTTTGATGCGACGCCAAACAAAAACAACTTGATAGATTCCAAAACAACTTTTTTTTAAAATGAAGTTCGAAAAATGTACGTTGTAAAAATGTAACATGATCTTCTGGTTTAGGATGAGTTTAATTACTTAAAAAAGTAAAATGACAGAATGATCTATTCGAAAAAACCGATATTATTTTCCACACAACCCAATACAATAAGATAGTAAAATATGAAAAAGTTCGTGAATAATTCAATAATTCTTATCGTTAAGACTAGATTCATCAACGCACTCATGCACTTGTATATTTTATTTATTGTTTCTTTAAGAAAACAATAAATCCTCCTTCCGATAAGACTACTTACCGATAAGACTGATGACGATATACCATTTTGTGATTTTAAATTTTTAGGCATTTGCTACTATGTAGAGTTACGCTTGGCAAATCGTTTCTACAATTCTCGGCGATGAAAATGGCACACGCGCCTCCCGGACATCATAGCGTGATGGGCAAACCGTCGCAGGGTGGTTTGGTATTTCCTGAATATGTCGTCTACAGAGGCGAACAAGCGTATCCCGAATATCTCATCACGTACCAGATTGCAAGACCACAGCAAGAAACTAACGGCAGTGAAGGTGTCGAGGAACGGTGATCGGAAGAGCCGGCGGGCCCCGCGGCAAGATTGCGTAGTCTCTGTTGCTGTCAGAGACCGAGGGCATGCGGCGCGTTATCGCGTACGTAGAATGCGCGCGAGTCGCTTTGAATTTGAAGTCATCTAACACTAGTTCTTCCATTTTTAACAGAAAGAATAAAACCCGCAGAAATAACGCGTAGTCAAGAGATGCGCATCTATAGAATATTTTATTCTCCGAGAACCTCGAAATATCCTGAGAATTTTTACTTAAAGAGAAAAGAAACAGCCGCTGTAATATTTTCAGCAATTGTGATTCTGTAGTGTTCGAAAAATTATTCAATCCAATCATCAAACCATTGTAAAAGCTTATACAGAAAATGTACATTGATCATGATGTAAATATCAATTACATACGTAGATTGCAGTGCATCTCTTACATCACACTTATTGTCGATTAGTGTGTTCGTAGAGTTAGTCAGTATTCGAGAAAATCGCAATGTATACTCTTGTAGATTTCTATAACGAAAATTAATTTATACCAACACACCTTATGATGTGTGCCGTTGGAAAGAATAAAGACGAGAGAAATATGTTCGATCTTAAAAGTACACAGAACTTTTAAAGATGTAGTGTAATTTGCTCGACGTCTCATATTATCTACTCTACAAACACACACACACACACACACACACACACACACACACGGGTAAAGTCTGCAATGTGATGAAATACATATATATGCATAACACAAAAAAGTTCCTTCTGTTTTTTATATGAAATATCCATTATCTATAGTTGTTGTAAAATTTATTTGCATTGCGTGGCTTGGGTATAGATTTTTATATTCATAGTTTGATTATTGATCCAAATTGAGATAAATCTATACGCGTAATATTATACTAACAATTAAAAGCATTACAAATATATGTATAATCATTGATGCATCTTACATTACGGACTTTACTTGTGATGCATATAAATTTATAGTCTTGATAATCAAGTATTGTAATGTAAATAATTTATGATCATCTATCTTTTATATTTCGTAAATGTAATCACTGGGGTTCCTGTAATTCGATAGTAATCTCTCAAATGTTGTACAGTCTTTTTTTACCAAGGTAGTATAACTATTTTATTAACGTCAATCTGTTTTCGGGAAAAGGAGAAGATATTGGAAGATGTTGCTCGTTTATAATTAGTTTTAAATATAAGATTCGCACGAATGCATTGTCTGGGCAACACGTCCGGGTAACACGTAACTGCAGGTCATATCTATATCTATTATTTACAACCGCGTGACTAAGCATACAAATTAGTTTTATCTCGCGGCATAACAAAACGTTTGAAGGAACATTTTTCTAAGCGAATTGAATAGCGGAATCGTGAAAATAAACGTCGATATAATATTCTTTGACCTCAGCGGAAATACATTCTTCAATCATTGTCATAATTTATTCAACACAAAACAATCCTGTCGTAAATATAAAGAAGGAAAAAGAATATTGCGTAAATATGCGTATATACAGAAGGAAGGAAAAGAGTATGATTTCGAATAACAGAAGATTAGTGCTATTTACAATCGACTGCTGCAGTTATTTTGCAAATAACTGTAATCTTACGTTTATTGCAAAAGTCAAAAAATTGAAGGAGTTAATTTCTCAAAGTGTTACCGATCACGATAGCATGGCGCAACAAATGGATATCCGATGTTTTTACGCCACTGAGAAATCTGCTCTAAACTCAAATGTTACAAATCGTATAAAATGTCTTTGTATAAGACAAGTAGTATGCAGTATGGCCGAAATGATACGAAAGTGCATACGTATTACCATTGTGTTCTAATTGTGTAAGAGAACAAGAGACTTATATAAGGAAACAATGAATTTTCTTTAATTGTTAACATACGAGTTTTGTGCTTTTAACTCCTGTCCTTGCGACATTTCCGACAGACATTACAAAGAACAGGTATCGTCAACTACTCTGTCACACAACTGTAAATGCAAGAAACAAAATTATAACATCAAAATATAAATTGGAATCGATTTCGTCATATTATCGTGGAGCGTAATGTTATGACGAAACGTTTTCAGATCAACATGACCTGAAAACGTCCCCGAAACTTCATAGGTTTTTTCGAAAATTGTTTTTGTTTGAGAAATTCAACAAGTTACGTTGCATATATTGTTAAACTATGTTATAATTTTTCAGCAACGTACTATGTGCTTCTCAGTTCTTAAAATTAATTTGAGATTACCTTTGGAAACTTTTGTAATATTTTGATAGACTTCTCTCTTTTTTCATAGCGATATAGACTTTTACAGAGATACAAAATATGAGAAATATATTAATCTTGATAATATCTATCATATGGCTTATAAACCAACAGGAAACAAGTCGTAACTTGATCATGAGCGAGTCCTATTAGTATCCCCTCTAAACTGAAGCGTTCCCACGGCGGTATTCGCAGCTCACTCGACCCTTGGTCTATTCAATTATAGCCATTGACCATTGCGACAAATTTCAAGGTCTGGGCCAAGATAATCTATATAGACGAGTTTTTTTCCAGTCCATGTAGTTAGACGCAATATGATATATATTATTTGTAAAGGACTACCTGATACTATATACTTCATTACGCGTCATTACTATCCACGCGTATATAGAATGCCTATTTTTTTGAATGCATGCATGCTCGATAATTCTTCAACGAAGTATATTCAGCAGAAATGTTTCGGAAAAAGAAAAAGTTTTATGATTTCAAGGGGGACACGAGACAACTATACTATTTTGTTTACAAATGGCACCACTTTTGAGATATTCACTGAATCATTACTTTTCTTAAGTGGAAACCCCAATTTTTTATTACATCATCTTCTTTTATCTTTTTTAATTAATTTAAACAACTTTTGTCTGAAACATTTTTTTATTTGCCTAATATTTTTTGAGATATTTAAGGAAAACTTTATAACTTTTTTAATATTTAATTCACGATATCTCGCTATTTGTCGGAAGAAAAAGTGGTACTAGACTTTTCTGCTCTATTTAATCTCAAGAATATATTTTTATAATTGCGTCCTAACTTTTATTAACTTGCTGATTTTTGAAAATTTCAAAATCATCAAATTAGCCAAATTCAGGCCGCTATTGGAACAATATATTCTTGAGACCAAGTAGAGCAAAAAAGTCTAGTACCAATGTCCTGACCTTGGCGACGTCACCCAAGGTCTAACTTATATATTTACGTCAGTAAATAGATCTTTTGAAGCCCTACAATTTTTATTTGAAACATTTTTTCTTAGTTGAAAATACTTAAGTTTTTATGATATTTCACCGTTCCGATACTTTTTATATATCTTGTATAACAAATGTTATCAAAAAGCTCTTTAAAAGATATCTTATTTCTGAATCTGATAACTTAAAGATATTTTTAAAAGATAAATTTATCAGAATATTATCTAGTGCGTTTTTTGAAGGCAGAAGGATATCACGAGAATAATATATATAAGAGTTCTCAAATTGGACGTTCTTTAAATATCCCGATCATGTCACGTATAAAGTTCTTAATTATACCTAATATATATCAAATAAAAAACATTTAATATGTCATGATGATGGATATGAAATATCCTCTAGTAGCACATATTGTTGGGCCAATATTGGCTACAAATTGAGCCCTCAATATTGGCCAATATAACCCCAATGTAAGTCAATATTGATATAACAATGCTATGCAATATTGGTAATGTATTGTAATTTAACCAATCTAACCAATATTAGCTGCATATTGGGATACATTGGGCCGATGTAACCTCAATGTAAGTCAATATTGGTATAACAATGCTATGCAATATTGGCGATATCTTGTAATTTGATAGATATCTAACCAATATTGGCTGTATATTGGAATACACTGGGGGCCAATGTAACCCCAATTTATGTCACCGTAGCCAATGTAACACCAATGTAACGCCAATGAAGTGTGCTACTAGGGATAAATATTTTAATATGTATATGATATTACACAAGTAATAAACACAGGTAAAAGGTACAAGAAAAATTGGCAATAAATATAATAAACATTCCACTGTTCAGCAGTTTTAATGTATCATCAATTGATCGTTCTTTTCGGTGGCTTCGTTTAATAATATAAGCATGGATAAAACTTTGTTCCTTTAAAGTCATACCAAGGGCCCAACTCATCACTCTAAACGTTGTAAACGATTGCAGTAACTTTCCACGACAGAACTGCTCTAGATGTACTGTGATATCGTATGGCCATTCCAGTTATCGCTGCTGACCAACGATACGATACATCGTTTAACATGTTCATTGTCAAACTGAAAATTTGAATTTCGTATCGTGGCCAAAGTTATTTTTTCTTTCTTTTTTCAACAGACGATGGCTGGAGGCCATCCCCCCTCCACGAGAGTTCGATTCCTTCCCCAGTGGCCTATCTAAAAAATAAAACATCACGCGCCGTTTCGCTGTGGCCGCTATTCTATCCCGTATAGAAACTCGTTAGCGATCACACGATATCGCGTGAACGGCAATGAACGTATTAAACATATATTGTACAATTGTGATATTGCCGCGGCGTTGCGCGTATGATGCAAGTTTGTGAACAAATGTTATAAGATATTTTTTTTAAAGCAACGCTTTTTCACTGCAGTATGCACTGCAGTGTGCACGCTGCGCGCGATAAGTATGTGTCGTTAAAGTCTTTACGAAATTTTATTTAAACATTTTGTAACACTCTGTACGAGTTGCAACGTAAGCAAGTATAACATATTACGTCACATAGCTGCGTTCCGATATTCACTGCCAGTACTGAAAATACATAGTTTGTGTCACATATCCTATAGATTTTCAGTGATGGCAGTGAATATCGGAACGCAGCCACGTGCACGCAGCTTAGGGCTAATTTACAATATATCGTTTGCAGAATCGTACTATCGGCCATGGTATAAAGTTGCTACGAGTTAAAATGTCGATGTTAAAAAACGAGAAATGACAAGGACAGAGCGCTATTCGAGATATTCAGGTAAAAGTCTTTTGTTGGCCTTTGAGGCCGTGAGATGTGGTTTTCGTCACTGCGAAACTACGCTTAATATTTGTCTGTTGTGACTGCGTACGCGTATAGTCCCTTTCTTTGTATCATTCTTATTTTTTCTTATCTGTTATCTCAATTTATCGTAAAATGGCGTTTGAGAATTCGCCTTAATAGATGCCGTTAGCCAATATTGAAGGAAGGAAGGAAGGAAGGAAATATTCAGGTATGCTCTTTCTTGTCTCGCACTGGCAAGCCTGATGGTCATTCTAATTTATACATATTTCGGTGGTCGACATCGACAACCGATTCGTGACAACTTCATAGCCGACAATCCAGTGCGCATGCGTCCTACTCCGATTCCATTCGACTTCGACGAACAATGTAAGTCTTTTATTGGCTCTCGAGGCCGTTGGGTGTGGTTTTGTCGTTACGAAACTACGCGTAATTTTTTTGAATATTGGGTGCGTGTGATCCCTATTTGTGCCACACTTCTTTGCAACATTCTAATTCCTATTTTTATATTTTTCGTTAACGATGACTGACGTAGGAGTAGAACTCTGCTCTGCTCGGAGCCATGTATTGAACCATAAACCATGCATGAACTATGACAAACGCAATGTATTGGAGACCAAGCCTTAACGAAAATACATGCATCTGTCCTTAGGGTTTATTCTTTCCAGCTGAACTGGTATTGTGTACTGAAATCTTTTTTCTTTTCTCTTCGACGAAAATTTATATACTTACTTCATTCAACGGCAAAAAGTACAATTAGTTCAGCTATAAAATGAACACACCTCTCGCTTGAGAAACTCAGAGTCCGCGATTGATTTTGGTGGGGAGGGGATGACTATAAAAGGTTTCGATGGGTGGAAACCTGCCATTTGGATTCAGACGACGTTGAGCGAGGTTGATCGTTGAGTTTTCAACGTAATATCGTGTAATAAGTAAACAACTGAAGAAACCAGTGTGTGCGAGGATGTCCTGTCTAACAGTACCGATGTTAAAATTTTACAACGGCAATGAAGTACCAGCCGTTGGTCTGGGCACATGGAAGGCAAGGTTTATCTTTTGTGTTTTGTTGGATTTCTTGAGGTGTCTTGAGAGTTGGTGGTCAATTTCACTCTAAGTTTGGTTCTTTTATAGTTGCACCATTACGCACCAACATTTTTTAAATTTTAATTGAATAACTATATTATATCCTTGTTTTTTAGGAAATAATATATAAAAAGAATTTGACATATTCTAATGTTTAATCTAATTTGATATTCCACCGATATAGAAAATCTCTCTCCTATCTTTTTTCTATCGATTTCTCGGAGTCATTCCGAGAGTTACCTTTTCTATGTATATTTGGGTACATAGAACTATTCGAAAAAAAATATCGATGGATTGAAAGTACGAGAGAGAAAATTTTTAATTATTGAAATATTAGATTGGATTAGATATTGGATTAATTGAAACTTACACTAGTTGAACCTATACTACGCGCGTGTGTTTGTGCATGTGTGACGTGTGTATGTGTATGTTCCAGTAGACATTAGCTACATCAATGTCGTAATTTTCCACTCAAACATATAAATGTTACATGGCATATATCGTATCGTATTTATATTTTTGAGTGAAAAATTGCAACATATTGATATAACCCCAAATAATTAAACCTGCAAAAGCAGATTTTATATATAATAGTATCTGCTGCAGATTCTTACTGGCCCCACTCGGCAATATTTCAGCAACGTATCAACAATGTTGAAACATTGCTGATATGTTGTTGAAATATAATTTGCTGAGTGAGCCAGAGATACAACGGGATTTGATGACAGAGAATATGATAACAGAGGAACGGCAGAAACCATAAACAGGATCTATCGCTTTGTCGGCAGATTAATGGCTGTTAATAGATTATTTATTGAAATGTTACTGTGCTTTGTATTTACTGGGATATACATAGGATGTCTCAAGGCTCGTCTACAATAGCTGTAAGAGTAAGGCTATAAGGCTGTAACGTAAGCTGTCAGCGAATGAAAATATTTCATTTCGTGCCTTGCAACCTTACAGCCTTACTCTTACAGCTAATGTAGACGAGCCTATAGGCCAGAGCTCGGCAAAGTTTACAACTTTCGGCCGATTTTCGGGAGCTACGTCTCCTATCTTCCCTTCCTTTACCGCGCGGCGGATCCAGCAACTGACGGTCGCCGCGGCTCGCGACCTCAGTACCGTTGAGATCATAAGGCGCATCTGTATTAGATAAGGCGTGGTGCCTACTAAAGATAAGCCTACTAAAAAACGCGTTCGGGGTGCGGGGAGCGCGTCGATCAGCGCCAACGTGTCATTCAGGCCCAGTCCCACAACTTGCTTTAAACGGAGTTTAAAGCAAGTTGTGGAACTGGGCCTCAATCCTTGTACATGTAATGAGCGATAAAGGTAAAAAACGTGTTAAGCCAGCGGCACACGGTGCTTGTTTTCGTGCTGGATTGCTTGCTGGATGAAAATACTACATTCTGATTGGTACATTTCCGAAGATGGATGGAAATGCACCAATCAGAACGTAGTATTTTCATCCAGCAAGCAATCCAGCACGAAAACAAGCACCGTGTGCCGCTGGCTTTAATGTTGACAGCGCGCTCCTTTAACGCTCCTCAAAGGCTGAAAAATAAATGTATCGATACAACTATATGTATAATATTTCGTACAAACTTGTACAAATATATACTTGTATAAATATATATATATATATATATATTTCTTTTTTCTTATATTTTTATAATTAGAAGGTAACATAATAGGTTTCCTCGTCACCCATGAGGTATTATTGCCGACGCGTTTAAAAAAAATAAATACGCGTCTTAAGCGTGGTCTACGATGACCGTAAGCAGTAAGAAGTAAGCGTGAACAGTAAGGCCTGGTCTACAATAGGTGTTATAAGCTGTAAGCCGTAAGAACTGACCAATTATAGCTGATTATTTTTGTAATAATCGACTGTGATTCGCCAATTCTTACGGCTTACAACTTACGACACGTATTGTAGATCAGGCCTAAGAAATAGACTAACTACAGTTGATTATTTTTGTCATAGTCAACTGTGATTGGTTTACTTCTTATCGCTTATGCTTACTTCTTACTGCTTACTGCCATTGTAGACCACGTTTTACTGTTCACGCTTACTTCTTACTGCTCACGGCCATTGTGGACCACGCTTTAGACTATCTGAACAATCTTTAAGTCTTTTGTTCGCCTCCGTGGCGGTTGGATGTGGTTCCTGTAACTACGCATATTTTTTGATCGTGGGAACTGCGTACGCGTTGTCCCTGTTTTTCTTTTACCTTCATACTACTGGAAAATAGCCTTACAGAATTTAATCTATCTACACCGTGAGAGTGGCGTTGGAGCAGTACCCTATTTTGCCCAGAGCCATTTATTGAATTGAATTGAACAATCTTTCGTGGAGACGTAGAGCGGATCGAAGTAAACACAAAAGTCCCATATCATTTTGCGAAATTCGTCATCCATCGAAGTTATCGCCAGTTATCGAATTATTAATTACAAAAAATCTGAAGAGTGAACGCGCGCCAAGATAGATGATTGGAGAAGAATTGCAGTCACTCGTCCGGCCACAACCCAATCAGAAAAAAAATCCTTGAAGTGTTTTTAAAAATATTAAAAAAACATTTCTAAAACTTTAAAAAATAATTTTAAACGAGTTATTAATACAAAATAAATATTAAGTAAATATTAAATAAACGTTAAATAAATATTTTTTCTTAATTATTATTTTAAAGGGAGAATCAATGTAAAATATACACATTAAATAAACGTTAAATAAATATTTGTTGCAAAACCCTTATGGACGCAAAACACTCAAATATTGAGTATCTACATTCAATCATTTGAATTTACTCTCAAATGTGGGTATATACATTTAAATTTGAGTATATATACTCACATTTGAGAGTAAATTCGAATAATTGAGTGTAGATACTCAATATTTGAGTGTTTTTTTCGTAAGAGAATGAATGGGAAAAATGTGACATAAATATTTGAAAAACATTAAGAAAATATTGTCTGCTGATTGGGAATCAGCCCAGTCAACCTAATTATTGCCAGTCGATTACACGGTCGCGTAATCGACACTACGAAGGAACAGTGAGATAAGATACGAATAGCGGCGCGTTCTTCGCCTCATCGCTCGCCGGCAATAGTTGCTAAATCGACCGAGCCATGTTGCGGCCCGAACGGCTGCGAAGCTCGGTCAATATTATTTCAACGTGCATTCACTCGTCAGTTTTCTGATTAAGCTTAATTAATTACTACCTCGATAACTATTGCGAATGTCGCAAAATAGTATAGAACTTTTGGGTTTGCTTCGACCCACGTCTCCACGTCTGCACGAGAAATCGTTCAGGTGGTCAGACACCCTGTAGAATCTGAAATTTCTCGAAAGAAGGAAAAAATTAAAAATACTAATGTTTTGTGTAATTGACATGTATCCCGGATAAACAAATTTCGGCATATTGTCTGCATAAAGACTGAATTCGAGAACTAAAATAGCATAAATACATAAAGATGTGTCTTCATACAATCCAGTAAACACAAAGTATCATCCACGTTACAATGTCAACCAAGTCATATGGTATGTTACATAACTGTTACTTTGTTATATAAGCAACTGTTATATTACATACCATATGATTTAACTGACATTGTAACATTGATGATACTTTGTGTGATGATACTGTGAAGAAGCATTGTAGCAGCATATAAAAGAAATAATCTGATGCTATGAAAATTGTGGTACATACCACGTATTCTATCGGCAAGAGGATGCAATTAATCAGCGATACAAACAAATATTTTGCTGCAAATTTTGCTGCAAAATATGGAATAGTAAATATGTATTTCTTATAGTAAACATATTACAAACATGTTATATCGCTTCATGGTATCATAAAATGGTATCATAGTATCAATAGTATACATTGAATGCGTGCATGCTGTTGCCAATATGTCTATCTATCTGGGATTAATAATTTGTCGTTGATGCGATAATGTTATCATAAAATTATCTTATATGGCGAAATATAAAAGTTATTTTCAGTCGGAAAATATATGCGGGCTTGTGTAACGAACAATTATTAAAACTTCATTAGTGAAACAGAACATTAACTTATTTTTCTTAATAAATAAGACACGATAGAAATAGAATGTTCTTAGTGTAAGAACATACAAGACAAATTAGAAATCTAGCCAAAAAGTAGAAAGAAAGAAAGAAAAGAAAGAAAGAAAGAAAAGAAAGAAAGAAAGAAAGAAATTTAGTCAAAAAGTACAAAAAAAAACAGTATGGACATAACAAGATAATTTGATAAGCAATTTTGTATCATTGGTATTTTAGTTATTTGTTAAAGGGTATCATTTAAAAATTTTACTTGATCTTATTTCAGTCTAAACCAGGTGAAGTCACCCAAGCAGTCAAAGATGCTATTGATATTGGCTACAGACATTTTGATTGTGCTTACATTTATGGTAATGAGAAGGAAATTGGGGTAGCCATAGAAGCAAAAGTAAAGGAAAATGTCGTAAAGAGAGAGGACTTGTTTATAACTAGCAAGCTGTGGAATACTTTCCATCGACCTGATTTAGTTGAATCATCCATCAAGCAGACGCTAGCTGATCTTGGTCTTGATTACCTAGATCTCTACTTAATACACTGGCCAGTCGGATTCAAAGAAGGTGATAATCTTTTCCCTAGAAATGCTGATGGTAGTACCAGCTTAAGTGATGTAGATTACATTGATACTTGGAAGGCCATGGAGGCTGTATTAAAAAAAGGTCTGACGAAGAACATTGGAATTAGTAATTTTAATTCCCAACAAATTACTAGAATACTCGAGAATGCGACAATTAAGCCTGTCACGAATCAGGTAAATTAAGAGTAATAGCAAATGAAAAAGAAAGATTGCTATATATTTATTTGTTACTGACGATTAATTTAATATAACCATCCCAGTAAACACAAAGTATCATTAATGTATTATAATGTCAACTAAATCATATGGAATATTATGTAACTGTTACTTTGTTATATAACAAAGCAATTGTTATTTAACGTACCATATGATTTAGCTGATATTGTAACATCGATGATACTTTGTGTTTACTGGAATGCTAATGTATTGTATTAATCCATAAATTGTTTTATTATTGTTTGCTGCAGAATATACTTTTATGTAAAATAAAAAAGGACATCTAGAGAGAGAGAAAGATTTAGCTTTATTATTTCCTTTTTATTTTAGATTGAATGTCATCCATATCTAATACAGAAGGAGCTGTCAAACTTTTGCAAGGAAAAGGGCATCCTTATTACAGCCTACAGTCCACTTGGATCACCAGATCGGCCATGGGCCAAACCAGACGACTCGAAACTTTTGGAAGACAAAACATTATCTCAGATTGCCAAAAAGTACAACAAAACACCTGCGCAAATTCTTATACGTTATCAGGTATTATATTACGTCATCATAATATTAAATGTTGATTCGTGTTATTTGATAATTAAGTAAACAATAATATTTATAATGTTTTGTACATCAATTCAATATGAATACAGTTGTTAATTTAATTGACACAAAATTTCATTCTTCATCATTTTTAGTTGGAACGTGGTCATATTGTGATACCAAAATCAGTCACGCGATCTCGAATTCTTGAAAACAGCGAAGTATTTGATTTTACATTAAAATCTGAAGATATCGAGTATATCAATACTTTTGATTGTAAAGGAAGAATCTGTCCTTTGACTGGGTAAGTTAAGTGTAACTTATTTATTACTAACACCTGTGAAGTTGATATCTTCTATCAATTAAGGCGTATGAGACGAGGAAGGGAAAGGGGAGAAAATATTTGGTAGTCATCATGATACATTATGATACACTTACAATTTTTTCTTTATTTTCAGTTCGGAAGCCAGCCCTTATTACCCGTTCAATATTCCATTTTAAGCGACTAAACAGACATTTGGAATCAATGGTTGATATAATACACGCTCATGCGCATATATACATCAATTACGTACACATCTTGGAGTAAAATACATATTTTGAAATGTTTGAAACAGTGCTGTTGGTCGCTGTTGTTATTACAAAAGATTTGCAAAATCAACATTAATGTACAAATGTGTGACCAGAACCAGAAACTATAAAATTAAAACCAACAATTATTTTCTTGAAATAGATATATCTTTGAGACAGAGATGTTCTTTTGCTTTCTTTTGGCACAAATTAATTTAAATATTTGTATATCTGTAAACAATTGCGCGTGAGGATATAGTTGTAGTACTGCGGAAAAGCATTTTTTTCAATGCATTAATTCTCAATGGGATGTATCACTACGTTGATTCCTCATTGCCATCGTCACAGCTGCAGCACTCACAAAATTCCTCGTCGCTAGTGCCGTCATCTATTCCTGGTCCCAAACGCAACGTCTCTGAAGCCATTGATGTACGGGCCATGCGAGTCAACGATGGAATATTGCAATTACATAAGGCAGTAGATAATTCGTACGTGCGTTTCTTTTTGCATTTGTATTGACAGGTATCGATATGGTCGCAAGGAGTAGAAGTTTCACACGCGTTGCATGTTTTACCGGGGTCACATGGCAAGGAAGAATGTACCAAATATTTGGGAGAACGTGACACATCTGAAAATTTATGTGCGTGCAAACACTTGAACATTAACTTGTGTAGTAAATCTACACGACTTGTCACATCCACATATCTAGTCTCTATCGACAATTAATGATGATTAATATCTCTAAATTCATATTACACAATTAGATTATTATTCAATGCAAGAAAAATATTTCCGCCTCTGTAGATTTTTCTTACGTGAAATACTTTATTAAAATTTGACAAAACGGAACAAAGTATGTCAACAAGTACCTGTCTTCGAGATGGAAGATGCTCGACAATTGCTGGTCTTATATTTCGTGGCTGAACACGGTGCGCAACTATTCAGCGAGATGTAAGGTGAAAATGATGGGCCTAAATTTTCATGCAGATTCAGCAAGCGACATGTTTGAAACGACTTCATCGGCGTTTGCTCATAAGCGTCTAATGTTACCGACATTGGACATGAGCAGCAAGTTTTCTACACGAGGAAGAATGCATAAAATCGGTTAAAAAATAAACGTTACGTCAACTACGTCTTTTTCTGTTTTTTTTCTTTTTCTTTTTTACTTGTTTATCTTTGGAAGTATATTTTTTCTTTGTCGTATTTACGTTACATTCGTGAATTTTCGGTGAAGGATGAAATTTTCTATTGTTTTCTATTAAACTTTGTACATACCCTATTACCTTTTCTTTATCATGCTGATATTTTTCACAAGGTAGAAATTGTTTCATCTGTCGCCTGTACATAGCTTCTTTGCCTTCCAGTTCTTTGATGCAACTTTTCATGTCGAGTTCCTCTTCGGCAAGCTGATGGATCTTCTTCAGACATATCAGGTCTTCGGAATGGATGGAATGCAGACTAGATGTACTATATCTTTGTACCTGATTACGCAGCTCTACTAGCTTCTCCTCCGTTTCTTTGTTAGCCAATTCCAAAGACTCCAGCTCCATGGTAGTTTCTTCCAACTTCACATCTGCGCCAATAATCTTATCCTGTATCAACATTATAGATAAATTTACTGTAAACTTACCCTCTGTAACATTTACAATTTCCAAGAGATTTGAGTTGAGAAAATTACGCATAATAACGCATAATGAGCGCGTTAAAAACTTAAAGAAATCTGTTGCTCTAAAAAGGCACGCTGACAAAATTTACCAGGATTTATCGTCGAATGTCAATCGTGCCGTACATGCAACTGTGCCGTTTCCAGGCGTAGCTCGTTGACAGTGCTCTTCAATTTGGCAAGAAGTCTGTCGATAGGATCCGGTTGTGGTGAAAGGTTATCCACAATCTGTCGCACTATGCGATATGGTGCATCACGGCGGCAGTCGTTGACCATCCTCCACATGTTGCATGTCATCAGAGCCGGGATGGAACGTTCCATCGTAGTGACCTTGTCCTTGAGATACCTGCGGCGATCAATCAGGTCGCATCGACGTTCCTCAATTTCCGAGGCGACACTTGTCAGCGGTGAATCCGGATCTTTTGCACGAAAGAAACGTAAGAAAGACAGCAATTTTATACGATATTGAACAAAATATTTCGGTAATTTTCTTGTCCAGCTGAATGCAGTATTGCAGTGTCTTCTATTTGTCTTCCGACGCAATGGGCGGTATAAGTCGACTGTGTGCTAATTAAATAAATTACTCACTAATTTTGCTTGACATCTCGACGAAATATCCAGCACGTTATATATCAGTCGCGCCTCAAGTATTAAAAAACAGTAAAATTGTATTATGCCGTCGTTAGATTCACAATGCGCGTTTGCTTGAAACTTATCCGAATTTTGAGTACGAAAGAGAATAGAGAATGATGAGTTGTTTGCATCGAGGACCGCGCCTTGACAGTTTCAAGTGGAACGCTTTCATAGCCAAGTGAATCAATCTTCACATATTGACATATGTAATCGAGATACAAACAAACAAATCGAGATTACGAAACAAAAGAAGAAATTTGTCACATCCGAACTCGGCAAATTTTCCATCTGACATTTTCACCTGTCGATCGCTGTTCGCGGTTGCAAGTGATGAAGTACGCAGTCCTTCATAGCTGATAGCTTCCAAACAATGTCCAGGATGATATAAGTGTTTATCAATCTATTGTTATTGTTACTTGTCGTGCGTCAAACAGGATAGGAATTAGCGGGACTCGCAAAGAAATCTTGGAGCAAAATCTGGACCCAAGCTAACGGGGATGTCGCCATTCGGCTCGATCGAGAGTAAAAAGATAGAGAAGAAAAAGCGATGCCAGACTCAATTATAAACAGAAAGTCACACGACTGATTTGCGTAGTTGTCGTAATTGTTGCTTCGGTAATTGTCACTCTCCTGAAACATTGGACATTTACGCATTTACGCAGTAAATTGGACGCGTCGACGTCGTATCACCAGGACGGGGACGACGATGAGTTTTCGTTAATGACCGTAACGAGTGCTTCCCTTCAGGAGGAGGGAACTAGCGGTACCTTCAGCGGATTCGCAGTCAGCGCCAATCGGGAAGAAAGATTTGCGTGTCGTGCGTTACAAAAGCGAGGTCGCATCTTTAGTTATCGGAAGAGAAAAACTCGTCTGACTGATGGAATATTTAGCGCACCTGTTGGTGTCTGTCCGCACCGCGCCACTTCTTCGATTATCCGATGCAGTACAGGTGATACGACACATCCTTGACTCGATCATTATGATATGCATGTTTGTTGATAGTCTTTATCACCGCCTTCTCTCAGTCAACTTCGCGTGTAGTCACGTAATGCATATGCACAAGAGAGAAACAATCGATCCATCGATTTGTACCTGATATAAAGAACCGTATCTTTTACCGTATTGCACTTTATATGTGTATTTATGTGTAATAATTGTGATTATCCGACAAAATGACAAAGAAAGGTATATTATATCCATGCCGAATTCATGTGATTTACGTGGATCTATGTGGATGTAGATTCAGTCACGAATTGTCCACATGAATGCTACACGTTCTTTTATCACTAAATCGAAATACTTTATCCTCGAAATATCAACATACGAAATATAATTCCACTGTTAGGCATATTCCCCGGTGAAATAATAAAGCTTGCATTATAATAGAACGGTATTCCAATTGCCTAAGTTGCAATTGACTGTAGAGTATAATGATTAATTCATTATGCTATAGATCTAGTGATTTATGAAATCGCGCCTTGCTACGATTGATGGTGAACGCTTAAGATTCGAGCTCTCATTGTGCCAATAAATACCGAGCATCAGTATCGGGCTCAGCGCCCGGCACCCTTGTCTTACACCTCACGCTGTCCAGAATTCTCCTATTGTCTCCCTTATCCTCACTCTACTCTTCGTCTTTCTCAATATTTCTTCTATACTCTCCCCACCAGTCTCTCCCTCATTCATCACCTTTATCAACTTCCCTCTATCCACCGAGTAGAAGGCTGCCTCGAGATCGATCAAACCATTCCTCTCTGTTGTCTGACAAACATTCCTCTCTTTTCCTCTCTTTTTTTCCCAGCCGCCTATTTATTGGGTAATTCAATGTACATACCTGATCCATTGCGCCCATTCCTTTTCTAAATTGTGTTTGGCTATTTGATAATAACCAGCTCTTACCTCTCACTTCCTCTCTCTCTCTCTCTCTCAGTCTATCCGCTAGCATCGTCGCGTATATCATACTTCCCATGCCTGTCTTTCTATCTCTTCTCCTCTATGCTTCCACACCTCATTCGGGATCCGTTCGTCCTTTCCCATCGCTTTTCCCTTCCCTTTATGCACCTTTTCACCTCCTTACATTCCAGCTTTGGTTCTCCATCTTCCTCCCTTCCCCTTGTTTCCCCTCTTACTACTTTCCTTACCACTTAATCACTTACTCCCAACAGTCCCCTGGAATACACTGATAAGTTAACAAAAGTTATTAAGGCATTATCGTAACAATACATTCTTGAGACCAAATGGAGTAAAAGAAGTCTAATACCACTTTTTCTTCCGATAATTAATTCCGATAATAAAGAGAAATATCGTAAGTTAAATGTTGGGTAAGGTAAAAGTTATTAAATTTTCCGTAAATATCTTAAAAAATATCAGGCAAATAAAAAAATGTTTCAAACCAAAGTTATTAAAATTAATTGATAGGAAAAAAATGATATAATAAAAAAATTAGAGTTTCCATTTAAAAGAAAAGTAATGATCACACTGAATATCTCGAAAGTGGCGCCATCTATAAAACAAAATGATATAGTTGTTTTACGCCCCCTTTGAAACCATACAACTTTTGTCTAAAACGTGTCTAAAAAGTATCTTTCATATTTTCCGAGATTTTTTCCTGGCTCCCTGTATTTGTAAAATGGGGCACCCTGTATAACAATATAAAATAAAGGTAAATACTATACAGTTTCTTTTGTGCTATTTCCCTTTAATTTTGACTGAAAACCTTGCGTGTAGAAAGAAATGTGCAAAGAAATCAATTCAATTGTGAAGCTAGAAATCACGCAGATCCTACGTGAATGAATATCTTCAAAATTCGCGAAATTGTTACGTGGATTTCTACGTCGATTCAATCATTTTTTAATCTATGTGGATCTTAATACCTTTCTTGAGCGGATATTTCTTTCTCGACTGTCCATGATAGTGATATTTATGTAAATAAGAATATTCCATACAGTCGGATGTTTCCTTACGCATATGCATTAAGCGATTATATAAGTTTGTCCGTGAAAAAACACATTTACATTGTGAAGAGATAATGACGCCGGGAAGGTCTGATGCTGACTTTCTCACGTTTTGTCTACCAAGTATTCTTCTCCTCAAGGAGAAAATACGCGGATCAAACAGTTGCAGCGGGGAAAATCGGCATTGTGCTATGTGTGATATTGCGATCTACTAATCAGATTGGATAAAAATAAAACCTGTTCACTTGTAGGCTAGCTGATCACGGCCGAGCAAACGAGTAAGCAATAGGCAGTATTTAGTCATCATCTGTTTTACAGGTGACTCCCGACTCGTGTTCGTTTGGCCGCAGAAAGCTAATAAGGCTCGGTTTTCGAACATCCTAGCACCTCTGTTGCGTGGCATTCTGATCGGATTGTTATTCGTGGATGCGCTTCGCCTTTGGCCCGGAGAATTTTTACCCACATCTCTACCCTCGACTAAGCCGATTACTTTGCCGCCAGTTAAATGCAACATCATCGAGCCGCGCTGGTTCGATAATGATTGACTATGAGTCGTGACTTCTACGCTCATTTTTTAATGCCTTTATCATGACATGTCTCCTTCATTCGGGCAAGTCGCCCGAATGTTTTCAACTCTAACAGACCAGTGTGAAACATTCATCGCTCAATAAAGACTCGTCGATCTTATATTTCGTCCGAAAAAATTCACTTCTTTACATTTATTTTAAGATTCCACTCGTAGGTATAATACGCTTTGTCTGTCGAGAATATATAGAAGGAATAATTATTGTCCTCGATATCCATCATCGGTGCAAGAACAAGGTTTCAGCTTCATGGAATTCAAGGATAAATCGTTTATCGAGACCGGTTTCACAGAATATTTGCAATTATCGCGCACGTACAATAATACCAACGATAAATACTCGAGCGTGATGATCGTAGCGGTAGTTGCATGCGTTATCCTACAACTTATAAGAATCGGCATTGTAGCATCGGCAGCTTACATCTTTAATGAAAAGGTTTGTTATATTTTATCGTAGTGCAGTATATACTACTGTGATCAAAAAATAAGGTGAATTTTTCATTTAAACTTATATAAAATATAAAATCATGAAATTATTTTTTGATGGGTTGGTAGCACTGTCTTTGACATCTATGCAGAGTTTCATGTCAATATATTCAATTGCTGCAGAGCTATACGTGTTTTTGTAAACATACAAAAGTGAGTTTTCCGATTTTTACTATGTCTGATTTTGTTGAGCAAAGAATTGGCATTAAATTTTGCTTGTGGAATGAATATTCTGCCGCGGAAACGTTGAGGATGTTGCAAAAGGCCTTTGGTGATAAGGTCGCAAAAAAATGTCTTCTTTACAAGTAGTACAAAGACAGTACAAGTCTACTTTACAAGTAGTACAAAGACTTCAAAGAAGGCCGAGAACGAGTTCAAGACGAACAGCGCCCCGGACGACAACATCAACATCTATCGATGAAAGCCGCGTCAAGGAAATCAAAGATTTGCTGTTCGAAAATCGTCGATTGACAATTAGAGAGACCTTGCTGATGCTACGGGCATTTCATTTGGATCAACCCAAACCATTTTAAAAGATGTTTTGTGCCTCAAGCGCGTCAAATCTCGATTGATTCCAAAAACACTCAATTTTTTGGAAAAAAAAAAGCGTCGCGTTGACATCTGTGAAACAATGATTTCTGACTACCAGGACGTCATGAAACGCATCATTATGGGAGATTAAACTTGGATCTATGCATACGACCCGGAAACAACCGACCAATCGAGCGAATATCGTGCAAAAGGTGAACCAAGACCGAAAAAACCGCGCCAAAGTCGCTCAAAAATCAACGTCATGTTGACAGTTTTCTTCGATTATCGCGGTGTTGTGCGGTGTTATGAATTTCTTCCGCCAGGCCAAACTGTTAACGAGGAATATTATTTGAGTGTTATGCGTCGTTTGCGTGAAGCTATTCGCCTCAAGAAGCCAGAATTATGTGCAGACAATTCTTGGTTTTTGCACCACGATAATGCACCGTCCCACACTGCATTGGTTCTTCGAGAATATTTCGCCAAAAATTCGACCCATATCGTTCCACAACCACCGTATTTGCCTGCCTATTTCAGCACCGTGCGGCTTCTGGCTGATCAACAAACTCAAAGGCCGCTTCGGGGACACTGTTTCGACTCGATTAAGGAGATAAAAGCCGAATCGAGGAAAGTATTGAAGGCCATCTCGGAAAAAGACTTCTCTGACTGTTTCGAGGATTGGAAAAAACGTTGGCATAAGTGCATTGTGTCGGACGGAAAGTACTTTGAAGGCGATGAAATTGATTTGGAAGAATAAATAAAGATTCTTCATTTTATAAACAAATTCACCTTATCGGTCACAGTAGTACATATGCTTGTGCGCACAACCATTTAAAGAAAAGGAAATGCAAATGATCGCAAATACTTACATACATTACGATACGATAAGATATTTCGCCACTATAAAAGCTAATTCCTCTGCTAGTTTCTCCGTTAGTTTCTCTGCGTAGCATTTTCAAACAACGTGGAGCCGATGTATACGATATTAATGTATACACTTGCATTATTTATAATTGGAAGGTAAAAATACTGATAAAGATTCGCCTTCATTAGAACCGTGATTTTGCAGTTTCTTTTATTGCTGTTTTTCTTGCAGTTTTATAGTGCTGGATTCTAATTTCCAGACGCTAGATCGGGGGAGATAAAAAATAATACGCCGATAAAGTAAAGGAAAGAGAAGAATTGTGTCTGGGAAATTTAATGAATGCTCGTCGTTAGAAATATGAAATAATATCCGATTTCCTACCGTCAATTTTATGATATTTAAATAATAGTCATTAGCAGATTGCAGCAGAATGTTTTACTATTAGAGGAATCGAAAGTCATCGTGACTATTAATCTTATCAAGCTCTCGGGGTCAAAGTTCGCATTTGCATGGTTGGATGTATATTTGAAGATTGATACATACATGTATGTGTATACACATTTGTACACATATATATTATTATCAAGTTCCCAACAGCCACGTTCCCAATAAAACGCGCGCTGATCGTGAGAATCACGCTGTTACACTCTACTGTTTGTTCATTTTACAACATTTTTAAAGTGAATCGTGCGTGCCGTAGACTACTGAAATATAACAGAAAATAGTTTGACTGTGATTGTACTACGAATGAATTGCACGCAACGATAGACTGTAATATTGTTAAATTAGTATAACTATCTAGTTAGTATAACCTCCATTAAAACTAAGCTGAAACTAAGTTTGTGTTATGCGTAATATTTTGTAGCTAACTTTAAAGTCGACTAAATCTGAGTTAAGTCTTTGTTTGAGTAGAGTTTAAATTCAAGTGAAAAGATTTAATCGATATTAATAAAGAAACGGGCATAAATTGTGCCATAACGATGTTTTAGTTGCATTACACATATATTATATTATCACAATACTATTATCACAATACTATTAAATATTATCACAATACTATTTTCAATGTTCGCAGATTAAATAGCATAATTATGATAGATATCGTCTTTTTGGTATCGGGCACTCTGTGCCTTATCGGAATAATTACAATTGCATCGATGTTGTATCATGATTATATTACACGGCGAAAATTAAACAACATTCCCAGATCCGCATCGTATCCTCTTATTGGTCATTCAATTATGTTAATACGGATGACGGATGAAGGTAAGGAACATCGCCCCATTACTTGTGTTATTGGATGTAAAATAAAAAACGGCTTTCTTATTTCTTATTTCGTAGAACGCTCGTTATGGTATCTGACAAATTTAGACAGATTCAAAAACGGAATATTCGTAATGCTTATTGGCCTTAAACCGATTATTCACATTTACAAGCCTGAATTTTTAGAGGTAAGTAATAACGTTAGAGTAGAGAAGTTTTAGAGACAAGTAGTAACGTTACTACGTAAGTCGAAATAATCGATCGTTATATTTTTCCTCGATAATACACATAAATGGATAAGGAGTAGTTTTATAAAGCGAAATAGAGCCCTCTTTGTGTAGTAGTTTCCAACATTCCTGCATGATTATAGAGTTACTCTTAAGAGTTTTGACGCGACACAAAAGACAAATTGTCGCTATTTCTTTGTAGAAAAATCGCAGTTAGTGAGAACGTAATTACCAGCTATAGGTATATATCTTATTACACGCACAAATTATTATATCATTATTATATCATATGCAACTGTAAATGTTTACAGATCATTTTACCTAGTACGACTAATATCGAAAAAGGGACCCCATATGAATTCTTAAGACCTTGGTTGGGCTACGGTCTTCTCACTTCCACAGGTAAATAGTGTAATATTTACGAATTTATTTTTAACATTTTACGAAAATTTGTGGAGCTTACTTTGTCTTGTTATATTTTGTCATATATATGATACATAGATAATTGTTAATGTAACTCTGCACGTCCTTTAAGATACATAATGCTATTTATTTATGAAATACCTTTTCGTTCAATTTTATAGCGTTAATATCCGTTATGAGTAACGCACAAGAATTTAATCGGCTTAACAAGATTAATTAGTTCACTAACAAAACAATTACTAGCATATTTTCCCCCTCTTGCTTCTTTATATTTAATAATATTCTCACGACATATGATATATTAACGCTGTTCCAGGAAAACAGTGGTTTCATGATAGAAGACTTATCGGGCCAACGTTCCATTTCAACATACTGGATCAATTTTCAACAATATTGTCTGAAAAGGCAGAAATTTTAACAAAATGTTTTGAAAAAAAAATAAAAGAATGTTCAGGAAAGGCTATCGACATTTTTCCTTTTATTGTCAATGCTGCTATGGATATTATATGCGGTATAACTTTTATATAATACATACGATGTATCTCATAGTGTCCATATACGTATATAACAGAAGATTGTTTTAGTAAATTGATGAATATATTGTATCAATTATGTGCGTGTTTATGTATGAGATATAGATATCAACTTGGGATTTTGAAAATGTAATATGCTAATCTGTATTTCACAGAAACGGCGATGGGCGTGAATGTACATGCACAGGAATCTGTAAGCAAATATACTATGGCAGTGCATAGGTTAGCCTAATATTTCTGTAACTATTATTAATTTTAAGACACTTAATCTCATTAATAATGTATTAGTTAAAATTAACGAAATTAATTTTCATATACAGGGTGTCCGGTAATTGACTGCCAACCCAAAGTGTGAAGGTAGATTGGGTTAAGCTGAAAAGAAAAGTAAAATATAATTTTCCAAGAATCGCAATAATTATCGAATTATTAATGACAGAAATCTAAAGAGTTGGAGCGCGCCGACATAGATGATTGGAGAAACGTTGCGGTCGCTTGGGTCACAAGCAGTTGCGCGGCCTGGTCGATCCAGCAACTGTTGCCGGTGCGCGGCGAGGGGAAAGACAACGCGCCGCTATTCGTGTTTTATCTCGCTGTACCTACGTCTCGTCGCACACCGCCAACAGTTACTAGGTCGACTGGGCCGCATTATGGTCCGAGAGGCTGCGGCGCTCCTCCAATCGTCCTTCTCGGCGCGCACTCATTCGTCAGATTTCTGTCATCAATAACTCGATAATTATTGCGATTCTTGCAAAATTGTATTTTACTTTTCTTTTCAGCTTAACCCAATCTACCTTCACACTTCGGGTTGGCAGCTAATTATCGGATATCCTGTGTACAGGGTGTTTGGAAGCTTAGAAGAAGAAAAGTCATGTACCATAATGTCAAATTGGCAATAGTTATCGAGTTATTAATTGAAACATATGAGCCAATGAGCGCGGCGTAGAGAGCGCTGGGCGGCCGCCTCTTGTCGCTCGTTGACTCCGCCTATACCAAATGTCTACGTGCTTACCGTGGCCGCCCAGCGCTCTCTGCGCGCTCATTGGCTCACATGTTTCAATTAATAACTCGACAACTATTGCCAATTTGACATTATGGTACTTGACTTTTCCTCTCGGCTACTCTCGGCCAATTTATCTCCAACTTTCGTCTGTATGATAAGCTTTCAAACACCCTGTATAGCGGTGCCACTGAACGACTAACTGCTTAACTAACTGATGTTCTGTAATTTATGCTTTTAGATCAAGCCAAATGACAATGAATCGACTATTGAAACCGTGGTATCACATTGATTGGCTATACTATTCAATGCCTGTTGGGAAAGAATATAAAGCAATGCTTAATATATTGCACGAATTTACGAAAGAGGTATTGCCAACGCTGTAGTAATGCATAATAGTGTGCATAATAATAAAATGACGCATGTGCCGCTCTGTTTAAGGACATTTCTAATGTATCTATGATGATGGTGCGTTACAGGTGATAAGCAAAAAGAAAATTGCACGGCAATCGAGAAACGACTACACCGAAGTAAAAACCGAAGTAAACGAACATAATATAGGTATGTTATATAAGTTAAGCGTTACATCATAGATTTAAAAGAGATGGACTGCAAATTTTTTACCGCTATTAATAAAAGAGAACGATAGAGAGAGTGTAAGATTTTGTAAGTCTTGTAAGATTTTGTTGTCTAATTGTCCACTTGATATGTATGAGAAGATATGTCCAAGTGTCACACGTACAAAAATTCATATAAATATTCTTTATAAATTTGTTGTATCAGATGAACGAAAAAGGAAAGTCTTTCTAGATTTATTATTGGATCAGAATGAGAAGGACGAATCTCCGTTAACTGAAGACGAATTGCGGGCGCAAGTTGACACCTTCATGTTCGAGGTTAGTTCAAAATTTTACCCAAGATTTTATCCTATATAGCATTTTAGCACTATCTTGTAATTTTGGCATTTGTTGTCTATAATGTATGTACCTATACCGAAGTAGAAACCAAAGTAAACGAACATAATATAGGTATGTTATATAAGTTAAGCGTTACATCATAGATTTAAAAGAGATAGACTGCAAATTTTTTACCGCTATTAATAAAAGAGAACGATAGAGAGAGTGATGTAAGATTTTCTTGTCTAATTGTCCATAGGGTGTCCGGGGTCTTTCGAAGACGAAAAATTGTGAAGATTAATCAGATCAAACTGAGAAGAAAAGTCAAGTACCATTTTGCAAGAATCGCAATAGCTATTAAGTTATTAATGATTGAAAATGACCACATTTAGAAGCTCTTTTAAAAGTTGTCAACGTGAAAATTTGCATACTTATTTGCAAAATGGTAAAGGACTTTTTTCTTCAGAATGATCCAATCTACAATTATATGACGGCTATTGTGCCTAGTGACAGGTTCAAGATTCAGGATTCAAAGTCTAATATACTCATATCTACTACTAGACACAATAGCCGTCATACAGGGTATCCGATAATTAGCTGCCAACCCGAAGTGTGAAGGTAGATTGGGTTAAGCTGAAAAGAAAAGTAAAATACAATTTTGCAAAAATCGCAATAATTATCGAGTTATTAATGACAGAAATCTGAGAAGTGTGGACGCACCCCGACATGAATGATTAAAGAAACGTTGCAGCCGCTCGAGCCACCTCGAGTGCGGCCTAGTTGATCCAGCAACTGTTACCGGTGCGCAGCGAAGCGAAGGGCGACAATGCGCCGCTATTCGTGTTTTACTCGCCGTACCTACGTCTCGCCACACGCCTCCAACAATTGCTTGGTCGACTGGGCTGTGCTGTGTGGCCCGAGAGGCTGCGACGCTTCTCCAATCATCCATCTCGGCGCCCGTTCACTTGTCAAATTTCTATCATTAATAACTTGATATCTATTGTGAATATCGCAAAACATATAGGACTCTTATGTTTGTCTTAACCTGTTCTATATCTCCACGAGCTCTGTAAAAATTGTTCTGGTTATTTGTATATATTACTACATAATAATAATAATAATAAAATAATAACAGGGTCACGACACAACCGCGGTTGCAATAACCTGGGCACTCTTTTGTTTGGGTAATAATCTCGAGCATCAAGAGAAAGTCCATCAGGAACTTGAAGAAGTTTTCAAAGATTCGCAGAGGCCAGCCAGTATGAAGGAGTTATCGCAATTGAAATATCTCGACAGAGTTATAAAGGAAACACTCAGATTATATCCAAGTGTACCTGCAATAACAAGAAAATTAATAGAAACTGTTAAATTGGGTAAATATTAGTTAAATGTTATTTATTTAAAGGCTGATAGTTTTGTTTTATTCCGTCATTTTGTCCAAAAGTGATATCACAGACTAATATGTTCATGTACAACCACATCCACGTTAACGCGAATACGTTTAGTATTCGCTCTACTAATGCTTGTTCCTCATCAGCTATAATGATAAAATCGATGCATACTCATAAAATTAAAACGAAATATTACAATTGAATCCACATATTTCAATTAATCACATGGAATCCTATTTTAGGTGATGATACCATTCCAGAAGGTACTACGATCGCCATATCAATTTTACTGACACATCGTAACGCAAATGTTTGGCCGGACCCAATGAAGTTCGATCCGGATCGATTTCTCCCGGAAAACTCGAAATATAGAAGCCCATACGCATATATTCCATTCAGCGCTGGACCAAGAAATTGCATCGGCCAAAGATTCGCTCAGCTCGAAGAAAAAATTGTGTTAACGGCTATTCTAAGAAAATGGAGGGTGAAAAGTGTAGACATTAACATTCCATTCAGCTTCTCTCTCATTTTGCGACCGTTACAAGAGGTTTTTATTTATTTCACATCGAAGAAATAACTCGACTTTGTCTTAAAGGTCAAAATCGAGTGGCAATAGCAATAGCAGTAGCAATAGTAATAGCAATAGTAATATCATATTATTGCTGTTGTTGTTATTGTGTTATTGTTGTTGTTGTTGTTGTTTTCAAGAGGGAAGTAGGTATCATGTGGCAGACCGACCTGATAGATCTTTTGTAACTTTCTTTTATAAGTACTTTAGAATAAATTTAAGCTATTAATAAACTTCAAAATAACCCAAGAATGCGTTTCTCTATTATTGTGTCAGGCGTTACAACTGCTTTGACGATATCGATATAATACTATGTGTATTATGATTTCCCGGTAATTTACAATGAATTTAGCAATACAATAAATAATATCTAGGAAAGAGATATATGTATACGATATATTGATGAGTATGAAAAAAAGCTTTGTAACAAGAAGAGAAATTGTAGCGTATCTTAATGAATAAAGTCATATCTTTTATATCAGAAGAACGACCTACGTATTAAGTCCGTATAAGTTTAGATATCGGAAATTGAGGATCGCAGATTTAAAAGATTGGAAGATTGATTAAAGATTGAAACTTGAATACATAGGGCAAAGTAAGTTAAATCAGGATCGAAATTATAATAGTTAACTCATCGAATCTTCATTTCTAATCCGTAATTATCTATTGCTCACTTCGAGTCCGATATGGGCTTCAGATATGTTTTAAAAGTGCTACTTTAAAAGTGACAGCATATCTTAAATTCGTTTCGAGCCACTTAAAAGCCAGCAACATTTTTGCTTATAAAAAATCAATTCTTCCATCGAATATCAAATAGTCGTACATAAGAATAATCGACCATAATGCGAATCCTCTATGATACGGATTTTACAGTAAAGTAATCTGCATTATAATATTCTTTTCTTCACGTTGCGAGAAAAGAAATGTTTTTGCACTTCAACTGTCATTCTCCGCCAGCTGTTGGAGACCGGCCTATGTCTAGCGCGAACAAACACTTCAGCATGATGCATAAATGCGGCCTCCCGCCTCGATCTGTTAGTTTAATAAAAACTTCTTTACAGTATTCTAGAAACATATAACAGTCATAGAGATATCTATTGTTTGGATTTACGGCTTTTTCGAACATTCGTGTCCTAAAATAATGATATGTTAACAAGCACATTTTTGTGCATAATTTTTTAATTAGCCGTCAGCAGACAAAAACTAACTACCGAATTGGAATATTCTTTCTTATAGTTTTATAAATTTGTCACAGCCATAAATCCAAATAATAAATGTTTCTAAGGCCGATGTGTTTCCAGAATATTGTAAAGAAGCTTTACTAGCAGATCTAGACAGCTGACGAAGAATGACGGCCAAAGTGAAGGAACAACGCTTCTTGTAGCGCTTTTTGTAGCGAATTGATGCATGTGACTGTACTTAACAATTATGCAGTATTATACGTTCAGCACAATGCAGACACGCAACCAAGTTTCTCACGTTTACCTCGATTGAGTAACATTTTGGAGGGGAATATTGTTCCTCTGGAGAATGGATTCCTTTGTGATTGGTAATTTTCTTGACTGTTTAAGTTTTTGAAAATTGGTATAAATTATAAATTTTATCGCAAGTTTTTATTAATGCGCTGTAGTGTATATATCCAATTCTATCTTCAGAAATGTAACTCAACTTTAACGATTTTTGATCTGCCATCGATCAATTTTCGAAGCAATGCTATTATGCGCATGTCGTGATGCGTTTGTGCAGAGATTAGCGATTCGTGCCGTATCTGATAACTGGCCTTGACGATTACTCGTCATCATCAAATATAGCGTCAGTGTCGTCACGTTCAAGTCAGATACCACACATCACTCGAGTACTAAACATCGGAGGAAAAGCGAGAGATTCCATCGTATCATCGATTCATACGTTTCCATTATTTTCTTTCGCAAGCGAATAATCAGGTAAGTGCACGAAGTAATAAAAACATATTATAGTTGTTAGCAATATCAATCGGTGCATTATTGTTGTATATTTTGCGAATGAGATAATCTAAGTACATCAAAATACATCGTTTGGGATTGAACATGAATATGAAATGTGCAATCTCTTAGTTTTTATAAAGTGTATGTAAAAATATTAAACAGGCCATTACGTACATGAAAAGAATAAATTGTGCAAAGTAATATATTTTTATTGTATTTCAAAATTGTAATGAACAACACAGTGCCAATCATCGCAAAAATATACAACAGTTTTTTATTTCCTTCCTCTCTCTCTCTCTCTCTCTCTCTCTCTCTCTCTCTCTCCCTCCCTCTCTCCCTCTCTCCCCCTCTCCCTCCCCCTCCCTCCCTCCCTCCCTCTCTCTCCCTCTCATATTCTTTCTCTCTTTCTTGTGCGTTAATGGCTGCGTTCAGCAGAACAAAGTGATTAGTGAACGCTTAGTGATTCTCGCTCCTGATTGGTAAATACTTCTGGGTCTATGAAGAATCTAAAAGAATGCTCCAATCACAGACAATAATCACTAAGCGCTCTCTGATCACTTTGTTCTACTGAACGCGGCCATTGTTTTCCTAAATTTGTAGGTTAGATGAAATTTCTCATTTTTTATAATTTCTTATCAATATTAAAAATCGTTAATCTTATCTCACGTAAAAAATTATATTTTTAACTACATATTGATGCAGCGTGTGTATCGCTAAAAAATTTTACAATTTTTTAAAATAAATATAATTTCATCCTTTTTAGTAAGTTTGGCATTCGTCATGGAAATACACGCACGGGCACCAGATCCATTAACGAATGACGGTGATATGGCCAAAAATTGGCAAAGTTGGAAGGAGGATTTTATTATATTCATGAAAGTAACAGGATATATCGATAAACCCAATGAAGTTCGTGCGAATCTTTTAAAAAATCGGATCGGTAAGATTGGTATCGATGTGATACAAAAGATATCATTCAATAATCTACAAGATAAAGATGACATGGATATATTGATGACAAAACTGGAGGAATACTTTAATCCACCAAAAAAAGAAGTGGTCGAGCGATATCAGTTTTTTAAATATTCGAAGAAACAAAACGAATCTTTGGAACAGTATATAAATGACTTAAGGGTACGTTTTTTACTTTTACAATATATATCTTTTTGTTTTAAATTTTGAACATGTATCATAATCCAAGTTAATGTGCTTACAGGAGAAAGCCAAAACTTGTAATTTCAAGGGAATGACAGATAGTCTTATACGGGACAAGATTATTTTCGATACATATGACAAAATACTTCGTAAAAAGTTGCTCGAAACAGACGATTTAGATCTGCATAAACTAGTAGTGATTTGTAATGATTATAATATCAACACTGAAAAGATGAAACAAGTTACTGAACAGAATAAAGCAGAATCTAATAGTTATACACAAAAGGCGATTGAAAATGCAAAAATAAAAGCATGTTGTTGGAGATGCGGTTGTCAACATCCGCAAGGAAAATGTCCCGCTTGGGGATCAAGTTGTACAAAATGCGGTGATACTAATCATTTCACTCAATGTTGCAGGGGCAGTAAACCTAAGTTAAAAGCAAACGACAGCAAGGTAACATATATTACATTGTTTGAAAAATATAAAAAATGCATTTCATATATTCCCTATTATGCTTATTATTCGATTACTAAAGCACATTGTCATGCCTATTTCTAGTCATGATCTTTTTTTACTGTAGGTGAATAAAAACATACTGAATACAATGTCACCGCCAACAAAAACAATTCCAAAGGAAAACAATTGGAAAAGAAATAATTAAGATGTTGACAACGTTAACTAGGGGATTTTTTTTCAAATCGTAAGATTAATTATGTAATAAATGTAATACTTTTCATTAGATATTTTACTTTTCCTTATGCATAAGAAATATATACATATATGTATACTTATTTAGCATCACGTAGTACTATGTTTTCTCCGTATGGTTACTAGAGTATCAATTCTAAATTTTATACTATATATTTTTGCGTATGTTCTGAATGTTTGGGTTACAAAATATACAAAATTGTATATAGAATTATGTTGTTTCAACACGCTCAGTATCTTGAGAGTCATTAGCTGTGTTATCTTGCAATTGTTGGGCTTTGAACAATTGGATAAGTTGTTCCGTTGCAGTAGGAGTTAGTTTAACAGCTGCACCATGTTCCTTCTGGAAAGAATGAAAAAGATATGTATGAAATTTTTTTCTCACAAAAAACGGTTGTGAAGAGAAACCATTTAGATATTATTTTTAATATCACATAATTTATGTGATCTTTAACAAGATATAGTTACATTTGGGAAGTGGACAAGATTTATCATTGGATCTTTAAAGAAGAAGGGTGTCCATGGCCCTTGAATGGATGGAAATTCCGTGTGCCATAGTTTCCGCAATCTTAAGGATGCACTATCATGAATCTGTGTACGCAACAATTCCATCCACTTGATGATATCCTCCTGATTGTAATTGGCAACATCCATCCATTGCCTACCACCATTCACTGTACAAAATATGATATATTAGCATTGTACCGATGAAAATTAAAACAATGGCATTACAATATTCCAAAACATAAGTGTAAACATACGATATTCGGCAACTATAACAGGATGTCTGTGCCTTCTTGGTTTAACATATACAACTATTCCTGGATTTTCCTTTGCATAATGAATTAAATTATGTTCTATAAAATGCCTGGAATAAAAAAGTGAAGTCACATAATTACTTTCCTATTTTATTAGAATTACTATTAAGAAAAAAAACGAAAATCATAGGTATAGCGTCAAACCTCATTCCCATACTTGTACCATGGCTTTTACAAAATTTTAAAGTAACTCTTTGCAGTTGACAGACATAACGGCCAATTCCGAGACCGTGAGGTGCACGTAAAAATCCAGATTTCAGAAACAAGTGTCTGTGCGACATATTTAATGAAATATAATATGTATATGAGAAACGAAAGAGTACAGATAGGTTAGATAAATATCGATATATTCATTGAATATCTACGAATGCTGCAACGTGTATTGGATCTTCTGAAGTATTTCTTCTGAAGTATTCTTTACATTAAAATAGCTAGACCACGTTGACGTTCTGTCAAAAAAAGAAGTCACTGGAAGAAAAAAATTATTTCGTCTCAATTATCACATTTAATTGACTTGTAATCAGAGAGGAAGCTGAGAGCGGCCAACACGGTGTTTTCGGCGATACCGATGTTTCGCACTGGAAATGGACGCCATCTGCATCCATTTTGAGAGGAGAACTACGATGCTACATCCACTTTTAGGTCTTGGTGGTAAAATCTGCATGTGGTGGAAGTCCGTGTTACATCCACTTTCAGGCGGTTTATGTCCGTGCTGCAACCATAGTTACTATCTCTATGCCAGACAATAGGCCTGTTCGTTTTGTCTGCACTGCTGAACTGGTGCAACAAGTTGAAGTGAGAAAATCTACGTTTGTTTCACTTTAACTTAATGCACTAATTCAGCAATGCAGACAAAACGAACAGACCTTATGCCCGAAGGTCTAAAAAGAGCGGAGGGGAGGGGGGAGCAGGAAAAATAAAAGTACACTTTTACTTTTAAAAGTTTATGTACATATATTATAAAAACTTATGTTATGTACATAATATATATTTTAAAAAAGAAAATAACTTGAATTTGAGATTTCTAAAAATATTAAGTTAAGTATACAATAATCATATATATATGTCAGGTTTCTCAGTTGGCGCTATTGTTTTAATATATCACTTCTTTTGTACAGTAGAAAAGTGTTGCAGAGTTTTATTATAGTTATAAGTTTTGCTTGTAAAAACTTATGTACACATATGTACAATAAAAAAAATAATTTGAATTTGATACTTCTAAAAATAACACAATACGTGTTGCGCTTGTATTTGGCGCCTTTTTTTTACCTTTCTGTTTAAAAAGGTAAATTTTATATAATATTAAATATACGTACGTTTCACGTATAACGTGATTGACTTGGAGTACTCCGTGCCCACGCGTGTTTTTCATAACGACGCATTCATACTTTCCCTGATCTGTTACATCGGATTCGATAATCTGCAAGGCACCTGAAACATAAAATGCGAAATATTCTCGAACAGCGTTCCTCTCAGGATTTTCTTGTCCAAAGAAAGATCAATGATGCGATCGCAGATCTCGTGTATGTCATGTCAATAGAGACAGTTTGAACTCGGCGTAATATGATTCTTGGAACAGACGTAAATAAGTATTGTGAAGTTTGAAGCGAGTCTCTCACAGGCATGCTTTGAAAACACGAGTTGTTTTCATTTTCAGCTAACGGGCAACGCAGGCATCAACACTAATCGGCAAGGTCAGCGACTGGTGGGGGGTAACTGTGCCTATCCGAATGTTTGTTTTCGTACGTTTATACATGACTCCGTGATTGCGGAAAGGACATTGCGCCTCGGGCCGACGAACGACGCGCATACCGCGACGCAGAGTACAAGTGTCGGTAGTCGTATCGGTTAATACGCGTTTCTTTGTCCCCGAATCTTACTTGCGCGAGTGTTAGAGCTAGAGTCAGTGTCATCGCCAGTGCTACGATGGAGTATCCGGGGGTGCTGCGACGGAGACCAGAAGGAGGACGTCGGATCGAAAAGTCAGGATGGAGAGTGGACTTGGAGCGCGCCGAGAGACGTAGCCGAGGACAGCGATACATCATGTATGATATTCGAAGTACCTCGAGTCATTATTATTACGCAGGATTTTTCTGATTTTAACGGACCTTACTCGAAGTAAGGACATACCCGAGTCGAAATTAGATCAGCATTCATAGTTTATCATCTGAAAAATGATAAAATAGCTTGAATTTGATTATTCGTTAACTTAATTTCACGTAACATGAGTTCTACTTTTCTTTTCTCATAAAATATGAATGTCTATTCAAGCAAGGTTGCTGAGGCAAGCTAAGGTTTATGAATACAAATTTGTAATTATGTTCTCAATGAAAAATTGCACATAATTTAGGAAACTATGAATAATGATCTTAGAATCTGATATAAATTTTACAAGTGTTGATTTTTATTCGTCTAATAATGCTCAGATTGCTGTTTTCGTTTAGAATCTGCTAGAATGTCCGTTTCTCATTCTTGTTTATCTTTCTTATTGTACCGAATCTGAATTAAAATCTCTATTAGTGAAACAGCATTATTAGACATAACCGTTGTCTTTGCCTTTGCAGCTTCAGCTCTTTTGAGAGCTACAATTCTCATCATTCTCATTAGAAAAAAGAAAAGAAAAAAAAAGAGAAGAAAAAGGAAAAAAAGAACTTTAAGAATGATGAGAATTAAAAGTGTTTTTCATCTCCCATTTCCTCTAATTCTTATATGATTATTTAATCCTTATATATTTATCTCACGCGCAGTTCTAACAAAGGCAGTTTTATTTACGTTTTTATCTTTGTTCTCTTTCTTGCGCTGTTAAGCGAATATATAATCAATATCAACAAAAATTGCTCATTTAAATTAAGAATATAAGGATTAAGTACATATACATTATCGAGATAAACGAGTATTAAATAACTGCGAAATACGTCGCTGTTGAAGACTCATCATGGGCGAGACTGCGAAAGTAGCCAGATGTAATGTTCAGGTAGGACAAAGCTTGTTCACTATTGCGCATCTAGATATTCTGCATTGATTTTTCAAATTGGATGCAATTTGCAGGATCAATGTAGAATTAATATTTCGACTCGGGAAAGACTTTTTTTTATCAAATCCTAACTTGTAGAAAACTATCGATTTGAATGTCGGCAAGAAAAAAACGGAGATACCTTTGTTAGATATTTGACAAAACGCCGGATCGGTATTTATCCAACGCTTAATAAATAACACGGAGAACGTTTTAGTTGGATGAATAAATTTTCGTTACTTTCCGCTTGCGGTTTTCGATCGTTAGCGGCGATTCAGAGACGAAGAGAGAGAGGAGAGCGAGAAAGAGAGAGAAACGTCTTGCCAGGATTTCTGCAGACCGGTTCATTTCGACAGATTCGGTATTAAAATATTAGACGTAGAAAAAATAAGAATGAAAAAAAATTTTTTATATTAGTACAGAAAGTTCGACGTACTTTTGTCAAATAGAGATGAGTATCAAATTTTCTACAAGTTAGGACTAGGATAGAGAAAACGTCAAATCTTTTGCGGCTATAGAATTAAACAGCAATATAAATTTTGATTTACGATATTAATCGATATTCGATTTCCGGTACTGATTTACTTTCTCATTTCTCTATAAGAGAAGAAAAAATTAATACGATTCGTTCGTTTATATATCCGAGTTAATTTGTTGAATAAATTAGAGGGGTAAGTACTTGAAAAATGAGAACGAATTGTCATTCCACTTGGACAATCTTCTGACACTGATTTATGGTATTGATCGATATTCGATTTTCGGTACTGATTTACTCTTTCATTTCTCTACAAGAAAAAAAATTGATACGACTCGTTCATTTATCCGCGTTAATTTGATGAATAAATTAAATATTGATCGGTCTTCAATTTTCGGTACTGATTTATCCTCTCATTTCTTTATACAAACAAGACAAGAAAAATTGATACGAATCATTCGTTTATTCGAGTTAATTTGTTGAGTAAATTAGAAGGATAAATACCTAAAAAATGAGAAATTGTCATTGTATTTGAACAATTTTCTGACATTGATTTACGGTATTGATCGATATTCGATTTTCGGTACTGATTTACTCTTTCATTTCTCTATAAGAAAAAAAAATTCATACGAATCGTTCATTTATCCACGTTAATTTAATGAAAAAATTAAATATTGATCGGTCTTCAATTTTCGGTACTGACTAATTCTCTAATTTCTTTATAAGAGAATTCTTTATAAGAAAATTCATACGAATTGTTCATTTATCCACGTTAATTTAATGAAAAAATTAAATATTGATCGGTCTTCAATTTTCGGTACTGACTGATTCTCTAATTTCTTTATAAGAGAATAAAAATTGATACGAATCGTTCTTTTATCCGACTTAATTTGTCGAGTAAATTAGTGGGGTAAGTACCTGCAAGATGAAAACAACTTGTCATTGCACTTAGACAATTTTCTAACGCTGATTTATAGTATTGATCAATACCCGCTTTTCGGTACTGATTTAGTCATTGATTTCTCTATAAAAGAAAAAAAGATTGATACAAATCGTTTGTTTATCCACGTTAATTTGATGAATAAATTCGATATTGATCGGTATTCGATTTTCGGTACTGATTTCCTCTTTCATTTTTCTATAAGAAAAGAAAAAATTCAGACGAATCGTTCATTTATCTGCGTTAATTTGATGAATAAATTAAATATTGATCGGACTTCAATTTTCGGTACTGATTTATTCTCTCATTTCTTTATACAAACAAGACAAGAAAAATTGATACGTATCATTCATTTATTCGAGTTAATTTGTTGAGTAAATTAAAGGAATATATACCTGAAAAATGAGAACAAATTGTCATTGTACTTGGACAATTTTCTGACACTGATTTACGGTATTGATCGATATTCGATTTTCGGTACTGATTTATTCTTTCATTTCTCCATAAGAAAAAAAAATTCATACGAATCGTTCATTTATCCGCGTTAATTTGATGAATAAATTAAATATTGATCGGTCTTCAATTTTCGGGACTGACTGATTCTCTAATTTCTTTATAAGAGAATAAAAATTGATACGAATCGTTCTTTTATTCGACTTAATTTGTTGAGTAACTTAGTGGGGTAAGTACCTGGAAGATGAAAACAACTTGTCATTGCACTTGGACAATTTTCTTGACATTGATTTATGGTATTGATCAGTCTTCGGTTTTCGGTACAAATTTATTTTCTCATTTTTTTATAAGATAAACGAATTGATACGAATCGTTCGTTTATCCGAGTTAATTTGTTGAATAAGATTAGAGGGGTAAGTACCTGAAAAATGAGAACAAATTGTCATTGCACTTGGACAATTTTCTGACACTGATTTATGATATTAATCGATATTCGATTTTCGGTACTGATTTACTCTTTCATTTCTCTACAAGAAAAAGAAATTCATACGAATCGTTCATTTATCCGCGTTAATTTGATGAATAAATTAAATATTGATCGGTCTTCAATTTTCGGTACTGACTGATTCTCTAATTTCTTTATAAGAGAATAAAAATTGATACGAATCGTTATTTTATCCGACTTAATTTGTTGAGTAAATTACTGTGGTAAGTACCTGCAAGATGAAAACAACTTGTCATTGCACCTGGACAATTTTCTTGATATTGATTTATGGTATTGTTCAGTCTTCGGTTTTCGGTACTGATTTATTTTCTCATTTTTTTATAAGACAAAAAAAATTGATAGGAAACATTCGTTTATCCGTGTTAATTTGTTGAATAAGATTAGAGGGGTAAGTACCTGAAAAATAAGAACAAATTGTCATTGCACGTGGGCAATTTTTTGACACTGATTTATAGTATTAATTGATATTCGATTTTCGGTTCTGATTTACTCTTTCATTTCTCTATAAGAAAACAGAAAACTAATACGAATCGTTCATTTATCCGCGTTAATTTGATGAAAAAGTTAGGTATTGATCGGTCTTCAGTTTTCGGTACTGATTTATTCTCTCATTTCTTTATAAGAAAAGGAAAATTGATACGGATCGTTCGTTTAACAGAATTCATTTGTTGAGTAAATTAGAGGGGTAAGTGCCTGCAAAATAAGAACAAATTGTCATTGCACTTGGACAATTTTCTGACCCTGATTTATGGTATTAATCAATATTCAATTTTCGGTACTGATTAACTTTTTCATTGTACTATAAGAAAAGAAAAAATTGATACGAATCGTTCATTTATCCGCGTTAATTTGATGAATAAATTAAATATTGATCGGTTTTCAATTTTCGGTACTGATTTACTCTTTCATTCCTCTATAAGAAAAGAAAAAAATGGGTATGAATCGTTTATTTATCCGCGTTAATTTGATGAAAATATTAGGTATTTATTATTTTTTTCATTCTTGCTAGTTTTATTGTCTTTTTGTATTTTTTATTATTACGTTTTTATTATTATTATTTTGTTATATAATTATTATTAATATATTATTTATCTTTTATAAATCAAAATTATCTCCTGAGTCACTGTCAATATTGAATTTTATAGGAATCTGGCTATTTCTGGAGGATACTAACAAATCAGTGACTTCAGAAAAAAAATACTTTCTTTCCTGAAGTCATTGATTTGTTAATATCTTCCAGAGATAGCGATATTTCCATGGAATTCGAAATTGATAGTGATTCAAGGGATAATTTTGAAAATATATAAAAATATGTAATATATTAATAATAATTATATAACAAAATAATGATAATAATATAAACGTAATAACAAAAAATAATAAAACATATAAAAAAGACAATAAAAGTAGCAAAAATTAAGAAAATAATAAATAAAAATTACAAGAAAATAATAAGATAATGAAAAAATACAAAAACAATTAAAATAACAATAAAAATACAATAAAAATACAATAAAAATATTGAAAAGTTGCAAATTGGGAGAGAATGCGTGGACTTATTACGTTTAGAGGCCTATGGGCCAGAGCACAGACTTCTGCATAACGCATAATACACAACGCATATAAGAGAATCAACCAATCGAAGTTCTTCATTTCTGTCCTGAGGAGGGAAATGAAGAAAACTAATTGGTTTATTCTCTTATGCGTTATGTATTATATGTTATGCAAAAGCCTGTGCTCTTGCCCTATGTCCGGGTTTTGCTACACTTCGACCCACTGCGCGTCGTCTGCTCTTGTCTACAGCCGAAGTACCGAGCGCTCACGGACACGGAATTGCTCGTTTGTGTGCGCTACTCCTCACGCGCTGTGCTGTGCTACCGGATTGCGTTTCTGGCATCACTGAAGCCAGTTCAGAACTATAGGAGAGCTGACGAAGTTAATCAATTCCGTGTTTCGCCAGATTGCTGCGGATAAGCTGCGTTGCGATGAATAGGAATAGGCAGGTGCGTTGTTGTAATGAAACACCCAGTCGTCACTTTTCCACAGATCAGGCCGTTTTTTTTCATTGCGTTACGTAATCGCTTCAGAATTTTTAGGTAATATTCTTTGTTCACCGTCTGACTTTCTAGAGCGTGTTTATAGTAAACAACATTTTCTTGGTCGAAAAAAGACAGTGATCATTGCCTTGATGTTGCTTCGACTTTAGCGCCAAATCTTTAATTTGAATATTACGCATAGATTCATCAGCATATTAGGAATTATAGCGATGGTTTTCGAACAAGAATGGCCAAGTGTTTAGCAAAATTTAATGCAGACTCTTTGTTCGATACGTTTGGTCATTATGAAATGCGACCGCGTACGCGGTTCGATGTTTGTACAATAACGTACCATTGCCGACTGAACAGCTTTTGTGTCATGCCGTTTGATGGGGATACTCTTGAAGGTCCTCCCTAAATGGTGAATATCTGTTTTTGATAATAGCACTTCTAGATTCAAAATTAGAGCACAAGGTTGGATATTTTCTGGACAGACCTCGTATGTATGTGCGTGTATATATTCATTTGCATATAAATTCATATTACAACAATCGTTTGCTTCTATAGAATGCATTTTCAATACTGCAGAACAGATTTTAACCGCTCGCCGTTATCGATAAGGTCTTAAAATTTTGAAGAAATACGTCTCCTAGATGTATAAATTCGGTTAAGTTACGTTAAGTTAGTTTTTCTTCGGGGAAAGATGCAGGAGGAGGGACGAAGCTTGCCCTTGCTCATATTTAAAAAATTTTTCCATAATATGTCGAAAAAATAGGCTCCATTTATAAAATTTCTTTCGTTAATAACTGTTTAATAAACAATGAGCAACGTTTAAATCCTCTTAAATGTTACTCACGAAGATAATTTTTATAATATACGCCAAGACCATTGGAAGTTCTCTATACAACATATTTACCAAATATTTTTTTATCTAGATATGTATTTAAGAGAGATATAAATTAACTTTTTACCCGTCTATTTATTTAGAGATTAAAAGAAGAGCTTATTTTACCTTATCTGCTTTAATAAAAGAATATTATTTTCCAACATTGCGTGCATACATCGAAAAAGATTGCTCTTATATTCCATTTTTATTTAAAAATTACAATTATTTACATTATTTCTGTAATTAATATTTATGTCCTTTACATCTGTTTATTTTTATGTGATTTAGTCACTTTATATATATAACGACAATAAAAATTAAATAATATCTTTAACGTAAGGAATATAATAGATACGATTATGATCAAAGAGAAGAATAAAAACATATAAATATCGACCTGCGTCCGGTGTACCCAACTTTGAAATCTAATCGGTGATGCTAAGGTTCCTTTTGGATGACGGGCGGTATATTCGATGCTCCAAGTCGCTAAGTCTAAAGGCGGTAGTGGCCGATCTCGAAATTCACGAGATAATTGCTTCATATTTTTTAGATAACTGCATAAAAGATATTTTCACTATTAGTATTATTATATAAATTGGCATGCGACAATTTTAGCTATCATAAAGAACTGAATATAATAAGTTTCTACTATAAAAATGATTTTAGAACATATTCTGTATGCACGCATGCTGTGTGCGCTGTGTGCGCGCGCGCGATATATGTATGCGTGTGCGCGTGCGCGTGCGTGTGCGTGTGCGTGTGCGCGCGCGCGTATATGTACATCGTATATGTACATACAAGAAAGACTAAATGCAATTACAACTTTTATAACGATTTATAATCATCTTACAATTAAAAAAACATTTATTTCTCGCAACTAAGTGTCACTTAGTTGCGCACTCTTTTGCTACATACAAACACATTACACGTATATGTATAAAAGGTGATTTAAGGTGTTTAAATTAAAATAGGGCACTCTGTATAACTTGGCTATGAATATATTTATTTAAATATCATACCTTTCGTTATAAAGTACTTTATTAAATGCATCTAAAATAGTTTGCGTGGACAAAGTTTCAAAATCCAAGTGTACACCAGCACCTTTAGCCACCAGGATTTCCACATTAGGCCTTTGGTCCATAAAAAAAGGCATTCCAATCACTGGTACACCTTGCCAGATGGCTTCCTGTGTGCTAAGAAGACCACTATGTGTCCAAATTGCTTTTACATTCTTATGAGCTGCACAGATATAAAAATATATTTAGGATGGTATTGATAACTCTATCTTAAATTTAAGAACATTCTAAGTTCATCTTTAATTGCTATAAAAATCTTCACACAACAGACATGTTAGGAAGATGTTTCAAAGACCTCTTACTTCAGACATCTTTAAGAAGTTATTAAAAGACATGTCTAATATTTTTTTAAATATTTGAGCAAAACTTGATAACTTTTTCAATATTTAACTTACGATATCTCGCTAATTATTTGTCGGAAGAAAAAGTGGTACTAGACTTTCTTGCTTTATTTAGTCTGAAGAATATATTGTTATAATAGCGCCCTGATTTTTGTTAATTTGATGATTTTGAAATTTCCAAAAATCAGTAAGTTAACAAAAGTCAAGGTACTATCGTAACAATATAATCTTGAGATTAAATAAAGCAAGAAAGTCTAGTACCACTTTTTCTTTCGACAAAAGTTAGCGAGATATCGTAAGTTAAATATTGCAAAAGTTATCAATTTTTCCTCAAATATCTCAAAAAATATTAGGCAAATAAAAAATGTTTTAGACAAAAGTTGTTTAAATTAATTAGTAGAAAAAAAATAGTGTAATAAAAAATAAGGATTCCCATTTTAAAAACGCAAGTTGACCTCCAAATGACCTTGAAAATAGAGGTCAAGGTCAAAGTCAAGGTCATCATAAGGTAGCTCACTTAAATCCTTACAACTTTTATTCAGATCATTTTCCTCGAAACTTCAATACTGAAAAGTTATTTTGGGTGGGACATTAAAATGGGACACCCTGTATATCAGGAAATTAAATACAAAGATTAAGAAAGATTGTAGAGAAAACTGGAATAATCTATGTTATTAGCAAAATTACTAGGAACAAAGTTACTAGGAATAAAGAAATCTTAAGGCATCAAATTAATTAAAATATCTAAAATTATATCGAGTCTTCTGCTTCTTTATTCTGCTTATTTTAAAACTTATCAGTTACGTTTAAACAAATCGTTAAACTTACTCAAAATATCGCCTTGAGGAATCCATTTTACAGTCATTACATTATTTGGCATTTCGAGTGACTCCTTGACTTTTAACTTCCAAAGTACTCGTTGTTTCAATTTTGATAGAGCAAGTACAACGGCCTTAAGTTTATTTAATCCAACAGTTTTCCAGGCCACATTGGTTCCTAACGATATTACAACAGCACCATTCCTTGCCCCGTCAAGAAAATTACGTACCTTCTACAAGATTTTGATAAAATAAGAATATGTTAATAATATATCAAGATATGTGTATCGACTAAATATATTGGTAATTAAATATACGATATATGTATACAGGGTGTCTCAGAACTTTGGGACACGGGCTCCGTAGGGATATAGAGCTAAGTGAGAGGAACAAAAAGTCCTCTGCCATAATGTGGAAATCGTAATAGTTTTTTAATTATAACAGCGCAAAACGCCATCGCGACTGTCGCGCAATCGCGACAGTCAGCGCGAGACGCGTTACGCGTTATCGCTCAATCCTTACGCACACAGCTTGCCGCGGAATGTCTATAGGCCACGATGCGAGTGGAAAACGCCAAACTTTACGCGGTTATTACTAAAAAAAACTATTACGATTTTCACATTATGGTAGAAGATTTTTTGGTTCCTCTCACTTAGCTCTATATCCCTACGGAACCCGTGTCCCAAAGTTCTGAGACACCCTGTAGATGTCTCATTTATTATAAAAACTTCAGATATCGTCCCTGATAAAAAAAGTACTAAAAAAGAACAGATTGGTACTTTTTATGATTTGAAAGCATTAAAATTATAATTCTGAAGAAGGATGGTATTAAAAAAAATGTCAATTTTAGCTTTTAAGTATAAAATTAATAGACTTCGAAAAATCATAGTTTGGGTTCTTAAATAACATAAAACGATGATTTGTCCGAGAAATGGCGGGAACATTAATAAAATAGCTTAAATAAAAAAAGTAATTTTGCTAGAAAAGCTGCAATTATTAATTACTAAACACATATAGAAACAGCAAATTTACATTAAGTATTGAGTCTATGCATAATTCCATAGCAAAATTCCGACAGATGTCGTTCGCAGTTGTTTTTCCGCTCGCACGCTCGTAAAATTATCCACTCTTTTCATTTCTGGAGTTAAAAATATGGGTTTCCATTTAAAAAAATAACTTTGACCTTCAAATTACCTTAAAATTTGTTCTCAAAGTCAAGGTCAAGGTCACTAATGTATGTCCCCCATTCAGCCCTAAAACTTTTTTTGACACATTTTTTCAGCGACTTCGAAGATTTCGAGATTTTTTAATACGAAAGTTAAAATAAGACACCATGTATATATGTACATATTATAAACTTTCACGAATTTCAACGGACTTTATTTCATTCCGCTTAGCTACTAATAAAATGAGTAATTTGTAATTATAATGTAATCACGTTTTTCTACTAATTATTCTAAAGAAAAATTCTCCCTTCCCTCAATTGTCCTGTCCCAGGTAAAAAGATTCAGTTCCTTGACCTAAATAAAGGATCACCGACGTGTGTCCGCGCCAGATAAAGGGATCATTCCAATCCTTGATCTGTACCGCAGACTTGTGAGTACGTCGGAGCTTGTGTTGTGAAAGCAAGCGTCCAGTTATGTTCCTCCTCCAGGACGTACCATTACAAATGTCGCCTTATATTTTTCATTAATGCAACAAAGTTAATAGAAATATTCAATTGAAAAAATTATTTTTGTGTTGTATAAGTATGTGGCTATTAAAAAATTCTTATGCCGCTTATATTCCATTTATTACTCATGTTAAAAAAACTCATTTAAAAAACTAACCAGCCCCGGTCTCTTCTATATTAGAAAAATATGCAAAAATATGATACTTGTCGTTACCTCATCGATAATTCCTTGCGAGTTTTGTGCATGCATTCCTCCAATTTCTATCGCATTTGGCGGCAAAGGAATTGCAGGTTCGAATGCAGGATGACTATTAATTAGTACAATACCAATATCTTTTTCTATTTCGGATAATGGTCTAATTTTGTGACCAACGTAACGTTGAGCGAGCTGTTGAGTTTTGGGTAAATAATAGTAATTTCGGGTTAGATCGTCAATTATATAATTAATGACATTCCACATTCTTTGCCAAAAACCTTCTGGCCTTGCAATACCAAAATGACAGTGAGGTCGAACTGTAGGATAATTAGAACCACCGACATAATCTTTGAGCCACGATGCAGAACCGAATGGAATAAAACCCACTACGGGCGGCTTGCCCTTGGCAACCTGAAAATTTTATATATATACACACACAATCTCTTTCTGAACGTTACGTGTTTCGTCTCTCTCTCTCTCTCTCTCTCTCTCTCTCTCTCTCTCTCTCTCTCTCTCTCTCTCTCTCTCTCTCTCTCTGTCTCTGTCTCTGTCTCTGTCTCTGTCTCTGTCTCTGTCTCTGTCTCTGTCTCTGTCTCTGTCTCTGTCTCTGTCTCTGACTCTGTCTCTGTCTCTGTCTCTGTCTCTGTCTCTGTCTCTGTCTCTGTCTCTCTCTCTGTCTCATTCGTGTGAACTTGTTTGTGAAACAGTTTAAAGATCTTTCCTCGACATATTTTAAAACGTATATTCAATTTTAAAATACATTCAATATCTAATAAGAGGAAATCTATTTTCTGCAAATTATTTGACAAATTATCTCTTAGTTGTTAACGACCTCCTATTAGACTGGTTGCTTTCTGAAGTATATCAGAGAAAAGGTATTCAAATTATTTTACAAACAAATATAACAATTTGTAGAGTACAACTCCAGTAAATGCTACTTGAATATTATCCATTCCTTAATAGATAACTCGTAATAAAAATGTGTCTGTATTGTTATGTCCTTAAAGTGCAAGTAGACGCACGGACCTTATATTTCAATCAGGTCAAATATTTGAAAATATAACTCCATTAATAAAACCGTAATCTTGTTTGCAATCAATCTAGTAAATATAACGCTAGCAGTTTGCTAGCAGATTAGCAACAGATTTGATGAAAAACTCACTACAGATCTATAGCCATTATCTATTTATATTAAGCTCATGATCTGTGAACAGAGTCTGCTAGCTATGTCAATAGATTAGCTACAAATACTTCATAGATCTTATTAACATAATATAATAGCACATTAACCCCTTCATTCCGAATAGTACACATAGGTACTATAAAAATTTTTAATTACCAGATATATTATACCAGCCGAAGTTTTCCTCCATCCACCCTTAATAAATAATCTCATTTATTTTACTGTCGACGAATATAAAGGGTTTTCAAAAAGTTCTAAAACGCTAAAATATCTCGAAAATAATAAATTTTTGAAAAAAATGTTTCAGACAAAAGTTGTAGGATTTGAAATTATCTATGTATATACTGATCTTATCAGTTTGATATCGGGTAGAGTTAACAAGGTCAGAGCAAGGTTTGAACTTTTCAAATGGAACGTCCTATTTTTTTTTGCATTTTCTTGTGACGTATTTCAAGAGCTTTCCAAAATACTGTAATAAAGTATTTTTTGTTAAGTACATCTCAAGTTATGAAGCTTCAATGTTATAATATCGTCGGCATTAGCATTACCCAAAGTGTACCGCGTGGAGGTTGTGCGATCGGATTTACACCTCTTTTGTGTGTGTGTGTGCGCGCGCGCGCGTAGTGTAAGCGTATGCTTGTGTATATTTTTTCGAAAAAGTATTATTTTTCTGACACACACATATATATATATATATATATTAGAATATAAAGTAACCATTCGTGTTGACTAATACCAGATATAATGAGAACAGCAAAATGGAGAGACATTAGTGTTCCATATATTTGCATCGGTTATTTTATTGAAAATATTCAGGTGATTTTTTAGATAATTTTTTACCTGACATTTTAAAATAAACATTATTTTACTTTGTTACCTTTTTTTTCAAAAATGACGGCAATGGTTTGCGCCAAGGTACGCTTTTTGCTGTTACGCTCTTGAACTGTCTCTTGACTGTTATGGTATATTCACGCGAACCAACTAGTTGGAGGGGGGCACAATTTAGAGTTTCGCTATAACCGCTAAACCGGTGCAGTTCTGAGTGTTCTCAATCGATTCCTTGGATCTAAATTAGTTAATAAAACTGTCTTCATTTTTGCTCTACGTATCCTGTGAGTCGTGATATTCTAGTTCAAAGTTCAATTTACGAAGATTTTACGTTCGCTAGGAATTGTAAAAATGTCACGCCGAAAATGTCCATCTCACATTTTTTCTGTTAGAGGCGCTGCGAATCCGTCGTCAGAGGCGCCACGACTGGTTCGCTCAGTGGCTGCGTTCAGAAGAACAAAATGATCAGTGAGCGCTTAGTAATTCTCGCTCCTGATTGGCAAATACTTCTATGTCTATGAAGAATATAAAAGAGTGCTCCAGTCACAGACAATAATCACTAAGCGCTCACTGATCATTTTGTTCTGCTGAACGCAGCCATTGTCAGAGGCACCATAATTCGAAAGTTGTGTACGAGTGTGTTTGACATATATAGTGATATTTCAATAAGAAAAGTGATGATCGATGATTAGCTCATAAGAAAATCCGAACGAGAAAACGAGGAAGAAAGATATGATGCAATCTGAAAATATATAGTATAATATATAGTACGAAATAATATATTCTTCTTATAGACAAATAAATATATGTAAATATATATAATAATAAAAGATATTTTGTATAGAATTGTGTGTTGCCAAATAGTGAATCGATTCGTGCTTCTGTTCAAGAGTAATGTTCCAACACAGCTATCTGTAAATGTCAAATCAAACACAGCTACCTGTAAATGTCAAATATGCAATATGAGGTAATGTATTATTGTTTTGTTATTATTATACATATTCTTATATATATATAACAAAACAATAATACACTACTTCATATTGCATATTTGACATTTACAGGTAGCTGTATTTGATTTGACATTTACAAATAGCTGCGTTGAAACATTACTATAGAACAGAAGGACAATCGATTCACGCCCTCGTGTACGCGTTCTCCCGCGCGGGAAATATAATCTTCGCTATCCATACAGTAACATTAGTAACATTTTAGTTATTTTTATTAGTATAAGAACTATGTGAGAAAAAATAACAGAGTGAACAGCATGAACAAGCACTCTATAGATTCGTTTATATCGCGGCGCTTAGTCCACTGTTACCACCTCGAGCGTTTGTAAGTTTGCTACTGTAACGACATATAAGGTGCTAAACTTTAAACCACGATCAAAAATGCTTCAGAGTTGAAATGTTTCTGGACAGCAGTTGTTTTGTTATAATACCAATATTACATGCCAAATTTTGACAAAATTGACCTAGATGATCCGGAGTCTATGCTTTTCTTATAAGAGTTGCATTCGCACATGTCAGACTACTTTTACTTATTCTGTTGTCCTACAATTTTAGAACACTGTAAATAGAGCAGTTTGCATTTTGCGTCGGCTCTTACCAGCTTTTTTCGTTTATTATTGCATCTGTTGATGTTAATGTTTATAACTTATTTGTTATTTACTATAAGCTTTTATTATAAGTCTTTCACTATTAAAGAACAAATATAACTTTGAAATAATAGCATTTTTCTCTATCTTACATATATTTTATATAAATATGATTACCATATTGTTCAGAAATATTATTGTAATTTCCTAGGTAGCAACTGAAACTTTAACAGCTTGCATATACTTTAATATTAACCAAACATCTTGCATATACTTTACTTTGTATAATGTCGGCGATCATACATTATTAATAGTAAATTGTTTACCTACCTCCCATAATCCATATAGACATTGATTTAACGTAACATCTTGCACTATGACATCAAATTCAATATTTTTAACCGTTTCCAAAAGTTCCTTCGCTGCTTTGGTATTTATTATTTTTTCACACATGTCATATCCCCAATCATATACAAACTGTATTGTCTCAAATGTATTAAATTCTTTCCATTCGATTGGATTGTAATCATCGCTTTTAAACAGTTTATTCATCATATCATCGAAAACCTAAAAATGATAAATAATGTTTAGACAATAAACAATAACTTATATATATTTAGATAATAAACTATAACTTATATATATTTAGATAATAAAACTATAATTTATATATATTTAGATAATAAAATAATGTTTAGATAATAAAAGAAATAAATAAAATATAATTAAAAAAACACGATATCTTAAAAATATAATAAATTATTGATGAAACACAATAAAAATATCTTAAAAATATAGCAAATTGGTGCTGATTATTGATATTATCTCCAATATTTATGGCTATCGTGTATGTTATCAAGGATATGACAGTTAGTAATTTCTAAAAAATCTTAAATAATGGTCACTATTTATGAAAAAAAAAATTAATAACAAACAAAATATAAGAAAGTAATTATATAATACTAGAAGTTTATTCGTATAAAAGACAAAGTTATAATGATATAACGTTGGGTTAGGTTAAATTTTGGAGACGGACGAACGATATGTTCGTCCTGCTCCGCGGGGGGGAGGGTCCTCTCCGTAGGCGTCACCTTGACGTGGTGAGGAGGCTTAAGGTTTCCAATAAGGTGCATAGCTGTGCAGGTGGGAGCTACGACCCTGGCAGATTCTACCATGCCGGATTAGTCTGTATCAAGGGACCCGACCAAGAGCATCCACTCCGGGACCATCCAGCATCGACTGGAACTTGTTTCGTTACTTTTTCCACGACATAGAGATAACTCTCGCATGGCAATATGTATAAATCCTGTTGCTGTATGGGTATTCGTATCTCGTCGCTATATCCAAACATGTTAGCGTATGGATTGTACGTATGTGTCTCAATCTTGACGATCCGATCGTCAAAGACCGGTTCACTTCCAATGTTCAAAATGTCAATCATCTTTCTCAATCGTTTCGTACGATGAATACCAGAGATTTCAAAAATTCAACGTTCAACGCGCTGAGTTTTTTTATTTTTTTCGAACGAAGGATTTTGTACTGTTAATTGCGTGTCTCGTAAAAAAATTTATTTCCAGCTTGTTTCTCCTGTTCCATTTGATTCACCACAAGCATTTCATAGATTACGTTTATTATCGTCACGTACGTTTATTATCGTCGTCGTACATGCAATCTAATGTTAATCTCTTCTCCTCGAAAATCGGACGATTGTCCTTCTTGATCGACAACACGCGCCGTTAAATCTGTAATGCTCCGTGCAATGATCGGAAGGTAAATAACATGTGCCGGTGTTTCCGATATCTTATATCCTGGTGGCACCTTAGGTGAGAATTTATGTATCGTATGTATATGCATACTGTTGCTGTACGCACCACCGACAACGCTGCATTCTATACGAATGATATTCACGTTGATAATTTTAATCGGTGCGTCCGATTCGTACCATTGTTACGGTTTATAATATACGACTCGAAGAGAATCTCGATAGCGAGCCAATGTCGTTTGGTTTACTAAAATTTATTCTATAAGCACATTTTATTTCGCTCTTCATCGTATTATTATTGGTACGAATTATTATAGAATATTTATTTTCGTCATCTCTATATGGATTATTTTTGGAACGTACTGTTTCTTGAGAATGTAAAATTGCACGTTTTAAATATTCGTATATGGCGCGCAATTCGTACGATCCTTCAGGAATCGTAATTTCTTCGTCGTTAGCACCATAGTAAAATTTATTATTTGACGAATTTATGTTTGGTATCGTATTGTATGCTCCGAAATCCGTTAAACCGAGCTCATAATCACCGTCGCTCAAATCTATAGCGGGAAAGTAGCTCACCGTAATGGTGCTACTGTTGCCAGTCAACGTAAGTGTTAGCGACATGTTCGCAAACTGCCGAACGACTGCTGTAATTTTCTAACCTCTACTGTCTGCAAAAGGCTTTATTTTTTAGTTTTGATATCTGGCAATGATGTTCAGTTGATAAACGTTTGTGTTTGTAACAATAACATCGTGTTTATCTGACTCGAAAATGTCGAAATTCAAGCCAAGAAAGCATCATTTCCAGGAAGTTCTCATTTTCTGTTTTCATTTGAAAAAGAAAACAGCCGCTGAAGCTTATCGAATGCTCGTAGAAGCTTATGGTGAAAGTGCTCCCACCGATAAATCATGCAGAGAATGGTTTCGACGTTTCAAAAGTGATGATTTCAGTGTCGATGACAAACCTCGTCCAAGTCAGCCGAAAAAGTTCGAAGACGAGGAACTGCAAGCGCTAATCGATGAAGATCCGTGTCAATCGCAACATGAGCTCGCGCAATTGTTGAATGTTGATCGATCAACAATTTCTGTGCGTTTGGCAGCCATGAGAAAGATTTACAAAGAAGGAAGATGGGTGCCATATGAACTGAAAGAAAGAGACATTGAGAAGCGAAAAGCCATGTCTGAAATCTTGCTCGCCAGGCAAAAAAGAAAAGGTTTTTTGCATCGTATTGTGACTGGAGACGAAAAGTGGATATATCAGGTGCAGTAAAAAGAAATCCATTATTTTTCCAATAGATGGCTTTAGTTATCTGTATCTCGCGTTGTATAAGTCCGATCGGGTTCCACTAGATGACGTTAGAAAGATGAGATTTCGTACTAAAAAAACTTTTCTGACAGTTTTGTGATTAGTTGACTCAGTTTTGTTTGAGCGCGCGTCAAAGATGGACACTAGCAAAGAGAAAATACGCTATATTTTACAATTTTTCTTCGATAAAGGCGAAAACGCAAGCCAGGCGGCTGAAAATGTGAATAGTGTTTATGGTCCTGATACTGTAACAGCCAATCACGCGCAATTTTGGTTTCGTCGATTCCGTTCCGGTAATTTCGATGTCAAAGATGCACCACGCACTGGAAGGCCAATTGTCGAAAATATCGATAAAATCATGGACATTGTCGAGTCCGACCGTCATGTAAGCACTGTTTCGATTGCCCAAGAGCTAAAGATTGCACAAAAAACCGTTTGGAACCATTTGAATAAGGCTGGATACAAAAAGAAGCTCGATGTATGGGTGCCACACGAGTTAACGAAAAAAAACCTCATGGATCGAATTTCCATCTGCGAATCGCTGCTGAATCGCAACAAAATCGACCCATTTCTGAAGCGGTTGGTCACTGGTGATGAAAAGTGCATCACTTACCAGGGTTGGCAAGTAACGCTTGTACGCGTTACTTGTAACGCCGTTACTGATATCGTTACTTTTTGAGTAACGATTAGGTAACGCCGTTACTTTTTGGTGTCAGTAACGAAAAAGTAACGGCGATACATTTTTTTTGTAACGAGTAACGAAACGTCCGTTACTTTAAACGTTACTTTTTAATTTTTATAAAATTAAACTTAATTATATTTAATTTCTATGCATTTTTTATTTTATGCTGAATTTAATGAAAACCAATAAAGATGGACTCACATATTGTCATCCATTGGCCTTAGCTATACAGAAAGGTTTAAAAGAAAGGTAAGTTGGTGTAATTTGGTTAATATTGGGTTGGCAACTAAGTGATTGCGGATTTTGTCGACAGATGGATTTTACACTTTCTTTTGTTTCGTTAACGTGTTCAAAGTACCTAACCTATATTTTTTTCTTATTGTTTGGACTTCTACCTTTCATTTAGTACAAAAATTATATCGATTAGTTCTTTAGTTTTGTTTTTATCCCAATTTAAAAATGGAAGAGCAAGACGTGCACTTCAGACATATTTTATTGTATTATTTCCGAAAAAGCAAGAACGCATCGCAAGCACACAAGAAGTTATGTGCCGTATATGGGAATGAAGCCTTGAAAGAAAGGCAGTGTCAAAATTGGTTTGCCAGATTTTGTTCTGGTGATTTTTCATTGAAAAATGCTCAACGATCTGGCCGTCCAGTTGAAGTCGATGAGACCCATATCAAGGCCATTATCGATTCAGATCGTCATAGCACAACACGTGATATTGCAGAGAAGCTCAATGTATCGCATACATGCATTGAAAAAAATTTAAAAAAGCAAATTTAAAATTTTGAATTTTCATTCTTATTTAAAATCCGCAATCACTTACTATAGTTGCCAACCCAATACATATGTTCATCAAACAACATTCATCTGATCAAAAAGAAAAATCAATATGTTCGTATTTAATTTTATTGATTCAACTTTAGGTTTTGTACTACATTCGAAAAAGAAGAATTGATAATTGCCAGCTGTTTGCATCCCAAATTGAGTTGGTTAGCTGAAGATAAGTGAAAACTTGCGCAAACGTATTTAGAAGATTTATAAGGAATTCCTTCAATTAAAAATTTTTTTGATGTCTGATAAGCACAATAATAACGATGACTTTTTTAATTTTAAATAGCAAACATCAAATGAGAAATCTGCCTATGATGAATGGCAAAGATTTTTAAAGTCAACAGACACTAATGTCCAAATATTAAATTCATATCCACTAATTAAGAAACTTTTCATTAAATACAATACTTAATAACATAAAATAATAAAAATATTTAAATATATATATATATATATTTCTAATCGTCTTATGTCCGATTTATATCTTGTCTTAGCATCTTTCTTATAATCCTGGATTTACAACAAAAAAAAAGTAACAGAAAGTAACGAAATAAAATATCGTTACTTTCAAGTAACGGTAACGCGTTATTTTTTAAGATCAGTAACGAGTAACGGTAACGAGTTACTTTTTACCGAAAGTAATGGTAACGGTAACGAGTTACTTTTAAAAAGTAACTTTCCCAACCCTGTCACTTACGACAACGTCAAGCGAAAACAGTCGTGGTCGAATCGCGGTGAGCCTAGCCAGGAAACGGTGGCCAAGCCAGGATTGACGGCCAGGAAGGTTTTGCTGTGTGTTTGGTGGGATTGGCAGGGAATTATCTACTATGAGCTGCTCCCCTACGGCAAAACTCTTAACTCGGAACTGTACTGTCAACAATTGGACCGTCTGAAGGAAGCAATCGCCCAGAAGCGGCCAGCTCTTTGGCCAATAGGAGAGGAATTGTGTTCCATCAGGACAATGCCAGGCCACACACATTGATAGTGACTCGCCAGAAGCTCCGGGAGCTTGGTTGGGAGATTCTTATGCATCCACCTTATAGTCCGGACCTGGCACCAAGTGATTACCATCTGTTCCTGTCCATGGCGAACAATTTTGCTGGTGAAAAATTCGCTTCAAGAGAGGCTTGTGAAAATCGACTGTCTCAATTTTTTGCCAATAGGGACGAGGGCTTCTATGAGAGAGGCATAATGAAATTACCTTCAAAATGGCAACAAGTTATCGAACAAAACGGCGCATATTTGACCTAAATCGGATCATTCTAATTATGGTAATTAAAGCCTTAAATTTCATGCAAAAATAATGGATTTCTTTTTACTACACCTGATATCTCGATAATCCCAAACGAAGGAAATCCATTAGCGACCCAGGAAAACCATTTACATCAATACCAAAGCGGAATATTTACGGCAAGAAAGTAATATTCTGTATATGGTGGGACCAGAAGGGTTGTAGTATATCATGAACTATTAAAACAGAGCCAAACCATCACTGCCGAGCTTTACCAACAACAATTGATCCGTTTAAACAACGCTTTGAAGAATAAGCGGCCGGAATATGCAAAGAGGCACGACAAAGTGATCTTCCAGCACGATAACGCTCGGCCACATGTTGGAAAGATTGTAAAGGTCACCTTGGAAGCACTTGGCTGGAACGTTTTACCTCACCCGCCGTATTCATTGCTCCATCCGATTATCGCTTGTTCAGATCGATGGCATACGGGCTGTCGGGACAGCACTTCAACAATTATGAAGAAATAGAGAAATAGCTGAATGAATGGATCGTTTCGAAGGACGAGTCGTTTTTCCGTCACGGAATGCAACAACTGCCAGACAGATGGGAAGAAATAATAGCAAGCGATAGCAAATATTTTGATTAGTGTACTTTTTCATGTTTTATCATACTAAAGTCTTTTTTTGGAAGAAAAAACGGACCGAATTAATTCACCTAATATACCTAATATATATGTTTCAGGTTTCTCAGTTGGCGCTACTATTTTAATATATCACATCTTTTGTACAATAGAACAGTGTTTCATGTAGTTTTATTATAATTATAAGTTTTACTTGCAGATACTTATGTTACGTACATATATATCTTGAAGAAAAAGAAACAATTTGAATTTGAGATTTCTGAAAATGACAAAATACGTGTTGCGCTTAGCACCTTTCTTTACCTTTTACCTGTTTAAGAAGGTAAGTTTTATATTTTTGATATCATATATCTCTTTTGTAGGTAAGTAAGTTTTACTTGTGAGAACTCATGTACAGTATAATTACACATTATATGGCAATTATATTCTGTCTACCAAGAAGAAATACCACATACTGGAAATTAAATCGAAAATAACTATAAAGTAAAAGTAATGTGATCTCTCTACTTACTATAGAAGTCAAATTTTGTACGAGTTCATCCTCGACTTTAGCTTCATGAATGCTCACTATGTGTACGTGATGGCCCCTACGTAGAACATTTTTTAGTAAAGGCATCGTCCATATGTGGTGACTAGTTGACGCGAGAGGCTGCACCATTAAAATCGACAGCGGATCTAATGCTACTATAAACCTTATTATGCAATGCAATAGCAACGAATATCTTAACATTGTTGGAACAAAATAACACGACATCGTTAGTCTTTTAGTCTCTGAGTTTTAATGATCACCGCCACCATAGTTGCTCAACTTTCTGTCTCTCATAATCCAGAGTGAATGAATTCATTATGTTACGAATACGTTTGTATCATTGATCATGACAACTGATAAGAAAGAAATATTATAAAAAAATTTTATATTAATGATAATCATATGTAAATTATACATAATGTATATCTACTTCGCGCAATATTACCTTTTTGCGTTGCTACTGAATATGAATAGAGATATTTACATGTCATAAGAGTTAACAATAAATGATAAATACCTATAAGATAAATACCTATTTAACTGATATATGCGAAAAATTCAATGACCTATAATTAAAAGATTATATGCTAATGAAGCAATTTTCAGATAACTCCTTCTTTTACAAAAAAGCTATAATTATTGAATGATATGAATATTGCAGTAGTCTAAAATATAGAACAAGTTGTATAAGTTGTTACAAATTAATATCTCAGTAACAAGTATCGGTACAGACATAAGAATGATTTCTAGCTAACAAAGTGATATCACTTTCTAGCCAATTGATGTTATTAGTAATTCAGGAAAAATTATTAATGTGAGTTTGTACAAAAAATGTTACTTTTTAATCATTTTGAAAAAAAAGTAATGAAATCAAAAAGTTACGCCAATTAATAATGCGAAAATATGTTGTACAAGACATGAGAAACGAAGCAACGGAAGCAAATGAAATTAAAAATAATAAAACAATGAAAAATAAAATTAAGATTTAGACAAAAACACTTGGCGTACCCAGATATTATATTATATATTATGCATACAGAGCGAAGGACTGTATAGCGCGCCATACGCCGTACGTGACGCATTTAAGATCTTCACATTTTAAAACTATGTACTACTCTTCTGATCGTTTTGAAACTCGGACATGTTATCCTAGAATATTTAATGATTTTTTAGGGAGAAAATGGTGATAGTGCCTCAAGTGCATAATATAAAAAAAAATTCAAAAAGATTTTGAAAATTTTTTTTCTTTTGAAACTGTATCTTTTGAAAAAAAAATTCCACAATTTTTTTATAACATTGTGGCATTGATACCCAGAATATATATTTTTTTATCAAAATCGGTTCAGCCGTTTTCGAGAAAAAAATTTTTATCGATTTTTCTTTTTACCTCCATAATTCCCCAAAAAATTTTTTTTAAATATAATTTTTTGGGAAATATAATCTTACATCAATGTCAACTTATTGTAAGAATCTCAACCAGATCCGAGCGGGGGCAACACGTACATGCTTATCCTGCTATGCAGGATAACTTTGTAAAAGAAATCTATAATCTTACATAATGTATTACAATTTTTAATTCTTTCTGTTTGTCGACGAATAAACAGATATTGCAATTTAAGGTTTTTAATACTTTTTTGACGTTATCTTATTATGAATCGGAAGTGAGAAAATAATATATTGAAAATTCTTGCACGCCATTTACAAATGAAAAAGATATTTATATAAAAGAATATTTTAGATCACTTGAGCACATTACTTAAAAATATTTTAGATTACTTGAGCATATACTAATAACATCAATTGGCTAGAAAATGATATCACTTTGTTAGCTAGAAATCATTCTTATGTCTGTACCGATACTTGTTACTGAGATATTAATTTGTAACAACTTATACAACTTGTTCTATATTTTAGACTACTGCAATATTCATATCATTCAATAATTATAGCTTTTTTGTAAAAGAAGGAGTTATCTGAAAATTGCTTCATTAGCATATAATCTTTTAATTATAGGTCATTGAATTTTTCGCATATATCAGTTAAATAGGTATTTATCTTATAGGTATTTATCATTTATTGTTAATTCTTATGACATGTAAATATCTCTATTCATATTCAGTAGCAACGCAAAAAGGTAATATTGCGCGAATTTATTTCTTGCTCCGAAAACTATGCCTCTTGTCTGATAATTAATTAACAGCCGTAATGATTGCATCATAAGGCTTAGTTATAACTTAGTATTAACTTAGTTATAACGAAATAACTGTGCACGCACATGCCTAGACCTCGTGATATTATTTTATGGTTGTTTGATTGGCTATTGATGGAGAAGCATAATGTTCGGAGCATTTTACAAATATGCTCAAGTAACTTGAAGTATTCTTTTATACAAATATCTTTTTATTTGCAAATGCAAAAATTTCTAGCGTGACATTTTTATCTCTGGAGTCAAAATTCAACAGGACTATCTTGGAGCATTAAACCAAGAAATTTAATTACATGTGAACGCGGTGGTATCTTACGCGATAGTAGTATCGCTGACGAAGAGTTTGCAGATTAGGGAAGAATAAGAACAGTAACGTTAAACCTCAGTTAGTTAATAAATTATATATTGTACTTTGATCTCAGATATAATTATACATGCTCGTGCGATCCGTGTACTTAGAAATAATTAATGTTTCAAGCTTCAAGCGAAAACAGCACAAACCGAGGGAATGAAAGAAACCGGATAGTAGGAGCTCGTATAAAATCATTGCTCTGTCTCCTTCCACCCTTTTTTTCTTCCGCTTTTTATTTCTTTTTACCTCTTCTACATAATGTTGTCTCTAGATAGATGACATTTTTATCGATAGTCCTCGATTCTCACATCTCAGTCTTTTGGAACGAAATGTCGCCAAAATCGAATTTGTACTTAAAGTAATCATCCTTATTCCATCTTTTTCTTCGCACGTATTCGAGAAAACAGCTCGTCCAAACACGCTTCGCCAAGAATTATTAATGCAGGAGATTTACGGTCCATTGCAGCTCATTTCGCTTGCAGATCCTCGTCACAAATACAGTTATTGGATCTCTCTGGAAAAAATTGCTAGAGGCTTATGTACCTCAACTATTAAAATTGTTAAGTTCTAAAGTTTCCGCTATGTAGTCTTAATGTAATTACGCTAAGTAGGCCTTTCTGTTCGTTTCGCTTAAGAGTCTAAGTCCTCTATGCTTAATATTTTACGCGACCCTGCCCATCGCCGCGCAGTTAATGTTAAAAAAAGAAGTCTATAAGAGTGTTATAAGTCTAACGAGATAAAGTAGTGATACGGTCATGGTACAAACTTTACGTTGATTTCGAATGGCCCCAATCTGAAAAATAAATAGAAAAGAAAATAATTAGAGGAGATAATTTAATTTCTTTTTTTTTTTTGCATCGTATTAGGGGCGGTTCTTTTGTCAGACTTTTTGTAATAGAGCAAATATCGCGTCTCGACGAGAATTTCTTACCGATTGTAAAATTGCTTAACACGTTTCGTACACTTCCAGGGAATGAGAGACAACCGGTCCTCGAAGATATCACTGTTCCTCGGATTTTCTTTGTGAAAGTGTGTGCAGCACTTACACATAGTCAGCCAGAAGTGATATCTTGTTCCTAAGCATTACGTATCACGTACATCCACGTCGACGGTGATCTACACCAATTTAAATGTTCGGAAGATCTTCTTGCAGGTGGGTTCATGTTATTTCTACAAGCGACAAAAATTAATCTGTCATTGACGATTCGAAATCGGAATTAAATTAAAAGATAAGGATTGCATTTTTTTCGTTGCCGTTTGTTTTTCAATTTATCTATTGGGTTGGCAAATAAGTTCGTTCGGTTTTTGTTTCAGTGTAAGTTTCATGCGGATTCGCTTTTATTTTCTCAGCGCAATCGTGCAAATCGAATACACATTTGAAAGGTTATGTTTCACTGTTTATGTTGTGCTGTGTTTGGTTTGGCTAACATCAGTATGGTGTGTGCTGCGTAGCTGTGAACATGGAAATAAGTAACGTGCATTATCGTCACATTTAGCTCTATTATTTTAAAAAAGGCAAACGAGCTGCGGATGCTCATGAAAAGATATGTCGTGTGTATGGAGATGATGTCTTAACAGAATGCGTTTGTCAAAAGTGGTATGCCAATTTCCGTTCTGGAGATTTCGACGTCAATGATGCGCCCCGCTCCGGTTACCCGACCGAGATTAATTCAAGTGACATTAAGGCTATAATGCGAAGTAAATCCATCCCAATCGGTACGAGAGATTGCTACGACATTGAATATATCCCACACAAGCGTAGAAAAGCATTTGCGCCAGCTGGGATACGTTTCTCGGCTTAATGTTTGGGTGCCGCATCAATTAACCGAGGCTAACTTGACCACACGCATATCCATCTGCGATTCGCTACGAAAACGCTAAAAGTACGACCCATCTTTTAAACGAATGGATAAAGTAACGCGTAAAAGATCATAGAGGCATGGAGCAGCGAGCCACCGCAAACAACCTCGAAGGTGGGATTGCATCCGAAGAAAATAATGCTCTCCATATGATGGGATTTCAAGAGTGTCATCTATTACGAACTGTTACCGTTAGGCAAAACGATTGATTCAACTATATACTGTTCGCAATTGACGAAATCGAACCAAGCAATCCGCACAAAACCAGTCCAGAATTGGCAAATCGCAAGGGTGTCATCTTCCACCACGACAACGCCAGACCTCATACATCATTGAGCACTCGGAACAAATTGCTCCAGCTTGGCCGGGATGTTTTGCCTCATCCTCCGTATTCACCGGATCTTGCCCCTTCCGATTATCATTTATCCCGGTCGCTGTAGAACTCTATGAACGGGAAAATCTTCAAAGATGAAGAGGTCTGGATTAAAAATGACCTGGATTGGTTTTTCACTGATAAGTCCCAGACGTTTTACGAACGCGGCATAATGAAGTTGGTGGAAAGATGGCTAAAGGTCATCGATAAAGATGGCCAATATATAATGTAATATAATATATAATTGATTAAAATTTATCTTGTGTATCAAAAAATTGTGTTTTATTCTACTCGAAAAAACCGTACGAACTTATTTGCCAACCCAATATTTAATGTTTCATAATTATTTTTATTCATTTGTATTTTGTCGTATTTTATTATTTTTACAGACTTTTTATATATTTTTAAGATCTTAAATTCAATTACAAAGATATAACAATGTTCTTTGGAATTTTGTTGGACGAAATAAATAAATTTTCGGTATGTACAAATTACGGAACACATAAATCTTTAACTTAATTTCAATCTTTAATCTATCGACAGATCGATTTTAAAACTTTTTATCGTTTCTGCCATATATTAAATAATACTTCAATCCATTTTTGCACGTACTTTCATTATATAGAAACATGTAAAATTTTATGCAACCAATAAGGGGTAAATTTGATAGAAGAAGTCAATATTTTATTAAAATTCTCAAGTTAAGTTAAATTTTCCAAGTTAATAAAGGTTACAAATATGGCAATTTTTTAAAGCTTCTAGTATTTTACCGCAACTTTTTTGATTAATGATGTTAGAAGCGAGAACATACATGTTCAAAATTCTTATAAAGTTAAGAGTATGTTGAGATAAAAAGATATTATGTTTATGAAATGACTTTTGCGAACGACTGAATAAATTAATAAAATAAAATTTGTTTCGAGTGAATTTCTGGGCAATCTTTTCCCTAAAGAAACAAACTGAAATCCAGATAACGTTGCAAACGAATCAGAGATGGACGCAGTATAAATCCGGAAATCAAATAAAAAGTTAATAAAGCATTATGAAAATTTCTCTTTGTTTTCGATCGACTTGAATAATCGATAAACATTTGTAAAATTAACTTTTAATTACATGATGTTGTCATGTTAATTTCATGTTAATTGCATGTTAAGGAGTCATTTCACGGATATATCTTTTTATTTCAATGCATTTTAGAAGAATTTTAGCCATGAAATTTATTGGTTTTAATGCGATTGATCAAAATGGTTGTAACGAAGAACTTAAAAAAGAAACGTTTAAGAGAGGGAAAATATAATACTGTTTTATAAATTAATCGATAAACGTGCAACAGTTCTCGACAGATGTACTCTTGTATAATCAAGAATTGCACCTTGTCCTCAGTAATGCTGCTTGTAGACGGCATTCTTTGCGAAAGTTCCAATTTTCTCCGTCTTTCTTCAATAGCTTCGGTATCGCAGCTCATAGTCGGTTGCATCGTTTGCGTCACCGATGCGTTCACATGCCTCGTCTTGATCAAGGGCGGATTCCGGGACTGCGGTAACGCGAACGCTCTTCTGAGAGCTCCTCGCGGTGGCGATGGCGGCGGATACGATATACCTGGCGACACATTATTCATACGTGACTATTTGCTTGACGCAACGTTGGTTTTTACGATATTTTGTTATTACGATAAAGTGATCTCCGAATTTTACAGATAACTGTCAGGATTGAAATGGATGGGAAATGAGTAGCAAACAAAATAGGCGTTAAATAAAGATTTGAGAGATGCTGTTTTCTTTCGTGCTTGTTTTTTCGTATGTAAACTTTAAATGTAAACTTTCATCGACGCTGTTTATTTGGAGATTTTGCGTGCTAGATCACGACATAACTTTTATGCTTATGTTAAAGCACGATATAGTGTAAAGTACAGCCCTATCAAGAGGCTCTCTAATTAGGCTCTGCATGTAACAGAGTTTACACATCAAGCTACTTTATTCAGTAGTCTTAATATTATATTACGTTTCTCTCTTGTGTCTGCCGTCCTGGACGATCACACTGTTTCTAACAAGCAAACGGCATTAATCATAGCGAAATAGAGGCACTTTGCGATCCGTGATTTACGGTAAGTGACTTGAGCGTATTACGATCTAATCAGCGTGCATTACTAATACATGGCTACGTGTCGCGAGACCGTCTCTATTGAAACATTCTCAATGGAGTGCAATGGACACAGGCACAGAGATCCACGTCGGTAATTGCTACCTCGATGTCCTGGCGAGAGCAAGGTATCCTTGCTCTTCGTGATTTGTGGCACGATGAGCAACGAATTCGGCGGTGTTGGCGACACGGTCGATGTTTGCGGTGAGGTAGCCAGTGTGAGATTAGGTAACGATTGACCCAGGCTCGAATATGCTGGAACTTGGACACTCAAGGTGTTCGGAGTCGGTGATTTGCTGAGTAACGAGCGCCTGTAGTATGAAATTGTAGAACAGCCAGAACCAAAAAAAGAAGAAAGAGGGAGAGAGAGAGAGAGAGAGAGAGAGAGAGAGAGAGAGAGAGAGAGAGAGAGAGAGAGAGAGAGAGAGGAAATTTTAAAAAGATGACAACTTGTCGACGACTTTAATATGCAATTTATATATGCATTGCCTTATTTTTATTTATTCTTATGTATTCTTCATTTTGTACTCTTACCTTATTTGTAAGGGTCGGTGATTGTGGCCGGAACCGGACTCGCCACCTTCCTCCGACGATACGCTTGATGCTCGTGGTGGTTCGTTCGTGTCAACACTGACGTTCCTGCTCGGGTTATAACTTGGTAGGAAACTGCTGCTTCCCGGAGACACACCTTCCATCTCCATACTACCACTGAAAATGTATTTAATGAAAATAAGAAATAAATGTAAATTCCATGTGGTTCATTGGGATGACTTACAATCAATTAATTTATTTGAGTTAATGACAGCGGTATCTTAAGACGCAATTCATCTTTATTCGTAATACTGATTGCGAAAGATGAAGGATTAAATTGAATTTTACCTTCAAAATCCTGGCTTTCAAAATGATAAATGTAAATCATTGAATAGAGAATATGGTGCGGGTTATGCAAATTATTGTATAGAGAATAATTAACGTAGCTATTGAAATTATGAAAGAACCGAACGAACCGCAAGGCCTTCTAGCCTCTTAGATTTTGCTGATTCGATTTGCTTGTTGCAAATTCGGAATTGAATATCTCGACACCTAAGTATCCTAGCACAAAATTTCAGAAACGGTTTGAAAGCTTTGAAATCCTACTTTTCGAAATTTACAGGCAGCGACTTTTTGAAAATGGTGGATGACAAAGAAGAACATGCAAATTTAATAAATAAAGGTTCGAGCTTGCGACGGCGCATGACATAAAGTAGGCATCGCAGCCCAATAGGATGGTAAGCACCTAAAAGCATAGAGTGTATTTTTAAGATGCTTCTTTACGGAGCTTGATGCAATAATTATTCGCTGAGTTGTGCAAATTCAAAAAGAAAACTGTATTTTTAATTAAACTTGGAATAACTCAACGAGAAATAATCGCATCAAGCTCAGTAAAGAAACATTTTAAAGATAACACTATATTTTTATATGCATTTCATCCCATTGGGATGCGAACCTGCAAAAGGTCCGAGTTTGCGACCATCGCAAACTCGGACCTTTGAACTTTCTGCCAACAATCTCTGCCAGAAAAGTGGGAAAAAATCGTAGCTTCCAAAGGCAAATACTTTGATTTATGTATTCACACATTTTCTTATTAAAATGAATGCTCAAGAAACACAAAAAAAAAACAGCGGCTTCCAATGCAACCTCTTAATAATAAAGTAGATTTTTGCAAAAGTAATTATTTGTTCGATAAGTAATAAATTTCTGAGTTCTTCTTGGTGACAGCATTGGAAATTCTATATTGTACAGATCAACTATTTAAAAGAGAAAAACGAAGAATAAAGATATAAGACAGAAAAATAAACAAAAATTATGAAATGTTATTTAAGATTAAGCGGTGAACGTACCTGTGACTATGAGCGAGACTACTAACGCGCGATGCCCTGCTACTGCCACGCGGAGTTTTCGGGATTCCTTCACATTCCTCCGCTTCGAAATCGCCGTCACCCAAGAATGTACTCGGTTGCCTGCTAACGGTCGCCAGGTTCATCACAGGCTCGCCGAGCGGCGGTACCTTCATCAACGCAAATTGCTGTTGAGCTTTTCTCAGGGACTCCATCCATGACTGGAAAAATATGACATTGTGTTGGTTCGAGAGATTTTCATTCGCCGAGTAAACATGAGGATTTACGGAGAAATTTGCCGAAGTAAGCCGCTTAGTTTTTATCTTTCTCTCAACTGCAATTTGATCAATTTTATCATTATTGATAGTCGAGGTTTTCATGATATAGGGAAACTTCGGCTTCCGGTTTGAAGTTGCATTTTTTTTATTTATTTTCAACAGTTTGTGAATATTTCAGTTTATTGTTTGAAATACCTCTTTTCCCAGATTACAACATCGCATATATGATCGAAAGACGACAGAATATAGATTGATTGAACTATGAGGTAGTTTTTTAATTACAACTGCGAAGTAGTTGTGTAAAAAAACTGCTGATATAAAAAAACACGTGTTCAATGTTCTACGTTTTCAATGTTCTACGTGCATGCCAAATTTCATTGGAATCGGTGAGTGACAGTTGGATAGTGTTACTTGTTAGTAAGCACAAAGCTTGAAAATGAACAAAAAATTTTGGACTTTTCGGCGTTAATGGGTTAATCAAATTACCTTAGCTAGTTTCGGTTCACCAGTGCTGAGGACCAAAGCAGCAGAGGCTGCCCCATACTCGTTAAGGTAAATCAATCCCAGACTAGACGGTTCTTTGAGTTCATGAATTCGTATGCGGTCGACAACGTATGGCTGTCTAATGATTTTCAAACCGCAGCCGGCACCTCCTATCGTGCCGCTTGACGATGTTTTCTTTGTTGAAGGTTTGCAAATTAGTAACATGTCGGTCAATAGTAATACGTGCACCTCCATCTGAAGAAAAGGGTAATCAATGCAAGTTATATTTAACTGGATCATAAATATTAGTCAGAGAAAATTGGAATTTTACTGATCATCGCTTCCTCTTAGACACAACAACCGTAAGAAACGAAAAACTTTTGAACTTTCTCTCTCTCTCTCTCTCTCTCTCTCTCTCTCTCTCTCTCTCTCTCTCTTCGTGTAATTCTAGTTAGCAGTTGCAGATTTTTCGTAGTCAATAGTGATCGCGAAGAAATTCCGATAATTCAGATCCGTCAATTATCGGCAATTTTTGAACGTTTCAACGGAAATTGGAATGAAATATTAGAAGGGATAGAGAGATAAAGAGATATTAATGAGAAAGTTGGTACTCAAAAGGGATTAGATTACTGTGAAAGAAGAAGGAGAAAAGAAATTAACATTGATGAAGAGAAATTAACGCCTCATAACGAAGAGATCATGAAGAAAAGATTTGTAAAATTATTCTTCATCATTTCATCCCTATTTATCGCATAGGAGAGAGAAACGTCATGATTCGATTAAACAGATTGACATTTTACTATCGACTTACCTTGCTGGTAGCGGCATCCTTCAATTTCAAGTCTCCTTCTCGTAATAGAGTTCTCAGGGTGTCTTTCGGGCAACCTGGTATCGGTGCTGTGGTAATGTCGAAATTATTGTGTATCTTGATCAGTTTCTCTAATTCCTCGTCTCTGGACTCGACGACGTCGTAGCTTTCGAGACGGGAGGCTGCACTCGTTAATCGCGCAGTTTCCTCACTTCTTCTCAAGGCCGCGTTCACAGACGCCACGAAATCGTCCACCGACTTGATCTGCGCGTAGAAAATGAATTTCTCAGGCTTTTTACGGCACTACAACTACTCATCGAGTCAATGTACCATGCGAATTCCATGCGTGAAGGGTACTTCGAACGAAAGGGAGAAAGAGAGTAGACTAAGAGAGTTCACGATTCATAAGACCCACTTTAATTTCGTGTCTCGAGTGGTCTTGACGATTTACGAACTCGGTTTCCTCTTTCACCTCGAAAGCTCTCTTCTCCATTGCGTATATTAATGTGCAGGAAGATCGGAATAATATAGGGTTCATTTTACCATGTGGGTTAATTCCACTCGTAGATCTTCGTTTTCGGTGTTCTTGTGAACTGCTTTGAGAAGGAGCGAATACTTTGTTAATCTCTGCATCGGCTTTACGAGTATGTCCAGAAGTTTCAGTCGGTTGCATTCCTTCTGCGTTTCGCACCACTGCAATATTGATCGAGATATACCGTTATGTATCTTTATGTAATGAGTAAGTATATCTCTAAAGGTTTTTGTTATTTTCTAGATTTCTTTTTATTGTATCAATCTCAAAAAGTTTCGTTCTGTATTTTTTGGCATAGAAGTGATCGAAGGTGATTAACAGGAGTATGCATACCACCAGATACGCCGTGAAAAGTTGATTATCGTTCAATCGGTCTCGGCAATATTGTTGACATCGGCTCTGCTCGGCACAGTATCTTGTGTAAGGCGCGAACGTCTGCTCGAAAGTTTCGAAGCCCTGTAGAAGGTGACCAGGATCGAGCGGTTGTCTACTCGATCTAGACACGTGCAGCATCGTGAGCAGATGCTCCGTCCAGAAGTAGCGATTAGCAGCGTAGATATTGGGTATATTGCTGAAAAGTTTCGACCTGTCGACCTCGTTCAGAATATTCGAGGCCTGCAGGCCGCACAGGCACGCCATGAAGAGCTGCAATATCAAAAAGATGATCATCAACTCGCGAAAAGTTTTTATTTCGAGGATCATCTTTTTTCAGATATTCGCAATGTACCGTCAGTATTTTAATATGTATTTCTTAAAAAATATCTGCTACTTTTTCATTATATATATATATATATATATATCCTGTATTATATTGATACCGTTTATTAGTATTTACACCAATGGAAGTATGTATAATGAGAAGCGAAATCATACGCGATTATCGGATTAACTTTACTAAACTAAGCATTATTAAACTCACTGTAAAACTAAGCATCGGAACATGTGTGTGTAAAAATGAGTGTTAGTGTGTTATTTTGATACATTAGCTGGCGTTAAGGTTGATCTTTTTCAGTCGTGACTTCATTTGGACGTCCTGAGCGCTCAATATCAATTGTGCTTGTACGGCCACAACGAAATTCAGTGAACCACTTATGAACTATTTTACGCGATGGAGCAATCCCCATTATATTTTTTAGCTTTTTTCACTTTCCTTAAGAGTTTTTCTACATAAAAAAGTACTGCTGTGATCAAAAAGTATCGGGAATGGTTCAATAAAACGCAAAATTTAAATTTATTTATTAAAATTTATTTCTTCTCCTTCAAAGTAATCTTCTCCCACTATATAATGCACTTATATCAACGTTTCTCCCAATTCTCGAAGCATGCTTTATTAAAGTGTTTTTAGCGTTTTTAGCGTGAAATCTCTTTAGGACTCGTAGCGAATTTTCTTTTATGGCATCAATTGACTTAAAACGATGACTACGAAGCAGAAATTTTAGTCGACGAAACAGGGAAAAGTCACACGATGCATACATATCAGGTAAATACGAGGGTTGTGGAACCGTATTTGTAGAATTTTTGGCTAAAATCTTACGAACAATAAGAGCATTGTGAGCAGGTGCAGTATTATGATACAAAATCCATGAGTTATCTCGTTACAAATCAGCTCGTTTTTTACGAATTGTTTCACGCAAACGACGCAAAACGCTTAAATAATATTCTTTGTTGACAGTTTAGCTAGTCGGAAGGAATTCGTGATGCAGAAAACTACGACAATCGAAGAAAACAGTCAGCATTATTTCGACGCGTTTTCTGCCTTCCTTGAACTACGAAAATTCTTGTTTTTAATAGAGAATTGACATTAAAGGCTTTTTCCAATATTTCCAACGTTTTTGTAGAAGTAATTCTGTTGCAAAAACAAAATTTAATGTTCTTTGCTCAATTACACTCGACGTTTTGAAAAATCGCCGGAGTAAAATTTCGGAGTATTTCACATAATTACCGTTGTTACTTTCGACTAAATATTTGTTTTGTGATTAAAAGAAGTGCTTCTGGAGATTTTTAACATGTCGAAATTTATTGAATAAAACATTTAAATTTTGTCTTCGGAATGATTTTTCATGTGCCCTATGGAAATGATGCGGAAATGTTTTGATGATTAGTGCATGTCACAATCAAGAACACATTTACGAGTGCTACAAAATGTTCAAGAAAGCGAAAAGTGCGTTAAAGATGACCCATGCGCTAGAAGACTTTCTACTTCAACGGATAAGCAACACATCGAAGAAATCAAGAAATCAGTGCTCAGTGATCGATGATGAATAATTAGAAAAATGGCTGAACGTGCTGGGAATATCGTTAAATTGGTGTCAATCAATTTTGAAAAAAAAAACTTGGGAATGAGACGTGTTACATCTTGTCTTGTTTCAAAAAAGTCGAATTTTTTTGCAAAAGCAACATCGTGTTGTAGTCACTGAAGAAATGGTTTCTCAAGACAAATCATCTTTGAAATGGAGGATATATGGTAGTATTGTATCCGAGCCACCGTATGTGTGGCAATGTGTGGCTATTCGCAAGCTTTGGACCGGCGGCGGTATCGATTGAGAAATTGACAGGCGATCAGCTGGGCAACGAGGGAATAAACAACAAAAAGAAAAAGAAGAGGTTGAGCACGAGCCGTCGACACGGGCTGACGTGCAGCGTTCGGTGTCGGCTCTATTTTTACAATTTACGCGCAAGAGAGTTCATGGCCGTTTCATGGCTGTATATAAAGCTTTTCTTCAACCCAGTGTGTAATTATTTCTCCCCGCGCGGCGGAATTTGTCTCGTGTGTGCACGACAATGGGTTAGGACACAAAACACATCGGAACAATACCTCAATTTTTACATGCTGCTGAAAATACTATACTAGGCTTCTGCGAAGACTATAGTCTGTTTACTAACAACCGACATAATTTCTGTTTAAAACCGTTACATCGAAAATATTTGAACGACCAGATAGAAGGGCTCTTCCCCTATGACGCAATATGCAGAGTCCACATTTCTATAATATAACTAGACTACTAACTCCGACTCAATACATGACTCCGAAAAATATGTACCGTCCTGGTGGTTCGACATTCACGTCTGATTGGTTGAATCAAAACACATTTCTTCTAATTGGATCGGTTATATTGTATCGGTTTATGTAGCTCCTCTCCTTGTGGACTATCAATCTCACACATGCGCAGATGCTTGATTCCCTTACCTAATACATACCTTTTGGGGTCAATTTTGTGCTACAGTATACAAGGGAGTTAGCAGTCTAGTTATACTATAGAAGTCTGTGAGAGATAGTCCCAGTCACGGGTCTGTTCTGTTTAGCTGCACTGCCGAATTGGTGCCGTAAGTTAAGCTTACGGCTCCACGTATGCGGTAGAGCTCCGGCTCTAAATGCGGTGACCAATAAAGAGACAGGCGCACGTCCGGTTGCGGCAAGCTCTCTGGTACTTTTTTAAATGTACAAGTATTTCTCCCATTCAAGATAAATAAAAAATGCTACCTGTATCTATTTTTTATCAACAGATTATATCAACGGAACCGTTCCTTCTTATTTTTTGCCTAATGTTCTCTTTCGTGTATGTACGTATGGACGGTTATTTCATTCGATATAGTTGCGCAGTAATTGAACATTGTCTTAGATTAAATGATGGCACTTGGTGAAAACGCGGTTACAGTACGGCTTAAAATATTCTAAAACATTCAAGAAGAATGCGAGGTTTCATGAAATATATTTGCGGGGGAAGGAAAAGTGATGTCGCTCCCCTTTCATTCTGTTAATTAAATTTCATCTACGATTGCAAATTTAATCAGATAAGAACGTACATCACTGCACATAATTGATTTTAATAAATTGATCAAATTTATACTAATTTATTTTTAAACAATATATGTTTAATTTTCTTACTTAATGTATATTTAATTTTTAATTAATGTATATTTCATGTTTAAATAATGTATATTTAATATTTTTAATCAATGCATATTCAATTTTTGATTAATTATTCTCATCTCGTTATATACGCGTGGAATTATATGACGTCATTTTGGAAAGTAGGCTAGAATTTGTATATTATATTTACTTGGATATATACATATATACATATCATATAGACAGTACAAACAATTTGCGTAGACGCGTAGAATTTTGAAATGTACAGCACAACCCTGTTCGATCTGATCGAGTAGAATTAATTGGGCTAATAAGAGGTTTTAGATACGCGAAAACTACCGATAAGACACACATACAAAGTGATGCGTACAATGTTGCACTTACGTCAGTTACGACCTTCAAAGTTTTAATGTAGGCCACTTCGGTCTGCGTTAATTCCCAGAGTGCGGTTTGTTGCTGTTGCTGCTTTTCCGAGAGTTGATCAGAATTTTCTACGATGTCGCGCCAGTCGTCCTCTAAACTGTACAGCTCTGAAATAATATTACAACGATGCTTGTGTTCCGATCATTGTTGTAGCGGTATAAAAAAATACGTGTCTTTTATTTGGACCCAAACTACAACATATTCAAAGCTTATCAAAATCGGCGTGTAGCACTTGGATAGGTTTACTTATCAGAATTTCACTCTCTTTCATATCCCCAACGGATAATCGTGCGTTTTGAGACACCCTATATATACCGGAACCTTGAATAATTTAACGCATTATTTAGTACTACGGATCACGAACGATCGTTTAATATTGTACAATTATTTAAAAGATACCTTGCAAAATAATAAATGCACGTCGTTGAAATATCACGTAAACTAGCATGTTCAATCCTCCGTAACTAAGTGTATATTTCATAAAAAAACATAATAAATTATGAATTTTTCCTTTGAAATACGTCATCAATTTTTTTTTCCTTTTAAAAATTACTTCCTTAAAAATTTCTTCTATAATTATTTCTCCCTTCTGTGTTTCCCTTTTTCCCGTAGAGTTTCTTCTAGAGAGCTCAAACAATTTCTCATATATTTTATTCATATCGCATTATCTATATCGCATTATCCATGTGCTTCTTTCCAAAAATATCACGTTATGTTGGAGGATTGCTGATTCAGGAGCATATTATTTCTTGTCAAAATAGCCTAATAGCCTGGTTCATAACAGAAACATATAATAAGTTAGGAATTTTATCTCTCAGACTACGCCATATATCTTATCGACGAGCTATTGTGCAAATCACAAACTCCCGTCTCCTTCCCTCGTTTCGTTCAAAGTGAGAAAGTAGCTCTCCCTAATTTTGAAAACCTGCATCCTTCGGTTGTTGCGAGCCCGAATCATGACACACAGTCGAAACTTGAGTATTAAGAATATTGGATCCTCTTGCAACGTTTTCGACCGTATTTTTAAAATTTCCAAGGATTTTTCAAGGCACTTCGTTTCAGTTAGTTTAGTTGATTTATTTTCACAAGGAGGTTCAATCATAGTAAGAAAGTAAAATATATTGAAGAAGGGAAGGAGTAAATAAGTATACCTTTTTCTTCATCGATCGCTAGATCACAGTGCAATGAAATATCCGTGAACTTCGGTATGCCATGTTTATTGTACTCATCCAGTTGGGCAGTTAGAAGATCCATTTTGGTACCCTTGGTATTGGTAAAAAATCCACTCCAACGCTGTTTACTAGCCTTGAGTCCCGCAGCCCCAGCGGTACTCCGGCTGGAAACAAGCGTTGCGCAGGCACCTACGTCGCAGTCGATGCTTGAGTCTTCGGTGGAGACGCTGAAGAAACGACCACTTCGACCCCGGTAATTCTGTTTATAGAGAATCATTTTTGATTAGCAGGATCGACGAGAAATTTTTATTTATTATCGTTGGTAACAACAGTATAATCAACAAACGGGATAATCAAGAGATGTGTCTCGCGTCCAGTGATGGGCAAGATACATTTCAAATGTATCTCGATAAGATACGAATACATGTGGGGAAAAATGCATCTAGACACAGACAAAGGCACACGCGGAAAATGTATCTTGATACAGACACTCGAGCGCTTCGAAAGTATCTTAGATACAAGTATCAGATACTTTTAAATTATATTTTATCATAGTAATGATGATAATATACAGGGGATGGACAAAATAATGTGAACACCATGCTAAATATTACATATTTGTTTATGTTGGGCCCCCTGCCAAGATATGAACGGTGCGGCGAGTATATGTGGCGCACTTTACGTAGTAACCGTTCTAGTTTATATTTCAGTATACTACTCGCTTTGTTTTGCGACGACGTTAACAATCAGACGGTGAAATGGGCGACCTGTCAGACTTCGAAAGAGAACAAATCGTGAATGCTCGGTTAGCAGGAGCATCTGTGACGAAAACGGCTGAACTGTTTAACGTTTCACGAGCGACAGTATCCACTGTGATAACAGCCTACGCAAAACATGGCAAAACATCTGCGAAGAGGAGTGGGCGCAGAACAACGTTAACAGACAGGGACCGCCGAATATTAAAAAAATAACAGTTTAAAAATTCTCGAATTCGTATCGCAAAATGAGGTCCTACTCCATCTTGCTGGAACTAAACGTTCTGCATGTTTGCGTCAAATAAATTTTCAATTTCAGGGATGATATGATCTCGCAATAAATTTTCATATTTTTCAGCATTTAAATCACCATCTATGAAAAATGGGCCTATAATACCGCGACTGCAGATCCCTGTCCAAACATTAAATTTTTCTGGATATTGTGTGCGAAGATCACTCATTCAATGTGGATTTTCATCACTTCAATATCTACAATTGTGACGATTAACAGCACCATTTATTTGAAATGTGGCTTCATCAGAAAAAATAACAAAATTCATAAAGTCAGCATTATCATCACACCGATGCATCAGAGTTCTTCACAAAACTGAATTCTTCTATCAAAATCATCTTCCATAGGTTCTTGAGCGATAACAATTTTATATGGATAATATTTATGCTTTTTTAACCCTTTGTATCCTGACGGTACTTCAAAGTACCGCTCTATATATCCGCTCTTGAACCTTTTTCCCGTGTCTTACCCTACATTCCTGTCGGTACTTACAAGTACCACGTCAAAATTTAATCGTTGAATTGTTACAAAATTTATTTTCCTGTTTCTCATGTTTATGATATGCCAAGAGTTATTTAATTACGCCAAAATTTAATAAGGTCTTAGGTAAATTAATTTAGGATATAAAGGGTTAAAATGTTAGAAACGCTGCCTTCACTGATATAATGGGCTTGTGCTGTTTTTGATAATGGACAAATGAGGATTTTCCTGAAACTGAATTCTTCTATCGCGCTTTAACTTCTCTTTTCTTTAAATAAAAGACTGGACTCTACTTACCCCACTGGTTTTTCGCAACGACACATTCTGAGTTCCTCTTTGACTCGGCGTCCGAGAATTCGTTCTTTCGTCTTTAACTGAAACGAGAAAAGAGTCATTAATGTATATATTTATATTTCGCTTTGCTGTGCGAATCTCGCATTAATATTAATATTAATATGTGGTAATCCAAAATTTATTGCATTACAGGGAATTATATTATTATGTTATATTAATATATAATTTACTCTTTATGATAAGTTGCCTGAATTCGAAGTTGCGTGCGTTTGGACGGTAATTCAGGGCTTACCGATATAATCACTTGCATACCATTTCCAATAAAGTTTACAATATTTATAGTTACCATAATTACAATGGGTTTGTACGATGAGCGATTTTAATTGGAGCCGAGTTATTTTATATATTTATAAAATGTTTGAAAATATAAAAATAAAGAAGAAACTTATGAATACAAGCAGAATATTTAAGATTAATAAGTAAGTAAAATTTGGAATGCAAGAATCAATAAGAAGAAATGAATAATGCAAGAATAAAGTATATAAATCAATTTAATCTATTCATTACAAGCAAAAAATAATGATTAAAAAATATACAGGGTAATCCATTTTATTCTATGCGCGCGAATATCTCTAAAAGGAGAAGTTTTTAGAACAAATGTTTCAGACAAAAATTTTACGACTTCGAAGGGGAAAGATGATATTATCAATTTAATTGTAAATGGCGCCACTTTAGAGATTTCATCATGGTGGTCATTTTTTAAAATGGAAATCGATTTTTTCTCAAAATAAAAATTGTAGCAGTGAGACGAATATAACGGTTTTAAGTAAAAAGCTTACACCTCCATACAGTGCATTTGTGTTCTGTGATTCCAAACCGCCCTCTACCTCTTATATGTGCGTGTGTGCGTATGTATGTACGCGCGCGCATGTATTGTTTCTACCCACTATTTGAACTGGATTTTGCTTGATAGTTTTCCCGCTCCTCATCTTTCTCTCTCCTCCTCTCTCTCTCTCTCTCTCTCAGCCCCTCACTTTCACTCTCCCTGTACAGTACGTTTACGAAAGAAACTTGGAGACCATTAGCTTGGCCTGCGAGGAATATTATCGGCGCTTGTCAGTTACGCAGGAACATACTCTGATTGCATTTTATCGCGTTCGAAGAAATTGAAAATTTTACCGACACGTTGCCGTTTCGTATCATTGCGCGCCAGAATCACGCTTGTTCGCATCTACATGCGCATTTTTGGCATAGATCTGGCAGGTAGGGCAGGACACAGGAAGTAAAATGGAATAGATTTTTGCTGCGCGATTGTTTGATATAGAACCGTTGAAATGTTTATTCGTATGCGTCATTGCAGAGAGACTTTTGTCAGCCTCCCGTGATCCTCGCATGCGTGCTCACTCGAAATAACTCGTCGGAATTCCGCGACCTCTCGCGCGCGTACTCGGCTGTTCGTGACTTTTCGGGTCAAATACACCGGGGAAATCACGATGGGAGCGAAATAGCGGTGTTAAGTAATAACTGGAAAAATTTTCCGCGTCGACGTTGAATAGCGATGCGTATCGTTGCTGTTTTTCCAGAGAACATTCTGTTTCCCTATTTCTTTCTCTCTTGATCTTTGTAAGATGCAAATTTCGCGCGTCATTAAACCACTGCTTCGAACCGATTTCAAATCGGACTTGCCGATTTAAATGGACCCATATGGTTTTGGCAACGCGAGTATATTACGAATTTTTTCACCTGCATCGGATGGACTATTTATATAAACTTATGTTCGCACGAATGATGGACCGACATAAAACCGGGTCGGTTGGACCGGTCGGCTCTGAATTCGCGATTTAGTACTAATATGAGGTAATTACTAACTCATCAGGTGTACTTAGTGGATAAAAATGTATTTAAATTTCCGCCGTAGTTGCTTCTCCCTTCTACTGTTATTTTTCCTTTATTTTTTCTTTTTCTATTTTTAGAGCATAGCTGTGTTTAACGTATGACAGGATAATAAAGGAGAGTAAAAACTTATGGATTAACACTATATTATGTGAGAACTGAGAGCGATTAATTGAAGATTATAATTATGTCGTCTAACTAGAGGTTAATCGTAATAGAAATGATCGCAATGATCAGAATAATTAGAGGCATCTAAACGTCGACATGGCTCAATCTGCTATAATAATATCACTATTGTTATAGTGGATTGAACTCTATACGATTTGTATGAGAGGATAATGATATAATTTCGCGATGTGTACTTAGAAAATCCGCCAACTCTCAGTAGTATAGAAATCAAGAGGCACGGTAGGCTCTAGGTTCAAGCGCAACGAAGTTGCGAGGCCCAGTTGGGCACGTATAAAAAATTCTTATCCCTTATTTTGATGTTAGATTACTACATATTTCAAGCTCATCAAAATCGGAGGAGGACATTTCTATGTATTTCCTTGTAAAAGTGGGCCGTATTTTTAAATGCGCGTGGCATAATCGTATCGTTATCTCTCATATAAATCATCTAATGCATCCACTATAATAATAGTGATATTATTGTATTGAATAGTATATTGAATCACGTCGACGCTTGGTCAACTACAACTTTCAATTATTCTGATCGTTACACAATTATCTCTATTACAATTATTTCCTAAATAAACCACATACTGGCGTATGTAATGTTATTTGCTTTGAGGCACTGTAGTTGCTCCCGTCACAATTATTCCGTTCCCATAATCATTCTCTGGTGATAATTATTCTATGTATTTCGTTAATGAAGAATTGTGTTAGAAATTAGATTTCAGATAATGTAATTTATCTTGCAGCACTTTATCTGGCACACTTACGCATGTATATAAGTGATTATTAAATATTTAATTTATTAGTTATTTAATTCGTCAAATATTTAAGGAAAATATAATACTTAATACGCGAAATGGGAATTTTTCTGGTAAATACCTTGCGAGTTTTAAAGATTAGAATCTAAGACTAGAATCAAGTTGTGTTTAATTATTCACTTTTTCCATTATCTATTATATTAACGATTGTTTGAAGCTTCGCCTAGCGTCACAGAATATTTTCTCACTCGTCATACCTCTACAAGGCAAACCAATCGCTAGATAGAAACACGAGTAAGCGGGTCAATCAGTTTGAGCGTTTCCCAAGGTTGTTCAATGGATTTAGAGCCATCCAATTATTTGATTTTTAATTAACTTTGTAAAATGCCTGCGTGGGCTGTCAATATAATACAGGGTAAACTCGGGTAAGAGGCCATAGGTGGCCACAGTTTTTTAAAATATAAAAAACATTTTTGTTATTTTTTAATAGTGTTTGGCATATTACTTCACTCAAAACTTAAAGTGTTTAATATTATCAAAGTTGAAGAGAAAATACTTAATAGAAATTTTATATTATCCAAATATTAAAATATAAGCATTGGCCATTTTACCGAACTTTTGAGAAAAAGATGGCACAATATTATGGGATAGTTGATCGATCGTACATATTTTATATTAAAGATATACCTAACATTTTATAAAATAATAAAATAACTTATAACTTCACATATTTATTTTATTTTACAATATTGAACAATTTTACAATGTTATATATTTTAAAGTATACAGACGTAGGAAACTATCAATAACACTATCAATAATTATTGACAATTATCGATGGAATTATTATAAAATATCGATAATTATCGATTGCGTGAAATATCGATAGTTCTTTGTCTGTAGTACTGATGTTAATATACATCAATTACATTGGCCATTTTATTCTGAAAAAAGTAAGCCATCTTCTCAAACTGTGAGGGAAAGACGGTCATAATATTTATAAAAAAAATAGTGAAAACTGAAATAAAAAGTAAAAATTATATGTCGCATTACAATTGACATATCTTCGACATTCGTTATGAATTTAACATTGATCATGACAGCTTAGCTATAATTTATTTGACGTTGTAGCAATTTTTAGTAAATTTTACAATACATAAAAAACTTTGCTTGCAAGCAGTCGTAAGTAAAAATATGATAATATTCACAATATTGTTATTTCGAGTAGTGTGCACATATAAACTACTGCATATATTGACTATCTTTGAGAATGACTACAAAAAAGCACTATTTAGCAATTATTGAAGAAATTACAGCCTATGGCCATCTTTTGCATATCGCCATCATATTCGAGTTTATTTTGTCTTCTGAAAACTTCGAAGAGCAAAACGAAAGGCGTAATGTAACGAAGCAAAGCCTACTGACTCGTGAGAAAAAAGCCGAGCTTTTCTGCAAAATATCGCGGCGAAAAATTGCGAAGAGTTTTTTGCTAAATATTTAATTGCTGGTGTTCGTTCTCTCTTCTTCTACGAAATTCCAATCAAGTTTGCATTTAATCGAGACGCAGACGATCGGGTCTTCGCAGACTTCGTTATTTCGCTCGCGGAATTTTAGCGATTTACGTGCGGTAATCCGTCTATTTTCATCGAAAACGCACGAAACTTTTTCTATGCTCGCACTATTTGTGTCACTCAGCCTGACTCGAGGCCGCGTTCATCCATTCGTCTGTCGTGCGGTTACATTAATCAACCGTGAGAATTATAGCTAGTCCATCTCGCGTACCGCGTAGAATAATTAATTATACTCCATACACTGGCCGCAAATGAACCAGGTCGTTTTGACGTACTGTTAATAATTTATTAATCCTAGCAGTCAAAGCGGACCGAGCGATATCGAACTGCACGCTTTGCAGCCACGCGCGAAAATTGCGGTGTTAATAGTGTCCAATGTGATTATTACTCGTATCGCTGCTTCCTCTTCTCCTTTCGCCCACTCGTCGTGGGTAATTGCGAGGATGTTGCAATATTGAACTGAATAACATTCACTCTCTTATTATTGTTTTCTGTCGCTTAGTTACGACCGCTGACTGTTCTTGAAAGTGTGGGCAAGCGTGCGTCGCGTGACGTCCTCTGCGAAGCCGTATGTTGACAGCAAGTAATTAAAAGTACAAATTGATACTACAATAGATACCTATCACAAAGGAGGAGGGCGGGGAGGGTCGCGGTTGAAAATTCACCTGGCGGTACGTAGTTAACAGCGAGACAGGAGGAAAAGGTCGACGACCAAGAGATATCGTTGTAAATGAAGCTGATAAAATTTATTCGCTGTATATAGAGTGATTTAGAATAAACTTGCTGTCCTTGAAATATGTTCATGAATGAATTCTAAGATGACTTTTTCTCTCGCAAAATGTTATCGGAGCTTAGTTTTTGAGTTATAAAATTAAGCAGTTTACCTATTACGGATCGAATATAGCAGGTAAGCAGGGACGGCACAATTTACCATCAGACGCAGGCGCCTAATGCGATGAGCTAGCTCATCGATGCACGCAATAACATTGCACACATTATTTTTATAACTTCTGTTAATGATCATATCGAGTGCTTCGACGGAATCAACAAGGGTTTCTTCCCTTGTTGATAAACGCGTATGATTGCATAGCAAAATGCGATAGTTGACGGCAATGTTGTCCAGCATGAACGGATTAATGTGACCGCCAAATAGCAAGGATTCATGCGATCGTAATAGCGAATGAATAAGCTCATTGCTTTCGACGTTTGGCGTTCAACATAAGCGTTTGCGTCTGATAGTGAGTTGTGCCGTCCCAACTTACTTCCTCTACCTTCCTCTACTTGATCTGTAATAAGCAAACCACTTTTTTTTTATAAAAACTCAAAAACCAAGCTTCGCATAACATTTTGCAAGAGAAAAAATCGTCTCAGAATTCATTCAAAAACATGTCATTTCAAGGACAGCACGTTGTTTTGAATTACCTTGTATATTTGAAGGAGAAAGATATCGAGAGAAGAAAGGGGAAAAAAGAGAGGGAGACGAATTATAATTTAATAAAAATGAGGGTCAATTACGCAATTACGAACGACTTAGACATTACGTGTCTTTCAAAAAGACATACGCATTCGTAAAAAAACATTCTCGGCTTTTCGATAGAAATTAAAGTAATTGGGAACATCTTTTTCTGTCTTCATATCTTTTTACAACTGTTCATCATCAAATTATTAGTTCAACGTTTAATTTAGTTTCATAACTTTGCTGACTCCCTCAATAAATAAATATTCGCCAACACTCACCGGTTATACGCAGCTGCTTTCCACCGAGGACGGAGGTATCCGTCGTCAATAAAGGCAGCGGCGTTGAAAAACTGTCCAGAACGTCGACACGCGACAGATCGATACCGCGACGTTCGCAAGCGACACCCAATACATCTCTGCAACAGATTATCATGCAAAAAGGTGAAAAATATGAACTCTTGTAACCTCTCTTCCGCCAATTCGACAACATTTCGCATTTTACCGTCGCGTTTATTTACTCGCGATTGGAATGTTGCATTTAGCGTTGGGGAAAAATTTCAGTTTAATCGTGATTTACGAGTTACGAGTTACGATGCACGCGTGCGCTATCTACACACCACCGAATATACGTATTAGGTGTCTCGATTAATTTCCCTTGTTTTTAATCGTAAAAAATTTACCTTGTTAAAAATAAGGTAAAAAAAAGCGCCAAGTGCACGCGACTCGTACCAATAATCTTTTATAAATAAAAACATTGCCTTTTATATAAAAGAAAAGAGAAAACGAAATAAAAATTCAACAAACGTAACGTAGCAGTTTCGCTTATAACTCGTAACTTACTATATATATTCGTCTTAGAATGCGGTATTGCTCGGATGCTCCTTCATAAATAGCACACCGCATTGTTATTCGGTAGATATATGGCGGCTGAAATTTATTACTTTCCACGGCGTGCGTGCGCACGAACGTGTGAAGTATTAAAAGTATGATAATGCTTCACTCACGCCAGACAGGTGCCTTTCGTGGCTGGCAGGAACTCCTCGCGATCGAAGGAAGTTGCATCGTCGCCTACTTCGAAGCTGATGCTGAAGTACTCACTACTGGACACCTGAAAATGAAACGGAATAACGCATTTAATTTTATCGTTTCCGATAAAAAAGATACAAAGATAAAGAAGACGTATTCTGCATATTTCGTGTCTCGATGTGAAACCAATTACCAGCCAATAATATTAAATCCATCTTGCTAAATTATTTGTTTAAAATATTCTCATTGTGCATTAAATTACCGATATTAAATTCGTCGCATCGTTTGCGAAACTTTTTAATCTCGGTTTAGATAAATGGTAAATAGATAAATTTTTAATAAGAAAAACAATAATGGACAATTTTATTTGCTGCGTGCATTTGCGAAATAAATTATCTTCGTGTAGTTACTTAAGCGTATGACGACTTCAAGCGAAATATTAGTAATGAAATTGATTTTCAGATATTATCAGATATTAACAAGGAACGTTACTTAAAAGAACTGACGACAGCGATAAGTAATTGGTTGTCATAACATCAATTTGACGCGATGGAACCATGCGCAAAATGTTCGCTGATTAACTCCAATCTCTTTCTCTTTCTCTCTCTTTCTGCCTTAGCGTTTCGCGCTGCTCATAAGGAGAAAAAACTCAGCCAATTTTATACCGTATTAAGAGCTTACCTTTTAGCCCTTGAGTGTAATCGCCTTAAAGTCTGGATGTAACCAATAAGCAACGACGTACTGCGGTTTAAAGAGAAGCTTAACGTCTCTAAGCCTCGTCCGAACTCGCAGACCTCGTTTAAATGCAGGAGGTGGGATGTTTCCTGGTATTAAATATGAGGGTGGAAGCCGGAATGCACTGTATCTTTAATATGATCGTAATCGAGCCGGGAGTATTTTATTACGTATTTCAGCAGTAATTAAAGGGTTCTAAGACAAATTAGAGCCATTTGATGAAAATATATTATTTATTTGCGAGTGAACATGTCGCTAGCTCGCGTGTGCATTATGCGACGTTTCTCGAAATTTTTACGTATTCTCTGAAGGACGCGAGAACGTGCAGGTCGTGTTCGTGCTTCGCGCAAACATAATCTTAAATGTGCATTTCGAGTAAGTCTTAAAGGAATGATTTGCGCTCCCTTTGCGTTTCTGAGAGAGAAAGGCATGCAATCGCATTACTTGACAGTTCTCGCGGCCGGATTCGACATTGAACTTTTGCCTGTGCTCGTTTTTTTCTCATAAATAATGCAGCAATGGTGTTCTCATAAATTTACGTCACCCGGTAGACATATCCTGCGATGGTAACTTGACGAATCAAGTGGAGCCGTGGGATACAATGTCGTGTGGCACCAAAACGCATCGCAATTTAGGCGAACGTGGTTCGTTGAGTATCGGTGGATATTCAATGAACGTCAATGAAACTACTTTGCTCAGCAGCTCAGCTGCTAAAGAAGAAGCATGAATTATTAGCGAAATTAATGAAACGTGAGATAAGTTTAGCCGCACAGTAAATTGAGATAATCCGAATGCTGGGAGAGGCGAGGAGAGTGAAAGTTTCAGCGATTAAGTCACGATTTGCTCAGTTATGAAGCGGAGCTTGAGAGAGGAATTATAGAATCTCGCATCTTAACGGAGGAGAGCCAATAAGGTTGATTTTTGGGCCAGAGCGTCGCACTTTTTTGATTGCATTTTTTGATTGTGTCATTGCATAGTTGAGGTCAAGAGCTTTCCAAAACACCCTATGAAAAGCTTTTTACGTTGGGGGAAGTCCTCAAAGTTTAAGAAACATAGGTATATATTTCTTAATATGGAGATTTAAGATATAAGGATAATGGAAATGATAGCATATTAAATAATTCTTCAATAAGAACTTTTTAACTTTTTCGATATGAGTATCGACTACAATAGCTGATCTAACGTGTTTTACAACAAAATAACTCTAGATAATTATTTGTATCAAAAAATCACAAACTGTATCCAAGCGCCGTGGTCGCGGCGCGACGCCTAGTAGTACATATGCAGAAGCAAAAGCGACCGTGGTAGCTTTTCCAGAATTTCAGGATCGATTCAGGTCTTCCTCGAGTCAAATATCTCAAGCATGGAAATTGTAATAAAAAATCTGATGACATTTTTCTTATATAATGTCTATCTTGTGTATAATTTGCGACAAGCCCGATCAAGATTGGTGCAGGAAAGATACGGAGATCTCGAAAGCTCACCTGCAAGAAGGTTCTTTTTTTTCGCTAATAATTTCAGATTCAGATCTCACACATAAGCACACAAGCAAAGCGAGTTTGTCCATCAAGCTGCGTTTGCATTGCCACGCGATGTCAGCTTCAGATTATACGTATATGCACGGACACAAGTAATGCGAGTTTGTTATCAGATGTGTTTGCAACGTACAGGTTGAAATAAAATAAGCATTTCATTATCTCTGCTTTCGCTTTAGACGCTTACGCATTACTTATGTAAGCGTCATTCTATTCTTTATTGCTCATTATATGCGGAAGGAAATTTCTTGAAGGATCTGGAATTGATCTGGAATCAAATAGCGTTTCTCTCAGTAAAACTTACAGAAAATACTTGTGACAGTCGATTACAACGATGAATATAATATAATAAATATATAATGAATTACTTCGTAAAAACATAACTATATACGAGCACATATCGTTCAGAAACGTTTGCGAGACTTTGGTAATAAACAAAATTATGTACTTGTTAATTATGTACTTGGTTTATTATGTACTTGGTTAATTATATTGGTCGCATTTTTTTTAACAAAATTAATGAAACATTTGCGTTTTTTAAATCCATATATACTATTTATTTTGGTATTTTCTGTTTGTGATACTTTTCCTTTTGATACTTTTCGTCTTAGTACTTTTGTGTTGTTATATTTTGTTGTAGTACATTTTGTTTTGGTTGTCGCTTGTTGTTTTGGTTGTTGGTATGTTCTTTTTTATATTTTTTGGTTTGGTACTTTTTGTCTTGATACTTTTTCTTTTGGTTCTACTTGTTCGTTTTGTACTTTTTGTATTGTTATATCTTAGCTATATTTTTGTTGTAGTACGTTCTGTTTTGGTACGTTTAGATTTGGTATATAATATCATATTTCGAAATTTTTTATCGGTACTTTTCGACGGAATTTACAGAGTTAACGTGAAATAAAAATGTCAATTTAGAATCCGGCGTAATGATTTTATCTCATAATTAAAACTGATTTAATTCTTATAATTGAAACAAAAATTAACACTCGGTTGGCAAGATAAGATAAGAAAGTTCTTGCGTCATTCAAGCAGAATTATTCTCCTTACTGAACGGCAAAGAGATAAAAGAGCACGAATACCCAAACTACAGAATGAAATAACTATCCAAGATTTTTCATGCGATATATACTTCCTTTTGCCTCATCGGGAGGCTATTTTCGTTATTTAATTCTTTTTCCTCCCCTTCCCTTCTCCTCTATTGAGTTGTGCAGGCTGCAGGCTTATGCAAATTGTTGGGTTAACTCAACGGAATTCGCCCGATGATGCTTATGCCATGTACACGTGGAGCAAGAAAATAACGACCACGATCACAAGACTCACCGTTTTGTGTAATGGAATATCAGAAACTGACGGTTGCCATCGCGGCAACATGAAACAAAGATAATTCCTAGTCCGACACAATCTAAGTTAGTTTGATTACCTGTTCTCGTTAAGGAATATCGTGGCGCTGCGTTATGCAAAATACAATTGCACAGAGCCCGACTTTTGTTAATTTATTTACGATCCGACCGACTTATATTACCTGAAGAAGGATGACAAAGTGAACTTAGACGTGGAAATTGCGATCTCTCGCGGAATTCCGATGCGACGTCGGAGAAAATTTTGCGTCGAACGCCATATGTGTGAGAAGACATTCCGAAGAGAAACAGGTCTTTGAATGTTGATATTAAAGAAACAGTTAATGTTTTGACCTTTCTGCGTCTTTACTTACTTCTGATTTATCAAGATCGGATAGAACTATGATCGGATAAAAATATGTTAATCGCCGCGTTGGCTTCTCCCGAAAGAAATAAAATAACGATAAAAGAGATTCGGCTGTGCCGAATCGTGATGTAGATACGACCCTCCATAGGAATTACGATAAACGTTTTCTATCTACCCTTTTCTGTTCTCTTTTTTTCATCTCATTAACCAGGTAGAGAAATTAGTTTTGCCAACACTCAACGGAACGAGCAAAACAATTGCGTGAACACGCAACGTGTATTATATTTATTCTTTCCGTACTTTGCATAGACTGTATTTATATATCCTGTTGTTATCGAGACATATTTATGTTCTTCGTGAATATGCACTTATTAAACATATAAATGTATATCGATAGTCTGTTAAAAAGCCACGTTCGTTAATCGCAAATTAATCGCGTCGCGTCACATATTCGGCGCACATTTCATTATGAATTCAACCAGCGAAATGGGCTCTTCATTTTGGGTCCATGGTTCGGATAATGTTCGAATTAATTTATAGAAATTGCGGAGCGTCTCTCGCCGCAACCGAAAGTATTTCAATAGCACAAAGGGTCGGATTCTTTTCACGCTATATCCGATACTACATTCTGTCGGCGGAAGTTTCAGTTTCTCGTTTCAGATTCTCCATCTCTCGGCTGCTCAATTGTTTTGGCGCGCACTTTGAGATTCTTTTTTTTCTCCCTTCTTTTATTTCTTCCTTTTTCTACGAAACTCCTTTGTATCGAGTCTCCTTGTCCAATCTCGATAACGTGGATTACTCGCAGTAATAATATCACGAAGTTTTAATTATTAATTCATTGCTAAATTCTCGATGCTTTACAGTGTTCTCACGAAACGTCTCAGTATTCGGGTTCTGCAACATCGATGCGAATTCGTCGCTGAGATATACAGGGTATTTCATTCTAAATGAGTCAGGCAAAAGTCTCGAAACATATGAAAGATATTAAGAAACGTTTCAAACAAAAGTAATATGGTTGCAAAGGGGACATAAAACATATACTATATTCATGTAGTTTACAGATAGCGTCACTTTCGAGATATTCACTGATCATTACTTTTCTTAAATGGAAACCCCAATTTTTTATTATATTTCTTTCTATCAATTAATTTGTACAACTTTTGTACTGAAACATTTTTTTACTTGCCTAATATTTTTGGAGATTTTTAAGAAAATTTTGATAATTTTTTCAATATTTCATTTCAATACGATATCTATCTCGTCATTTGTCGAAACAATAGCTGACTTTTATTAATTTAATGATTTTAAAATTTCTAAAGATCGATAAGTTAAGAAAAGTCAGGGCGTTATTGTAACAATATATTCTTCAGACTAAATAGAGTAAAAAAGTCTAATTAGCGAGATATCATAAATTAAATCTTGAAAAAGTTATCAAGTTTTCCTTGAATATCTCAAGAAATATTGAGCAAATAAAAAAATGTTTTAGACAAAGGTTGTTCAAATTAATTGAATTGTAGAAAAAGATGATATAATAAAAAATGGGGATTTCCATAATTAGTGAATATCTCGAAAGTGGCGCCATCTCTAAGCAAAATTATATAGTTGTTTTATATCCTCTTTAAAACCATGCAACTTTTGTCTGAAACGTTTCTTAGTATCTTTCATATTTTTTGAAATTTTTTCCTGGCTCATTTAAAATGGAACACTCTCTGTATAGAATGTCTGGCATCCATCTTTGTTGCTTATATTGAAATGCTTGTATTAATAATTAGTTATATTAGTAATTCCTTTTATTACTCAGTTGATAAATTTACAAAAGTTAATAAGTTACTGTAACCTCAAGTGATCGATCACTCCGATCGCAGTTTGTTATGTTAATTCATTTCTTGCAATCAGTCAATAATCACTGTTATTAACTGACGCCTAATATATCGACATATCACTCTTTAGATTGTTTTATAGAGCTCATTCCACCGTATCACGCACATTAATTGAGCAATCCTTTTCAATTAATTAATTACCTTAATAGTTATATCGTGGTGATTTACAAAATAACATTGGACTTCTTTTAGTTTAGTTTGATGAATCCTACTTGTACAATCTATTTGATAAGAGCGTGACCGATAAAACTTTTACACGGAAAACATTAAATGGGAATTTCCAATAGGAGCTGGTAAAAGGACTCTTCCTCGAAGATGCATTGTAGAGAAAGCTTCAGTCGTTCGACTTTCATGATAGAAAGACATATTTCGTCATGAGTACTGCATACACATAGCAATTCAAAGTAGTGTTAAGAACAAAAAATGTCACATTAAATATACAGGTTGAATTAGGTTAGTTTATTTCGGGGTGAGAGAATTTCTCTATCATATATATGTATATTGTTTACTATATTTAAATGTACCCTAGGTATATCTCATGGTTTAAAAGGTATTTGCTGACACCAACACATATCAAATTTTTTTCAAAGTCCTGTTTCAATTCGTAAACATTCAAAAAAGCACACAAGAAAAAAATACATATAATATATCTAAAATACATAAAAATCGGCGAGATACAACTCTAATTCTTTCCTTGTAAATCATTCTTTCGCGTGCGAATTTCTGATTTGATGAATAATATTTAAACATGTAATAACTATCTTGTTTAGTTCAATTAACTCAGTTAACCAAACATGTCACATTAATTCAACCATTTCTTTTTTCGTATGATTATAATAACTAGGTGTGGATATTATTACCATATATGAAGAGAATAATCAATCATTTTGACCAATATTATAACCATAACCGATGTTATAAATGTTCTGGTTACACACCAGAATATTTGATTAAAATAATCAAGAATTAAGAAGTTATAGAATAATTCTTCAGGCTTTTTTTCACGTGTAATGTATGTTAACATCGCACAAATTTAAGGAAACAAACTTGACTCGTATAATTAAGTTTTCGTTGTAAAAAAAACAAAACGAAAACTCGACTGAACGAACAAATTCCTGTAAAATAGTTCTGTTCAGTCATATATATATATATATATATCAGTCATATATATATATATATCTTCTCAATTATATTAACCAAATTTTAGAGTCGAATTTTCAAACGAATATTTTTAACCGCGATAACAAAAATATCATCGTTAAGTTTTCATTTGGTCCTCATTCTTTACAAATTGAGATTTTTTCCGAGTGGTTAACGCCACTTTCACTTACTTGAGATCGTGAGAGTTTATGTCTGGTACGATTGGAAAGTGCACCTTCGGCAGGCATCGTGTTCGGTACAAGGAATCGAGGACTGCACTCGACGACGTTGTGTTGCTGCAGTTGATGGGATTGTTGATGGTGATGTAGGTGATGTGGTTGCTGCTGCGAGGGACCACCGCCCAAATGGTGCTCCCCCGTGTCTAGCATGCTGTTGCCCAGGACGTCTAGTGAGGTTAAAGAACTCGAACGCACCTGCAATGAGAAAGAGAACGTACGATTAGGGAAGATTTAGAACGACTGTATTCTAAACGAAATATATTTTTCGACAAATCATTACGGCGTAACTTGGTAATTAACTAATATAATTTTTAATCAGCTTCAGCTCATCTTCTCACAATTATGTTGAAATAAATAAGAATCAAAAGAAGAAAAAACAAAGAAAGCCGAGGTATCTACCAGACTGGCAACAAAGTGCATGTCCTTTCTCACGGACAGATGGTTTTACTTGTCATCAAACGCAACTAACTTCACCTCCAAATCCTATAGCCTTTATATCATTTGACATATGATATTTCAAGCTTTCTTTAAAAAAAGTGCGTCATTCGGTAAAACATTGTTTGTTTGTCATTGAGGCATTTGTTAAAAATGGAAAATCAAAATGAGCATTTCCGCCATATTACTTTTTTACTTCCAAAAAGGAAAGAACGATGTGCAAGCTCGTCAAAAGTTGTGTTGTGTATGGTGAGAAATTCTTAACAGAACGCCAGCGTTAGCGTTAGTTTGCTCGTTTTCATTCAAGAGATTTTTCTGTGAAAGATACCTGACCATGATCAGGCTGACCAATTGAGGTCGATGACAAAATAAAAGCATTACTTGAATCCAACCGCCATTATATGATACAGGAGATCGCTGAGAAGCATCATACACGAGCATTAAAAGCCATTTAAAACGTCTTGGATACATCAACAAATTCGATATTTGGGTTCCATACGAGCTCAAAGAAATTCATCTCACCAAATGCATCAATATCAGTGACTGTCTCCTGAAACATGAGCAGAACGATCAGTTTTTGAAACGAATATTAACTAGTGATAAAAAATAAATTGTTTACGATAATGTGGAACGAAAGAGATCGTGAAGCAAATGTGATGAGCCGCTACAAAGCACTTCTAAAATAGACATTCACCAAAGGAAAATTTTGCTATCTGTTTGGTGGGATTACAGGGGTATTATGTTTTTTGAACTGCTTAAACATAATCAAACAATTGATTCGAAATTGTACTGTCAATTGGACAAGTTACACGAAGCAGTCAACCAGAAACGTCCAGAATCGATGAATCGTAAAGTTGTTTTTCACCTTGACAACGCTAGACTACATACATCATTGATCACCCATCAGAAATTGTTGCAGCTTGGGTGAGACGTATTATCATACCCATATTCTCATAACCATGCACTATCAGATTATCATTTATTTCGTTCCTTGCAAGGAAAATTTCCTTGAAAGGAAAAAATTCGATTCTAATGAGGCTATCAAACGATACTTGTATCAGTTTTTCGCCCGTAAGGACCAGAAGTTCTATGAGGATTCATAAAACTACCAAACAGATGGCAAAGAGGTCATTGAATTAAACGAACAATATATTACAGAATAAAGTTTTTGCTTTGTATGGAAAAATCTTTTTTCACTTTTTCATTAGAGAAAAACGACTTTGTTGCCTGCCTGATATATTCTGTCATCATATTCTATCATATTCTATCATATTCTATCAATTTATTATTTTTGTGTTTTATACGTGTTTTCATATTTTAAAAGCTGAAGTCCACTATCAAATAACTTGTTGCGTTCATTAACTAGATAAACTTCACTCAATTCCTGCATTATTAAAAAAAAAACATTGTGCAATCGGGAAAAAAGAAGAAAACATGAATAAAAACTATAAAATATTCTCCGTGTAAAAGTTCAACTTGCAAAGTAATTGCATTGCTAAAGTAATACAATAAAGTAATACAATAAATGAATGTAGTTCGAAGCATATGTCGCTTTTACGTTGTAATACAATTGCTTTTTCAAATGCAATTAATTATACATTACACAATTACTTAATGATACAAATACTTAATGAAATATTTAATGAAATACGCTGGCATCGTAGCATTGGTTAGGCTCATCGAAGAAACGTTAGAAAATTACGTGTCGTCGAAGATCTAGATTTCTCGTCCGAATTAAGAATTAAAAGATATGTAAAAGGTAAGTTAAAAGTCAAATTAAATGATAGAGGAAGCTCTAATTTTTAATTAGCTATAATTTTTATATTAGTTAATTTATATACATATATATGTACACACGCGCGTGCGCGCGTATATATGTATGTAATATACCTCATGACTTCTAAATTCAGATTTTTAATATAATAAAATTCTTAATATAATAAAATTTGGCGTAAAAGTATCAAATATAGCTAAGAAAGTTTCTGCTATTTTAATTAATAGAAATAAAAATTATATACAAAGTGGATTGAACAATGGAGCAAGACAGTTTTGGTATATCGTTAACTGAATCCGACAGAACTTGTATACCCCTTTTCCCACTTCGCTTACTCGTGTATTCATTTCCTCTTTTTCGCTCTCTCCTCCCCCCTCTCTCTCTCTCTCTCTCTCTCTCTCTTTGATTTTGTTATCTGCATTACATTTTCGTTTCCACTTTTCTCCCAATATTCAAATCCTTCTCAATTCAAGCGGGCAAATAAAAGAATCATTCAAAGAAATCTCATGTTTACAAGGAGCGATGCTGCGGGCGGAACTTATATGGCGAAAATAAAGATGCTACGACGCGAATGTAACGTAACAGCTACCGTTCTGATACCGTCATATTATCCGCAACGATTTATTTTCTACTATAGAATGTGCGAGAATATTTTTATCGTGCGTGAACAACGCCGGAAAGAAATTGCGTTATTTCACGTTGGAAATTTAATATGTTAAACTTTCTTCACTTTTTATGTCTTGTGCCTCTTTTGGAAATTTGAAACTAAGGATCCTATGTGGGGGGAACTAACAACTCTCAATCTTTTAAAATGCGAGATCAATTGGAACAAAATAATATTGAAATCAAACGTGAAGGAAGAAACTTCTCAGAAGCTTAATGTTAAGTCTTTTCCAATAATTAATTGTTATAGTTGATTGTGTAAAGACAACCTTCTTCAATATAAACACATGTTAATCCTAAAACATATTGCACAGACATATAGAAACAATGAGTTGTGTAATAAGTAATTACCGGTTTTTCAGATAAGATGAAACGATTATGTTTTTATGTCATTATAATTTTGTGAAACAATATATATATATATATGAGGGACTATACTATTGTGATCAAAAAGTATCGGGAATGAATTTTTTCCTAGATTAATATGACTTTCATCGACATCTAGCAATCCGCATGTTATTGTCTGCTTTTGTTTACAAATAAATACTTATTTTGTGTATAAAGAGTTTTATAAAACGCAAGAAGTTATTAATCAAAATTTATTTCGTCCCCTTCAAAATAGTCCCTTCTTATTGCAATGCACTTATGCTAACGTTTTTTCCAATCCTCAAAACATACTTTAAAGTCGTTGTCGTGGAAATCCTTTTAGGACTTGCAGCGAATTTTCTTTTATGGCATCAATCGACTCAAAACGGTGACCACGAAGCGGAAATCTTAGTCGAGGAAACAGAAAAAGTCACACCGGTGTCTTATCAGGTAAATACGAAGCTTGCAAAACCATATTTGTAGAATTTTTGACAAAAAATTCATGAATAACAAGAGCATTGTGAGCAGGTGCACGCGCCGCAAGCCCAAATGATCTTTTACAATTGCTTGACAAGATCCAAATGATACTGAAACATGTTCAATAATTGTTAAACGACGATCATTGAGCACCAAATCTCTGACTTGAGTTACATGTTGCTCATCAGTTACAGTGGATTGTCTGCCAGAGTGTGTTCATCTTCGACGCGTTCTCTGTTTTCCTTGAATATCTTGTACCACTCGAAAACTTTTGTTTTTGATAGAGAATCGTTATTGAAGGCATTTTGCAATATTTCCAACGTTTTTGTAGCAATAATTCCGTTGCGAAAACAAAATTTAATGCACGTTCTCTGCTCAATTACATTTGACATTTTGAAAAATCGCAAGAACAAAAAACTGTTTACACACAAAATATGTTATCGAGGTACATTTTTTAAAAATGGGACAGCTTGTATATTTTCTATACCACAATATGGATTGTATACAAGGTAACTGATTTAATTAGTATGTTCGTTTGTGTGTAAACTGAACGAAAAAATCTTGTATTATTTACCAAACAATAATGGTAGTCGTTAAGATATTAATTATAAAAAATTGACAAATGAGTATAAGTGATGCAATAAAATAACTTTTTTAAGAAAATGCCATATTTAAAGAAAGTTTACCGATAGAATATTGATCTTTTTCTATAAAATTTACATCTTATTAGTTGCTCAGAGTTATAACTTATTTTTCATAATGAAAAAGAACGCAAAAATAAATTGAAGTATTTTTCGATATATGATGAAAACGATGCACAATTTTTAAACTATCTTGAATTATTAATTAATGTAAACATTTGCTTGTTCTATAATTTGTATACAGGATGTATAAAAAGTACCAGGATGGCGAAATAGAAGAGAACCTTCTTCTGTTTATTATTGATTGGAGATTACAGAGTTTTATCTTTAACTTTTATTTTTTCAGTAAATTTGGAAGATCTTACAATTGGCTGTTGTCCTTTTTATGCACATGTATTTTATAGTAGTTTGTACGTCTTCTCATGTATCTTAAACTTAAAAAGTAATGATAAAAATAACAATAAAAATAACGATAAAAATGCGATCGAATTTGCATTGGTTACTGATATCCAGAAAATATAACTACGTTACATTCTAATCAATATTCTAACCAAAGGGGTTGTGGCCCTAAGTCAGAGTATACCACAGCCTAAAAGGCTTATTGTGCTCCCCACATAATATAAATGTCGCACAGTTGTAGCTCCTCAAAGCAGCCAATAAACTTCTGCCAGGATATTTCGTATATATCCTTTAATGGTATCGTTTGCTTCCCAAGATATCTAATTCTATGAGTTACGTAAGCCTCGCACTAACATAAAAGATGAAAAGGTGTTTCTTTCTCGTCTAAATACACATACCCGTATTTCTCAGGCCAATTGTATGTAAGTGTTTGTTCAGGC